ACAGTGTGAAATTTTATATTGTAAACCGTTTTCTATTATTTTGTTTAAAAAACCTCCTTTTTCAAAATCCTTGATTCTTTTTAAAACCTCTCCTTTTTGAATATTATAAAACAACTTTGTTCTTCCAGCACTCTGCGTATGTCTGTCTAGTGTTTTTAAAGTTTTAAAACAGCTGTCGGTGTTTTCAAGCTCCAACGTAACCTCTCCAGCCAAGTTCCGATCTTTTGAATATGATTTTTGTACTTCATTTTTCACTTGATTGTATGTTTTTTTTGCTTTTGTTTTATTACTTTGTTGACGTAGGTTTTGTTGCACATCTGGAACCTGCTGCAACGATTTCAATCCCAAATCGTTAATCTTTTTTATTTCATCTGTTCTTATTAAGTCTTTTTGTTTATTATTCAATGAAGCCATTTGATCTTCTGTAACTTGTTGTTGAGCATGATCTTTCATAAAATTATGAATGTTAGAAATGTACTCAATTGTGTTTTTATAAGTACACATTTCATTAAATTCATCGTGCGTAATTACTTCTCCGTTCTCCGTTTTACGAGAAAGAAAATCTTCCAGGGATTTTATATATTTAAACATCTCTATCGCAAATTGTTCAGCCCTAAAATAAAAACAAAAATTTAATGATTAACGAAAGAACTTCTTAGATAAAAGAATAAATAATTCATTTACTATATTTGTTAAAGAAAAATGGTAAAACAACTTACATTCTGTCTAACCACTCTGTATTCCTGGCTGATGAAATAATAACAACGCATTTAACATCTATTGAGCTGCACACTAGGCGAATGTTCTGGATGACGTTTCACTATTGATCTTTAGCGGAAAACTGTACACGTGATACGGAACGACATATTGATTTATAGGCTGCAACTATTTAAAAGTTGGTTCCGGATAAACATTTTTTTACTCATGATTAGCCGCCTTGTTTTACAAACTTAGATTTCAATTTACCGCATGAAGCACACGCGGCTTTTATCATTAATCTTCCGTTTTTTGTTGTAACATATTGAGGATTTACATTATCGGTGTATGTTCGTTCTTTTAAACAATATATTTGTTTTTGTAAACTCATTTATATATATTTTAATTATAAAAAAGGACTCGTCGGTTCCCGCCTGTATTCTATTTATGAGTAGTATAGAATATGATGGTTCCGGGGGGTTTTTGGCCTGAGGGTGTTCTTAAATCAATAAAATGGGGTTTTATGTCGAGCTGTCTTACTTTTTGGGTTGATGGGTAAGCTATGTCGAGCTGTCTTACCCTTTGGTTTGATAGATAAACACTTTTTTAGGCTTCAAAGTGTCCCGGAACCATCATATTCTATACTACTTACAATTATTTCCAGGAATATGTTTACAATTTAAGATCGTTCTGAGAAGGAATAATATTGGTTGATATAAAAAAGTACAAAACCCATTTTAAACTTTGTTTTCTTTTTATTTGGTATACCTTAGACATTTGTCATAATTATACTAGTAATACTAGAACTGGAGAAGAAAGCTGATAAGATTTGTCTCGGGTACTTTCTATTAGATAACCAGTGTTGCTTTTGGTGCATCATTCACGATTTAAGTGTAACCTGGTAAATATTGTCTCACTCACATTTAACTTTTTCTCATTTCACACGGGCCAGATTGGCAAAAGTCTTATATTTACCGAATGTCTAAAACCATGATAAAATATACATGTTTAGGTTTTTGTTTTCAAAGATATCGCTGAAACCCAGTCACATACAATACGCTTGCTAGCTTATTAGGTCTCAGCAACCGTATGCGCTAATTTATTAAAGGACCCCCCCCCCCCACACACACAAATGGTTCATTAACTTTTCGTGTAGATTTTTTTTTTAAATTTTGCATTTTACCGCTTAAATCTTATTTCCACCCAAGGCTTATGTCGAAATTTGTAACCTTAACTTATAAACTCGAATATCGTAGAACTGATATTACTTTCAGACAATTTTATAACATTTATTGAGCGCATTTATCAAAATAGTTATTCTAGAATTTCTATTATAATACGATGTGCAGTTTTATTTTGACGAAAAAAATGCTGTTTACTTTTCTACATATACTAATATATACATGTATATATTTGATATCGTCGCTATCCAATTTTTATGACAACGTTGTAAATACAAAATCATGTATACACATATAACTGAAATAAAATTCTTCTATAAGATATATGAATTAAGTGAAAAGAGCATAGTGCATAATGTTTATGGTGTGAGTTGTGCTCACTGCATGATGTTTATGGCGTGAGTTGTGCTCACTGAGCGATGTTTATGGCGTGAGTTGTGCTCACTAATTGATGTTTATGACGTGAGTTGTGCTTACTAAGTGATGTTTATGGCGTGAGTTGTGCTCACTGATTGATGTTAATGGCGCGAGTTGTGCTCACTGAGTGATGTTTATGGTGTGAGTTGTGCTCATTGAGTGATGTTTATGGTGTGAGTTGTGCTCACTGAGCGATGTTTATGGCGTGAGTTGTGCTCACTAATTGATGTTTATGACGTGAGTTGTGCTTACTAAGTGATGTTTATGGCGTGAGTTGTGCTCACTGATTGATGTTAATGGCGCGAGTTGTGCTCACTGAGTGATGTTTATGGTGTGAGTTGTGATCACTGAGTGATGTTTATGCCATGAGTTGTGCTCACTGAGTGTTGTTTATGGCGTGAGTTGTGCTTACTAAGTGATGTTTTTGGCGTGAGTTGTGCTCCCCGAGTGATGTTTTTGGTGTGAGTTGTGCTCACTGAATGATGTTTATGGTTTGGGTTGTGCTCCCTGAGTGATGTTTATGCCGTGCGTTGTGCTCACTGAGTGATGTTTTTTGGTGTGAGTTTAGCTCTCTGAATGATGTTTATTGTTTGGGTTGTGCTCCCTAAGTGATGTTTATGCCATGCGTTGTGCTCACTGAGTGATGTTAATGACGTGAGTTGTGCTCACTGAGTGATGTTTATGCTGTGGGTTGTGCTCACTGGGTGATGTTAATGGTGTGAGTTGTTCTCATTTAGTGATGTGTATGGTGTGGCCATGTTCATGTAGTGATGCTTATGGCTGGCGTGAGTTGTGCTCACTGAGTGATGTTTATGGTGTGAGTTTTGCTCACTGAGTGATCTTTATGGCTTGTGTTGTGATCATTGAGTGATGTTTATGGCTTGAGTTGTGCTCACTGAGTGATGATTAGTGTGTGAGTTGTACTCATTGAATGATGTTTATGGCGTATGTTGTGCTCATTGAGTGATGTTTATGAAGTGAGTTGTGCTCATTGAGTGTTGTTTATGGCGTGAGTTGTGCTCACTGAGTGATGTTTATTGTGTGAGTTGTACTCATTGAGTGATGTTAATGGTGTGAGTTGTGCTCACTGAATGATGTGTATGGTGTGAGTTGTGCTCATTGAGTAATGTTTATGGCGTGTGTTGTGCTCAATGAATGAGTGATGTTAATGGTGTGAGTTGTGCTCACTGAGTGATGTTAATGGTGTTGTTCTCATTGATTGATGTTTATGGCGTGAGTTGTGCTCATCTCACTGAGTGATGTTTATTGTGTGAGTTGTGCTCACTGAGTGATGTTTTTGTTGTGAGTTGTGCTCACTGAGTGATGTTAATGGTGTTGTGCTCACTGAGTTATGTTTATGTTGTGAGTTGTGCTCACTGAGTGATGTTTATGTTGTGAGTTGTGCTCACTGAGTGATGTTTATGTTGTGAGTAGTGCTCACTGAGTGATGTTTATGTTGTGTTTTGTGCTCACTGAGTGATGTTTATGTTGTGAGTTGTACTTACTAAGTGATGTTTATGTTGTGAGTAGTGCTCACTGAGTGATGTGTATGGTGTGAGTTGTGCTCACTGAGTGATGTTTATGGCGTGAGTTGTGCTCACTGAGTGATGTTTATGTTGTGAGTTGTGCTCACTGAGTGATGTTTATGTTGTGAATTGTGCTCACTGAGTGATGTTTATGTTGTGAATTGTGCTCACTGAGTGATGTTTATGTTGTGAATTGTGCTCACTGAGTGATGTTTATAGTAAGGGTTGTAGGCATATGTAGTAAGTGATGTTAATGGCTTGACTTGCAGGCCTACGCAGTGAATGATGTTTATGGTGCGGGTTGTGTTCAGTTGGTGATGTTTATGGTGTGAGTTGTGCTCACTGAATGTTGTGTATGGTGGGAGTTGTAGGCCTACGCAGTGAGTGTTATTTATGGCGCGAGTTGTACTCACTGAGCGATGTTTATGATGTTGGTTCTGCTCAGTAAGTGATGTTTATGGTGTGAATTGTGCTCACTGAATGATGTATATTATGTGGTTCAGTGAGTGATGTTTATGGCGTGAGTTGTGCTTATTGAGGAATGTTAATGGCGTGAGTTGTGCTCACTGAGTGAAGTTTATGGTGTGGTTATGTTCATTGAGTGATGTTTATGGTGTGAATTGTAGGCTTACGCAGTTCTTGATGTTTATTGCATGAGTTGTGCTCACTGAGTGATGTTAATGGCGTGAGTTGTGCTCACTGAGTGATGATTATTGTGTGGTTATGTTCAGTGAGTGATGTTTATGGTGTAAGTTATAGGCCTACGCAGTGAGTGATGTTAATGGTGTTGGTTGTGCTCACTGAGTGATGTTTATGGTGTGGTCATGTTCAGTGGGTGTTGTTTATTATGTGGGTTGTTTCACTGAGTAATCTTTAATAATTCAGAGTTGTGCTTACTAAGTGACTTTTATGACGTGAGCTTTGCTCACTGGGTGACGTTGATGGTGCGAGTTGTTCTCACTGAGTGATATTCATGGTGTCAATTGTGCTCAGTGAGTGATGTTTATTGTGTGGGTACATACGCGTACAAGACTATTGTTATTTCATGTATATTCCTTTTGGATTCTGTCTTCCACTTAATAAAAATTATTTAAAAGGTCATCTTATATCATTTTACATTTACTACAGTGGCCTAGTACGTCATAAAACTAAAAATTGAAGCATGCAATGTTTGACTTACCATAAAGTTGTTTGTTTTTTAACCTATCGGGTTGATGCTTCCCCCACGGCATAACGTCGTCATTGCATCCGTTTGGCATTCCATTATACCCCGTACTTATTATTCTATTGTCGGCGTTCACGATGCAAGAACCAACCTAGCTTGAGATAATAAACACATCAACTCGTGAACATTCGGTATATTTTGTCGCTGGTCGTACCTTACAAACATTAACAATCATCAATGACAATGAACAAGTGAAAACATTGTCACTTAAACACTTCGAAAACAACATATAAAAGGTACGGGCAACGACAAAATTTTACGATTTTATTCGCTTTAAAAAGCAAATGTAATTTCAAAAGAATTTTGTAAATAAAGGAAAGTAAAATAAAGAGTCAATGTATTTTTAACTATTGACTTGTCTCTAAAAATGTAGAAATGATTATTGCGAGAATAGTCATATGGTATGCATTACGTTCTTACAAAACAAAAACCGCCGGGCGAGGGCAACGCTCGACTTTACTACTTTTTTTCTAAAAGCAAACAAATAAACGGTTTAAACAAATCTTTAAAAATTAATCATTAATTTTTATGAGTAAATGACAAAGTTAAGATTTGTTTGTTTGTTTGTTTGTTTGTTTGTTTGTTTGTTTCATTTTACGCCTTTTCCCAACAGTATTTCAGTCATATAGGCGGGTAGTTTCCTAACAGTTAAGAAAATATAATAAATATTCAATCATTTGAAGGTCAAGGTTATGTAAAGTTACAGTCAATTATGCAGGCAAAAATCAGTGAAAATTCATTAATTTAACCTTGAAGGTCCATGGCATTAAAGTTAATTTAAGTTTGATATTTATATGGAAAGAATCTTGTGTTATAATATGAAGTCAATCCATTCATTAATAACAAAGTTCTAGCCAGTTACAGTAACAACAAAAAACCCTGAAATTATAATAATTTGACTATTAAAGTCGAGGTTATTTATGAGTGAAGGGCAAGGTCTGTCTGGTTACCTAAAAGATTGTTTTGTTACAGCAATGGCAACGACGGGAACGCCGACATGACTGTAACAATACCACTAACTTTTTTAAGTCTAGCTAAAAATGAATATGTATCCAATTGGCACAATTCCATCTTAGTGTTTGAAATTATTTTCTGTCCAATATGATTGCAGTATTTCAAATGAATCGTAACACATTTACTTTGTGTTAATCAGTCTAGTAAATCGACAATTTATAAACATTATTTAAAACATTAAGCCGGTTAAAATCTATTAATACATTGTACGTATTTACAAAATTAAATTAGTCGCGCGGCTTATTGTAGACGTTTTATTATTATTAATTACATAATAAAATGATAATATATGAACTGAATTATCATTGATCAAGGAATATATGTTTTCAGTGTGAAGGTATTTCATACAATAAAGTCATGTTAAAGACTAAAATTTAAAAAAAGTATAGTATTTTACCTGCGTGACTGGGTCTTTACTTCTTTGGGCTGTAATCAAGGCCACGCCCATAAAATATTCGTCCCAGCTGATATACCATTGTCTCTTTTCGTTTGATGATTTTACTGTATAATTTAAAAAGTGCAGTGTTTATTCATTCATAGTTCGTTAAAGATCCTGTAACGCAATTAGTTATGATTTTGATATAAAAAATCTGATGCTCAAGTGAAGATTTATCAACATTGTAAATTCCAAAAAGCACTATTTGTATAGATGTTAACGCGTTTAACATTTCATGTAAATAAAGGGAGGTAATTGTAATTTTATTTCGATAAAATCTAAGCCAGTTTAAACTTTTAATTACTTCTATATGTATATAGACATTAGCTGTACATATTTGTCTCATTCTTGGGTGTTTGGAAATTGTTTTAGATGAATAATGATATACACACATATATATATACAATTTCACATTATATATAATGTGTGTTACATCCTGAATTACAACATGTAAGATCTTTAAGCTTTATATAATATGTTATTAACATTGACCGAAGAATGATGGAAAATCGGAAAGGAACAAAATTCTGCATGTATCTGATTAACAACGTGAAATACTTGGAGAGATAAAATTAAAGTGTCATAGAAAAAATTCGTCGCTATAGGACTGCTTTTATCATCGACATCTGTTGCATGTTATTGATATACAATACTAATATGAAAATATACGACACACATATATACAACATAACATTAGAAAACTCACATACGACAGCATATTGATCGTTTGAGAATTTAAACTGTATTAGAATAAAATTGCCCGTACGAATATTTTGTAATTTATTCATAAATACTTAGTTTGTTAGATCTACTACATGTATATTCATAAAAGTTTTGTGATATTTGTTTATAAAAATGTACATGTGTTTATATATACGTGTATGCATTAAAGCTTTCCATATTTCACAAATGACTGAACTCGAAAAAAGATGTATTCATGTGTAATTTTCCCCATTGATCAACTGAGAACATTAATTTTAGTGTATCGATGGTCTCACTATAAAATGCCGAAGGTAAATAAGTAAACTATATATTATATTAAATGATATGCTCTGTCCCATCATCCGAGGACCTCCCTACCACCCCACCCCATCCATCTTGTCATCCCATCACCATTGAAGTGTACAACCCATCCTCCGAGGACCTCCCTACCATCCCACCAAATCCATCTGGTCATTCCATCACCATTGATGTGTACAACCCATCCTCCGAGGACCTCCCTACCATCCCACCAAATCCATCTGGTCATCCCATCACCATTGATGTGTACAACCCATCCTCCGAGGACATCCCTACCATCCCACCAAATCCATCTGGTCATTCCATCACCATTGATATGTACAACCCATCCTCCGAGGACCTCCCTACCATACCACCAAATCCATCTGGTCATTCCATCACCATTGATGTGTACAACCAACCCATCCTCCGAGGACCTCCCTACCATCCCACCAAATCCATCTGGTCATTCCATCACCATTGATGTGTACAACCCATCCTCCGAGGACTTCCCTACCATCCCACCAAATCCATCTGGTCATTCCATCACCATTGATATGCACACCCCATCCTCCGAGGACCTCCCTACCATCCCACCCCATCCATCTGATCATCCCATCACCATTGATATGCACACCCCCATCCTCCTAGGACCTCCCTACCATCCCTTCCCATCCATCTGATCATCCCATTACCATTTACCACAATGATAAGCTCAAGTTTCAAACATTTGAAACATTGTCAAATGTATACTATGTATAGTTCTGCTCTGTTGATTTTAAAATAATTATTGTTTGATCAATGAATGCAAGAAAAATAAATTTACTGCATCATGCATCATACAATATTAATTCCACTAAAGGGATGAGGAAAGCGTAAATGTATTACATTATACTATAATAACCTACATTTTATGGAACAAAATGTACTGACCTTGCATCACTATATCTATCTACACGAGCACGGCTCTCATCTTAAATTCAATATACCACTTGATATGTGTGTCGTCTCGTTCACTTTAACATCTTGTCTGCATGACAGATTAGCATGGAGATGTTAATATAAAATCAAGGAAATGACAATGTTATCAACATATGTATAATATATAGCGTTTGTGGAGCGTACCGTAAACAAGTAGGTATATTACGGCGTTTGAACTGACACAAATACAAACAGCTTTATCAGCATTGATTTTATAACATACATCTATTAATGTTTAAGTATTGGTGTTAGTGCGCGTTTTGACTCAACAGAATTTCGATATGTCCAATTTATTGTAAAGAATGAAAATTTAAATATTCCTCATTGATTATATACTTTATTCTTTTGCACGGCGAATCGCGAGTGATGTCAATATATACATGTGTAACACGAACGTTCTTGAATTGCAAGGCCCTTCATGAAAATTCAAAAAATTCTACAAAACAACCATTTTTCTTCAAATTGATATGTTAGGCCATGTTTAAACATGGAAAAACGCGATTGGGTAATTTCAGGTATTTTCATCATTTTCTGTTAATATTCCTTCGCTCTCCAATATTATAGTTCAAGGAACAATTAATATTGAAACCTTTAAATGAAAAGCATGGAAGTGAATGGTTGATGTGTGAAATAACTGGTTGGTATGGAAGTCACTGGATGCTATGGAAAATCATTTGTTGCTATGAAGAGTCAATGGTTAACACATGAAAAACCATTTAGTTGCTAGTGAAAATCGATGATTGCTATGGAAGTCACTGGTTGCTTAGGAAAGACGACGTACGGTTGATATAAAATTAATTGATAGGTAATGAAAGTCACTGGTTGCTATGGTTTCCACTGGTTAATATGGACGTCACTGGTTTCCATGGCAGTCAAAGGTTGTTATGGAAAATCACTGATTGCTATGGAACTCACTGGTTGGTATGAGAAGTCAATGGTTACTGTTGAAAGTCAGTGATTGCAATTGAAGGTCAGTGGTAAAAACTGAAGTCGCTTGTTGATATTGAACGTCCAAGGTTGCTATTGAAGTCACTGGTTGCTATAAGAAGTCTCGGGTTGCTATGGAAAATAAATGGTTGCTCTGTTAGGTCCATAATTCATTTGAAAAGTCAATGGTTACAATGGAACTTCATTGGTTGCTATGGCAAGTCAATGGTTGCTATGGAAGGACATCGGTTGCTAAAGAAAGTAAATGGTTGTTATGGGAAGTCCATTGTTGCTGTGGAAGTCATAGGTTGCTATGGAAGTCAATTGTTGGTATGAAAAGTCAATGGTTGCTATGGAAAGTCAGCGGCTGCAATGGAAAATCATTTGTTTTTATAAAAGTTGATAGTTGTTATTGAGGTCAAATGATGCTATAAATGTCACTTGTTGCCATGGAAAGTCAATGGTTGTTATAGAAAGTCACTGGTTGCTGTTGACGTCACAGGTTGCTCTGGAAAGTCAATGGTTTTATCAGAAGCCACTTTTTGCAGAGCAAAATAGTTTCTGTGAAAAGTCATTGGTTGTTATGAAATTTCAGTTGTTGCTATGGAGGTCACTAGTTGCTATGGAAAGTCAATGGTTAATATGACAGTCACTGTTGCTTAAGATTAAGAGTGGTTCCTATGGGAAATCAGTGGCTTGCTACGGAAGTCACTGGTTTCTAAGGAAAGCAATGGTTGCAATTGAAGTCACTAGTTGCTATGGAAAGTAATTGTTTACCATATTGCGACTTCCTGTATGTCATACTTGTTAAGGATATCCCGCATAATTATTCCCAATCTTCTTTGAGTTTGTAAATCACAAAAGAAGTCAGTATGTTTCGGTTGGTTTGAATCAACAGCAGATTAAAAGTTGGTGACCTCCAAGGCCACTGAAATAATTCCATAGTGATTGATTGCTCTCAAATTGTCCAGTTGTATTTCCAGTAAGTATGATCCTCACTAGAGCGCAGAAAAAGCTTTCTATCTTCCATATCTCAATGCATATCAAGCATTGGATTTGTAATGCAGGGGGTCGCTGGTTTGATCCCAGGTGAAAATATCCTGTGATAAATGATCTTGGAGTGACAATATGCTCATTTTGTGTTGTCAAGTACAGCTGAATTAGCTATACATTTAAAAAGATTGACTATTATTATAACTGGTGATGACCAATAATTGATGCATGTTATGACAAATGATTAGGATAGAACATAATAACTGACTTTAGTTAAAAAGACTGCCTCACTTAAAATTTTTATCAAGTGTCATTACCAATAATTTACAAAGAATAGTTATAGAAAATACCATGGGTCATGTGAGATTTTGATAAGTCAACTAAACAGAGAATTGAAAACAGTTATTATGACTAACAATTTTCACATGAATGGGCATAAGGTCATTTGTCCCAAAGCAATTACCTCTTGTATTCATGCATGTATATATTTGTTGTATATGAAGATGAGCTGTATATGCTTAATTCAAAATAAAATATATGTTCTGTTCTGTTCTGTAAAGTATCACAGATATTCCACGAGTTACTTGCAAGTAGATTCACTTTAAAATTATACAGTAACTGTGGCCTTGATTAGAGTTCTTTGGATTTTTAAGCTTCAGCTATGTAGACAGATACACCATTTCTAAATGCTGACTATTCGAACTTATCAACAGCAAATTCAAAGTTAAAACAACTCAAAACTAGTTTATATTATGATGGTTTATTTCATATAAAAATGATATATACAAAGAATGAAACAAAAGATAGATCTATATTGGAAAAGATGAATAAGAAATAGCCCAAAATGAAATGAACCAAGGGTTTTAAGTTCCATAACTAATTCTTTAAAGGTATAAATGATCAAATACAAATATAATCATAAGTTGATAATTTCTCAATTATCACGTGGATAATTAGCCTCAATAGTATCTGAGCTCTTTCTTTACACCAATATGTCATTTTATTACAAAGTATATAAATATACAGAGTCCAGATTTGCATTATTGTTTTATATACCAAGGACATGATCTTTTTTTAGAGCCTAGTGGTGTTCTGTCATTCATTACCTATAATTATCAGGTTTCTGATTATAAAATATGGAATGTTTAAAACTTTGACATAAAAATATATGTAAATCTACTGTATAAAACTACTATGAAAATGGAATGATATTTATACATTATGATAATACATGCTATATTTGAAAAGTAATGTATGCACATATATTACCGTTATATTAAATACAACAAAATACTTGTATATATGTAGTAAGATCTAGCTTTACTTCTAGATATACTTCATTAGTCAATTTACAAAAATAAAATTTTCAATACAACATTTTAAGACACTATCTTCTTTCTTCCTTAACTTCAATAAAGGTAGCATTTTACATGTATATCAATTCGTTTCTTATAACATGTTTGTGTCACTTTTCTAACCAAATTATTTAATGAGTAATTTTTTGAAAACTGTTAAAAAATATCTGCTGACATCAATTTTAAAAGAAGTTGTGTAGACAGATGCCGTTTTTGTCTTCTCTATTTTGGTTCTGTCACAATGTTAATTATTATCCTGATCTGTCAATGACTAAATCCCAACCATTTGGAAAAGCCCAAAAGATGAGGTACTTCTATTCAACAAAAATTGTCAATGCATTTTTTTCTATATACATGTAAAATAAAGAATACATTGGCAGTCAGATCACTACTAGTATAACTGCATATTTAAAAAGAAGTAACAAAGTATTGTTATTAATTTTATCCAATTATATGCAATTAAAACAGCATTGTTCTGTGAATTGAAAGTTTATTTACAGACTGATCTAGGGTACACTATATACATTTTAATTTCTTCACAACCATTTAGTATCCACAATTTATAGCAATTAAAAACGAAAATCTTTTGCTACATGGATAAGTCTTTTGTTTGTTTGGTTTTATTCATTGCCTAGTAGTATCCAAGTCCATGACGTTTCTTCTCACCAGCAAACCTCAACTCGCGATCTGTTTCCTCAAGAATTTCTTGTTTCCTTGCAATCAGGATAACTGTAAACATCATCTGAAATATTCAATAACTTAATATTAGTAAACAATTGAATATATTTGGGCTCTCAATAGGGTCAGAATTTCATGAGTCAAAGATTCTTCGGCTAAAATTTTAATGAGTAAACAGTTTTTCCTTGTGTCATTTGACTACATGAATCGTTTTAATGTTACAAAAAATTCAACCTGATTACTGTATATAATTAACATGATGTATGTAACACAATATGATTAAGACAATGTAGTTAACAGGATGTAATAATTATGTATGTAACACAATATAATCAACATGATATAGGTAACACAATGTATGTAACAAAATATAATTAACACAACATAGGTAACATGATGTATGTAACACAATATAATCAAACACAATGTATGTAACAATACAATTAACACAATATAGGTAACACAACTATGTAACACAATATAATGAACATGATATAGGTAAAACAATGTATGTAACACAATATAGCTAAAGGGAACACAATGTATGTAATAGGTAACACAATGTATGAAACACAATATAATCATCACAATATAGATAACACAATATAATTAACACAATATAGGTTACACAATGTATATAACACAATATAATTAACATGATATAGGTAACACCATGTATGTTACACAATATATATAACACCAATATAAAATCATTAAGGGATGGCCATGATCTGTTTGTTTACTCTGAAAATTGCAGTTCCATAATGCAAATTTGATACACTTTTTTTTCTAAGTTTTTAAAATCCTAGTATTTTTTTTCCTTAAATAAATGAATTTTCAGCTAAAGTCTATCAACAATAAGTGCAAGCTAAAAGTTAACCCTTAGATGCATTTGTATAATACCAATTTAAAACACTTTATATTTCTAATTACTTGAACTTCTATGTTGAGGAAATTTTTACAGATACATAAAATTTTCCTCGATTTTTAAACAAAATAAGTGTTTGCATTCTTAATACTAGAATAATCTATTTTAGCTTCAATGACATTGACCTATCAACATTTTAACCTAAGCTAATGGTAAATACAGTCCCAACAGAATTTGAACCCACAGTGGTGAGGTGCCAATGATTTGAAGTTGGTGACCTTAACCACTCAACCACATTGCTTATTGAGACAAGCATTTGATAGTATTGCGGGCAATACAGTAGTCCCCTACCGGTCCCTCAAAAAGTTCTTTAATTGTCATACACTCCTGTGTATTGCCATTTATAATGAATTTGAGGATGAAGTCTGTATTTGAAAATATCGACCACAAAACATAATAAAATAAGTTTGTCTATATCACAGTAATGTGTTAAGTTTCCATGCTTAGTGAGGAAATTATGTTTATACAACCTTGTCATATTATTACGATGTGTGATTTTAAAGTAAATCCTATAAGGAATGAAGAAGTTGGAGTGAAAATACCAGTTTCTCGAAAAAAATCTAAGTTCAAGGGGGACATAATTCTGGAAATAGTCTTGCTAGAGTATTTAACCTTCTCAAAAATGTCGAGTGATAATAAGAAACATATATATGAAGTTTGAAGTAGATACATTAGGAAATAAAGAAGTTATTTAAAAAAGACAACATTTTTTCCCCTAAAAAATCTAAGTTCAAGGGAGGTAATACTGATATTTTTTGTGCTAGAGTTATAAACCTTGTCACATATGATGTGGTTGATGACCAGAAAACTTATATTTAAAGTTTGAAGTAAACACCTTAAGAAATAAAGAACATATAGTGAAAAATCTGAAAAAATTTAAATCAGAAATCTTGAAATTCAGGCTATTTGTTGCCATAGCAACCAGAATTTTCAAACATAAGAAGAAAAGAAAAAGATGTGCATAACCTCCAGACTGCCATCTACCCATATTTCAAGTTCTATAAAAATATTTTCAGTACTTTTTGAGTTATCACTGGATCCAGTTTATGTGTTAAATTTGCCATATTTTCAGACTATTTGTTGCCATAGCAACCAGAATTTTCAACATAGGAAGAAAAAAAAAAGACGTGCATAATCTCCATACTGCCATCTATCCATATATCAAGTTTCATAAAAATATTTTCAGTACTTTTTGCGTTATCGCGGGATCCAGTTTTGTGGACGGACGGACTGACAGACAGACGGACAGACAGACAGACGGACGGAGGGTAAACCTAAAGTCCCCTCCGGTTAAACCGGTAGGGGACTAAAAAACGTGTACTTGTATACTAGCTTTGTGTTAGATAAATGAATTTCTCCACTTCATGTCAATCTTGAATATATTCCAACCCAATAAAAAGGCAAGCAATTCAGTGGCAATTTCTGCAACACTTGTTAAAGGCCTTTCAGCATAAAGCATCAGCAAATTATACTTACATTGCAAAGTGTCCTGCCAAGCCAATACAACCATGTCCAAACAACGTATGCCAACCTCTGAAACAGGACAAACAGTTATTAAAATTCCCCTTTTTTCTTCAAAAATTTCCATTTTTTTTTTATTTAAACTTTGTAATTATGACATAAAAAATAAAATGTATCAATCAACAAACTCTGTGTAATAATATATTTTTAACAAAAATTAAGTTATTAATCCGAAACTTTATTTCTAAAATGAAATATTTCACAATAACTCATATCTTATCAAATATTACATCATAATCAGATGTTACCTTATAAAGAAAGTCTAATTTTGTATAAAGTTTGTGTGTCACTAACCAAATCTTGCAAATATGATTTCATTAAAAGTGTTTATTTCATTATCATATATACATGTATATATTATTAAAACTGTAACATTAAGATGCATTGCAGATATGGATTGCAATCAGATTTCAATAAAATTTTGACGACCAAAAATATTACAGACTGGCTTGTCAAAACTTAAAACACCTTTGATGCTAAATGTTTAACAGAATTATATTGCTTAAATTTTAAAAAGTCTATTATTATAATGGGGATTTTATATAAAAAATAAAATACTTGAATTATGCAGCCAGCAATAAAGAGTCTAGTGTGACTGCAATGATCAGATGTGAATAACTCATTACTGTCACTAGCATGGCATATTTTAACCCATTACCTACTTTAGTCTAGTCTAATGGTCTAGTCTAGCTTCCTTTTTTTGGAACAATTTATTATCAGTTTTGGGGATGTCAACATGAAAAATAAAATTTAGTTAGTCAACAGTATAGAGCCTGTTAAAACTGCATGAAAGTGCAGGCTGGCCTGGTTCTATACTGGTGACAAGGACTAATCACTTTTCAGTTCCAGCAGACTACGAGAAGTTAAATACAGCTAAAATGATACTTACGAATGTGTTCATGCCATAGTATGCATATTCAAATACTGAGAAGCAGAACTCGATAAAGATATAGGCAATAAACAGAATGATAAACCATTTCAACCAGAACATGTACATCACAAAATGCTGAAATAAACAAAAAACATTCAATTAATCAAAAGACACTATAGTAAAAGAAATGCTTTTTAAGAGGTGATATCGTTATTGAATTGATTACGATAATTTTTGCTTTACTAAGTAAATGACTTCATAAATCATTTCAGAGTCAAAATCATGCAAGCATTTAGGCAATTAGGTAGAACAATTATCCTTCTACAACTGGTGCAAACAAGCTGGATAGTTTTCCCTGCAAGTTAAGGAGGATTCCACTGAGGATTTTTGATGGGATTGGAAATAATATTTTGAGATTAAATTCCACGTTGATGTAGGTCTAAACCAATTACTTGTGTGTAAAATTTTGGTCCATTAGCTCACTATGTGTTTCTAGAATAGACAATTAAAATGTGATAAATTACCCAAAATGCAAATAGGGCTAAGGAATCATCACAAAAGAATGATTTTCTATTTATTTTTAGTATGTTTCTCTACTATATTTTGCATATCATTCTGTTTTAAGTGATAAACTATCTATGTAAGAAATTCAAATTTTATGGGTTTTTTTATTGGCTTAAATTTGGACATCAGTTGAGTTCCTTTAAAGAACTTCACATCTCTGACAGAATTTTAACTCAAAGGCAGGGAGGCATATGATTTTCTACAATCAGTTACTCTAGTCAGCATTTATTAAAATAACAAGGATGAGCATGATCAGATTAATAAATAATTTAATATATATACATACCCTATATGTTACTTGCATCAACATGAAGATACTGAAGAAGCATATCACGACGTGATTAAACGTCAACACAATGTCACTTGCAAGAAACGCTGAAAAATATACACATTTTTGGGTACATATTTAGAGGTGAAGTGCTACAATAACATAAATGAATAAACCTAAAAACAACTAGCAGTAATGATTCCATGAACTTTCTTTAATAGCATTATATGCTTTCTTCTAAGCATGAAAAATTGCGCAAATAAAAATGTGTCATTCAAATGGATATAACCATTTTTAATGATGGTGAAACTAATAAAAGACCATGTTTCCAGATCAATAGTATAATTCTTAAAAAAAATCAAATTAAAAAAGGACAAAAAGAGACAAGTTCACTGACCTGAGTGCTTAATCTTATGAAATCAAACTTAAAATAAAAACTTTATTTATAGTTAAAAGAAATTTTAATTCTAACGATGAAACAACTGTCCACTGGTTCATAAATAAAAGACTATTAATAAATCAGGTGCTAAATCCAATAAAATCTTTTAACAATACCAAGCTGATGCTCAATTTTTAGTGCCACTAGTAAACAGCCAGACCAGCCTGCATATCCTTAGTAAGTATGACAAGGCTCAATGCTGATGGCTGGTTAGAAGGTTGACTAGAATTTCAGCATTTTAGCAGGTTAAGGGTCAAGGACTGAAATTCATGATTTCAAGATCAAGTTCTCCTTGCTGTTGGTAAGAAAAGTAAAATTGAATATATACCTCTCCATTGATGTGACCTCCATGCCGTGTGAAATCCCTGGCTTATCTCGAATTCTGTCCCTATAGCCAGCAAATCAACAAGTCGCATTACAAGTGCAAAAAATGATGTAATCTGAAAGATTTAATTTAGGAATATTTATCAAACATTCCATTTATATTAATACCAGCAGCTATAATTATAAAAAAGATTTAAACTTTTACTGCATGTCAGAGCATATTGTGAAAAATGGGTGTTTTCAAGGAAAAGCCTCCTGTTACAAGTTCAAACTGCTGTGAAACTATGAAAAATGTTTCAATACTGATCTAACTTGGCACAGTAACAGCGTATCGAAAATATTTCAACATCAAAACAACCCAAATTAAGTATCAAATTACTAGTGCAGTCATTAAAACAGCGAAACATCAATTGCACTGATTTATGTCAGCCATGACACATTGGAACTATGTGAGAACCTGCATCAGGTTATTTGCGCAAAATCACTTTGAAGATAAAAATTTAAATACGATACATATTATTTTGATGCAAATTAAGAAAGATAGGGATGTGATTGTCTATATAAAAGTTTAGTAAACTTTACTATGAAAATTGGCTTGCGGCCCGAGCCCCTTTAGCTAGGGTCCAGGGTGGGGGACCACCGGCACAGCCCCTGAAAGCTCCTGGATTTAATGTATTTCAGGGTATTCAAAAGTAATAAAAATACAGAGTATCAAGTTAAATATGATAAATATTTGCAGGTCCTCGTACGCCAATTTTTTTAAACCATTCCGAAAGATAAAATGACTTAGTACTGCTTCTGATAGTCAGTATCTATTTAAAATTCTCCTCCATCCATTGCCATCTCCATTTGTTACCTAGCTAGGTCTGTGTCTAATTTTTTAATTGACTCAGAATATTTCGAACCATCTGAAATTCTTTCCATTTTCGTAACATAAACATGTGACTTTTTTAAAATTTAAAACAGATATCAATCTTGAGACTGTGGCACTCTGACTAGAGAACTGTGACTTAAAAACAACCAATCACATTTCAACTTTTAAAATTGAACCAGTGATCCTAAAAAAATGATTTCCGTGTGTCTTGTTTATTATGTGACGCTGAATAATTTTTTAAGTTCTGAATTTTGGCAACTTTTTTCAATCCGCAAGTTATTTCTCTTTAGAAAATTAGTGAATTTCTCAAGTCTCTTATTGCGGGGGGAAGGGGATTTTTATTAAAAAGTGAGAATTTATTACATTTTTTTCCTTCTTTCGCTATGTGGGGGGGGGGGGTCTAAAAAATGTGAGTGAATCCCCCGTCCCCCCTCCTAGAATAGACACTGTATTGCGACTGCAGGACAGGTGATATTACATAGATGTTGGTCTTTACAAAGGGCATCGTCTATATAATAAAAAAGCCCTTGCGCCAAAACTGTTGGACTAGAATACCTTGAGCTTATTCTATTATGATCGTCAAATTGATCAGTTTATACGCAAATTACTCATAAATTTGAAAACCGGAAATAGATCAACATTACCTGTAAAACTTACCTGTACAGGTAAATAACTGTTGTTCAATCAATCAACTCAACTACAAATACGTATGAAATCAGAATGATTTGAAAAATACTTACCGCAACAAATATAAAACAAACAATCGACGCTGAACGCAAGTTCCAGCACAGAAATCTGTGCATGAACGCCATTTTTACTGTTTTTCAAGGAAAGGGCGAAAGTCTATACAGATTTGAAGGTACTCGTCCATACAGATTTGAAAGTCGTAAAATCTGCATGATGTCGTGAAAGTAAATATAGATCTACTGTAAGGAATAAAAGATACGTTTTTCTGAAACTTTTTCATTTTAATGAAAAATAAATTAGGTTTTTATAAGGAATAGTTTGAACAAAAACATAAAAAATGCATTACCGCATGTACTGAAAAAGGTTCATGACCACCAAATTTTACTCTTGATATTTTGTCTATACAGATTTTGACTGAACTAATAATGTCTATCCTAATATGTGTCCTGATTTGAAAGATCTTACCAAGTTATGTGTACTAAAAAACTTAACTTCACTAATTTTACTATATTTCACCCTATATAATGTGTCTATACAGATTTCACCAGACTTCATTCGGTATGATCTGTCTATACAGATTTCACCAGACTTCATTCGGTATGATCTGTCTATACAGATTTCACCAGACTTCATTCATTATGATCTGTCTATACAGATTTCACCAGATTTCATTCGGTATGATCTGTCTATACAGATTTCACTAGACTTCATTCATTATGATCTGTCTATACAGATTTCACCAGACTTCATTCGGTATGATCTGTCTATACAGATTTCACCAGACTTCATTCATTATGATCTGTCTATACAGATTTCACCAGATTTCATTCGGTATGATCTGTCTATACAGATTTCACCAGACTTCATTCATTATGATCTGTCTATACAGATTTCACCAGATTTCATTCGGTATGATCTGTCTATACAGATTTCACTAGACTCACTAGACTTCATTCATTATGAACTGTCTATACAGATTTCACTAGACTTCATTCATTATGATCTGTCTATACAGATTTCACTAGACTTCATTCATTATGATCTGTCTATACAGATTTCACCAGACTTCATTCATTATGAACTGTCTATACAGATTTCACTAGATTGCATTCATTATAATCTGTCTATACAGATTTCACTAGATTTCATTCATTATGATCTGTCTATACACTGATTTCACTACACTTTATTTATTATAATCTGTCTATACAGTTTTCACTAGATTTCATTCGGTATCATCTGTCTATACAGATTTCACCATACTTCATTCGGTATGATCTGTCTATACAGATTTCACTAGATTGCATTCATTATGAACTGTCTATACAGATTTCACCATACTTCATTCGGTATGATCTGTCTATACAAATTTCTCTTGACTTCATTCTTTATGAACTGTCTATACAGATTTCACTAGACTTCATTCATTATAATCTGTCTATACAGATTTCACTACACTTTATTTATAATGAACTGTCTATACAGATTTCACTAGATTTCATACAGATTTCACTAGACTTCATTCATTATAATCTGTCTATACAGATTTCACTACACTTTATTTATTATGAACTGTCTATACAGATTTCACTAGATTTCATTCGGTATGATCTGTCTATACAGATTTCACTAGATTGCATTCATTATGAACTGTCTATACAGATTTCACTAGACTTCATTCATTATAATCTGTCTATGCAGATTTCACTACACTTTATTTATTATGAACTGTCTATACAGATTTCACTAGATTTCATTCGGTATGATCTGTCTATACAGATTTCACTAGATTGCATTCATTATGAACTGTCTATACAGATTTCACTAGATTTCATTCGGTATGATCTGTCTATACAGATTTCACTAGATTGCATTCATTATGAACTGTCTATACAGATTTCACTAGACTTCATTCATTATAATCTGTCTATACAGATTTCACTACACTTTATTTATTATGAACTGTCTATACAGATTTCACTAGATTTCATTCGGTATGATCTGTCTATACAGATTTCACCATACTTCATTCGGTATGATCTGTCTATACAGATTTCACTACACTTTATTTATTATGAACTGTCTATACAGATTTCACTAGACTTCATTCGGTATGATCTGTCTATACAGATTTCACTACACTTTATTTATTATGAACTGTCTATACAGATTTCACTAGACTTCATTCGGTATGATCTGTCTATACAGATTTCACCATACTTCATTTGGTATGATCTGTCTATACAGATTTCACTAGATTGCATTCATTATGAACTGTCTATACAGATTTCACTAGACTTCATTCATTATAATCTGTCTATACAGATTTCACTACACTTTATTTATTATGAACTGTCTATACAGATTTCACTAGATTTCATTCGGTATGATCTGTCTATACAGATTTCACCATACTTCATTCGGTATGATCTGTCTATACAGATTTCACTACACTTTATTTATTATGAACTGTCTATACAGATTTCACTAGACTTCATTCGGTATGATCTGTCTATACAGATTTCACTACACTTTATTTATTATGAACTGTCTATACAGATTTCACTAGACTTCATTCGGTATGATCTGTCTATACAGATTTCACCATACTTCATTTGGTATGATCTGTCTATACAGATTTCACTAGATTGCATTCATTATGAACTGTCTATACAGATTTCACTAGACTTCATTCATTATAATCTGTCTATACAGATTTCACTACACTTTATTTATTATGAACTGTCTATACAGATTTCACTAGATTTCATTCGGTATGATCTGTCTATACAGATTTCACCATACTTCATTTGGTATGATCTGTCTATACAGATTTCACTAGATTGCATTCATTATGAACTGTCTATACAGATTTCACTAGACTTCATTCATTATAATCTGTCTATACAGATTTCACTACACTTTATTTATTATGAACTGTCTATACAGATTTCACTAGAATTCATTCGGTATGATCTGTCTATACAGATTTCACCATACTTCATTCGGTATGATCTGTCTATACAGATTTCACTACACTTTATTTATTATGAACTGTCTATACAGATTTCACTAGACTTCATTCATTATTATCTGTCTATACAGATTTCACTACACTTTATTTATTATGAACTGTCTATACAGATTTCACTAGACTTCATTCAGTATGATCTGTCTATACAGATTTCACTACACTTTATTTATTATGAACTGTCTATACAGATTTCACTAGATTTCATTCGGTATGATCTGTCTATACAGATTTCACCATACTTCATTCGGTATGATCTGTCTATACAGATTTCACTACATTGCATTCATTATGAACTGTCTATACAGATTTCACAAGACTTCATTCATTATGATCTGTCTATACAGATTTCACCAGATTTCATTCGGTATGATCTGTCTATACAGATTTCACCAGACTTCATTTTTTTATGATCTGTCTATACAGATTTTACCAGACTTCATTCATTATGATCTGTCTTAACAGATTTCACCAGACTTCATTTGTTATGATCTGTCTATACAGATTTCACCAGACTTTATTATGATCTGTCTATACAAATTTAACCAGACTTCATTCATTATGATCTGTCTATACAGATTTCAATCAGTATGATCTGTCTTTACAGGTTTCAGATTTCACTGGACATGATGTGTCTTTACCAATTTGACTTTATTCTATCTGTATGATGTTCTCATACACATTTTGCTTGACTTTGTTTTGTATGAATCTAAAAATTTACCATTTTCATAAGTAACATTTTTTTTTAAATATTTAATTGTTTAAGATATATAAGGTCATTTCCATAAAAGTACTGGTAGGAGCAAATCATGTTCATTTAAAATTGCAAGAACTTTTTCAAAACTACATTGCTACTACAGACCAAGACAATTTTAATTTCTTAGTGTCAACATAAAAGTGGACATTCCCTCTACACCAGTATTAACAGTTGTATATCTAAGTTCACTCACTGAAAGAGTAAGTCATAGCAGTACCAAACCTTGAGCACAGGAAAGAAAAGACAAAACAATTAACAGCTGTAATATAGTTTTATTTTGTACTTTATGGTCTTAAAAGTAACTCATGACACTCATTGATACATGTATTGCTAATAGATGCTCACACAGGACATCAATATATCAAGCGCAAAGCCAAAAATTGAAATTACATTTAATGATATTAATGAGGAAAAAAAAAAACAATTGTGAAGCAACACCTGGTCTTTCCACAGAAAAGAACATCATCCAAAAAAGTAATTTAACCTTGTACATTGTAACTTCTCATTGGAAAACGATAAGCAAAAACATTTTGTACTTTCATTAAGCCAAACATCTGTTTCTTCTCCCAGTATGTTTGTGTACATACTACATGACAAGTTAACATATTGATGGCTGAAGCAACACTGGTCTAACTTAAAAAAAAAAAATTCTTCAAAAATTACTTTTTTTACATTTTTAGCCTCATTGCATGAAATACACAAGTAAATAAAATATTATAAATAATTGTGAAATTTTATTGTTTTTATTAATCACTTGGAAAATATTAAATACAAAAACTAAGAATGATAGAGGAAAGAGAAATGTAACAAATTACTGTACTAGGAATATGGGGAAAAATATATTAAAAAACGTCACAAAATTTGAGTACATGTATAACTTGGATGGTGAACAAAGCTATAGATACAAGTGCCATGCCATGTTTAATTATAAAGAGCTGCAAAAGCTTTTCTTTGACAACTTAGAGATATCACCTTACTTTATGCAAAATGTTCTAAAAGTTAATTAGGATTTTACTTGAAAACCTGACTTGCAATATGTTTTCAGATTATCAATTTATTGATGCTATAAACATTAAATAAAAACATATAATTCTATGAAAGTATTGGATTTAATTTGCAACCAGCACAGACTGATATCAACTGACACACAACTGTGCCAGCTAGTTTATAAGGGTATACACTCTTTGCAGCTTGGACAATAAGACCCTTCCAACCATGTTGGCAATTAAGTGTGTGGTTCGATCAACTGGCAACTTATATGATAAATTCAATATGAAAATACAATAATGTCATATCCTCCATGTAAATGCATAACTACTTGAATGTTACTTATGTGTCTGATAATTTTGTGCCGTGGCACAAACGACTAGATTCTCTTTATCTTAATAGGACCCTTCAGGGTAAAAATGTCACTCCATTCAATCGACCCTTTCTTGTTTGTAGTTTGGTTTTCTTTGAATCACCTGTAAAAAATGACAAAAGTTTACTTTACTCTGCATTGAAAGCAACATTTATAACATTGTTTCTACCAAAATTGTGATCACCTAAATAAATACACAAATTTTAAACTTAAATTCGGGCACGAAGTGTTCAATTTTGGTTAAGGCTTTCTTCCAAAGCATGTAGTGCTTTGATATTTTTAGATTTTATGTACAGTTAAACCTGTAAGTAAAGACCACTCATGGGAATGGCAAAATGTGGTATTTATTTACTTGTCAGTTTTTATCACTAAAGGACGTTTTTGGAAGTTTTCATGTAGACATATAGGCAAAATTAAAACTGCTCAATAGAATTTCTTTAAACTTGGCAAGTAAGATGTTGTTAGAATATGATAACAGAAACATTTTTAGCGAAAAAAAAAATTTTGGTCACCGTTCTTGTTTTTGAGTCATCTGCCTTTGAATTGGACTTTTTTGTTAAATTCAAGGGCAGATAATTTACAATGAAGGGAATTAATACATTTTTTTTTCTTATTTTCATCAAGCTTACCTTCATTTTAGTTGATATGCAAAATTTCAAGAACAAATTTAGAGTGAGTACTTTTTATTCCCACTTCTTCTTTTAACCTGTGCATTTTTTCTTTAAAAAAATGGCCTGTTTTTTAAGGATTTAAAGTACCTTTATTTTCATTGAAAAAAAGTTAATGGAAATGATGTAAAGAATTGCATATTATTATGTATTGTACTCAACAATAAAAAGAAAAGCATAATCCAGAAGTAAAAACAAGAATTCATTTGAGTATGTATAAAGTATCTGCCCTTGAAATGACCTCAAATAAGTAGAAAAGTCTGACAATTCCCTTGAGACGTTTTAGGAAAGCATTTTCAGGGAAGGTTCTGTTGAAATAATAAATTTGTGAAATGCTATTTAGTTTGGTCTTTTAAGTAAAATATGTCTCAAAATTTATTGTCACTGAATAGGGACATCACTGAGGTGGCAGGATGACTGACTAAATTGACTACACATGACATCTAATAATGTTTCTAAGTTCTGACATTCTGAATTTGGTCGGTAAGATATAATTCAACCTTTAAAATAAGTTTTCAGAAACGTGCAGAGTTTGTGCTATATGTACGAAGTTAATGAAAAATACATACTTAGTTGAATGTTACACGGCTTTGTTTTTGGATTTGTTAAGAAATTGTGTACAGTAGTCTTCAAGCCTCGCTGTAATCACTGTCTGGAAAAACTTGTAAAATTGCACATTGGAGTACCTCTGTGTTGCACTGCTCTACTACGCTTGAATGGAAGAGAAAAATATTGTTTAAACAATTTATTATGGGTAAAGGGTTTGATGCTGCTTCCAACAATAATTCAGTCATATCACGACGGCAGTAAATACTTGCCCTGCTACAAAGTTTACCAGGTATACTAGTAAATGTAAACAGGATTTTAATATAAGTTAATGTCACATATAATAATGCAATACATGGCACAAAAGTAAATATTAAAGGCCAGGAGGTCTTCTGCACAAAAAAGCATTTAGCCATCCCAACAGTAGAGACTTGTGAAGAATTCCATTGTTCAAATTGAATATTATATTAAAGTCATGAAAATGTGGACTTCTTCATGTTTCCAATGATTTTTTAAAAATATTTCTGACTGTATTGTTATTTAAAAACAATTATGGAATCCTATCAAGTAATATTCATTGATAGACATGACAATATGTATAATATTAATTTAGTATCAAATCTGAAGAATCCATTACATATATAAACATGTGTATACATGTACCTTGTTAGAACCTGAGCTCCTTAATTTCACTGAAGCATTCATACTATCCCTCTGTCCACCTGCAACACATGGGAGATAAATGCTATAATACTTCAATAGTAAGTAAATAATAAATATTTACATTAAAATAAGCAACTTTTAATTTCATATATGAATGAAACAGAGACACTGTTCCCTGGCTTTTAAATCAAGCTAAAAATGATTATGTCACTTAAAATATGGAATTTAAAATTGCATACACAACCCTAACCAAGTCCAGCACTGCTGCAAACATAGACTTGCAAAGGATAAAATTCCTCCAGTTATTCAAATAATCTTAAGTTCGAATACATTTAATATGAATACAAACTTTCAGATTTGTCCTCAGCTGTAGAGGTGTGAGAGGTTCTAGAGGTATGACCTTGTAGACATGGTGTTGGCTTACTTGATGGGTTTGATCTACATACATCTCTCTGAAAGCAGTACAAATTTATTTACAGATAATTTAAATTTGCATTCTGTAGGCCTACATATGATTGATAAATACAATTATTCACAAAAAGTAATAAAAATATGTGTGAAATGTAATCTATTATAGCTCATATGATCTATTAACTATATTGCCTTATGTGGCATCAGAAGGTAACAATCTGTAATGTCCCAAGCAAACATCTTATATGGCACCAGACAGTATTGAACAAGATATAACAATGGTCGTAGGACAGGGGGGACCGTGAGACAGGGCAAACCATACCATGACGGACCATATGTTTGGAAATGGCGGACCATGACTCGAGATGAGGCGGACCGTGATTAATTTCAAATTTAATACTGCTATTTCATTTATTTATTTTTTTATCTTTTGATATCAATATTATCAAAAACAAAAATTTTTTTTAAAAAATAAATTAATATAATTTTATACTAGTACATGTATACAATGTAAACTTAGAGTATTAACATTTACAGTACCCTTGCAATTATAAGTATAAAATAGGTAGCGTAAGATAGTGGGAATGGATTGAAAAAATCTTATAAGTAAAACATATTTTCCTTCTGCACTGAAGTTAATAAACTTGACAAAATTACTTTAATTGTAATATTTTTTTATATAATCCATTCATAACATTTAAGTTGTATAAAGGAAAAATGATTATTTATATTAGTTAATTCCTTAATAACTAAAGGACAACCAAGAATAGTTTATGTACAATGTATATCAATTCGCTAAACAGACAGCATCTTAAAGTTTATGATGTAAACTAACTTGTCAAAGGAATCAAAATTGAAGGAAGTCAATGTCAAAAAAGATAAAATATTCCATCAAGACACTTTCCACCAAAAAAAAAATAAATTCTGGATAGGTGCGCAATTTTGTAATGTCACTCATCATCATTTTATGCTATTGTGTTGTATGTCAGATGTGAATAACAGCCCTTTTCTTTATGTGTAACTGTGTTGTTAAATGAAGTTTTACCCTCTTATTATTTATATCTGCTGTCTGTCATATTTAAGAAACAATGACTTGTAATTATATCTCTGTAATTGGTCAATTATCACCTGCATAATGTCCAACTCGATGCGTTATTAATAATTTCATTAAACAAATTTATTATAAATTAATAAACTGCATTAATGTATGTACAGTGCCACTCCAGATACAACGAGATCGTTGGGACTTCGGATGATTCCTTGTTATAACCGAGTCTCATTATAACCGGGACAGAACAAATTGGGGAAATCCGACACTGTCCAGCATCATTAATTTCTACTTTCGTGTGCATCCTTTTTGAAAAGTATATAATGGGAGGTAACTCTTTGCAATCAGAAGTTTTTGTTTTATTTAAATATGCATGTATATAAATATATCTAGCTATCATCGAATTTCAACAAAACATGAAAACACAACCGCGTGTGTTTTTTCATTAATATGTACATTTTAAAATTTGTTTCCAAAACGTTGCATTTCTCACGAACACCGCAAGACATTAACCGCTTCCTTTCTTGTGACAATTTAGCCTGGAGCGCAGACAAAACAAGGCTGACACATTTGATCGCTAATTGCTCGACCCATTATCTCGTCCCACATCAATAATTTCTTCCTTAATTGACCTTTATTATTGGTCATCATGGTTTTTCTCAAGGTGACAAACTGATGCAGACGAAGTGCAAATGAAGTGCAAATGAAGTGACCTCCTTAAAATTCTGAAAAATATGCATTGGACAGCGAAATTATGTACGTTGTAACCGATATCTCACTAAAACCGAAACGATCTCATTATAAACGAAAAAAAATGAAAGGAAAATAGATGGAAAAAGGCCGGGACACAGTAGAACGTACGTTGTAAGCGGTACCTTGTCCTTGTTAAAACTGTTCTCATTGTTAAGTGGAGTAGACTGTATATGTTTATAATGATATTAAAAGAAAAAAAAGAAAATGAATTGACACTATTTAGATATTTTTATAACATTTAATTACGAACCGCCTCGTCTTGAGTCAGGGTCCGCCCTGTCCCAAAATATGGTCCACCCCATCCAAACATACGGTCTGCCCTGTCTCACGGTCCGCCCTGTCCATAATTCATAACATTAAAACAATATAACACAAATCCATTTTTTTCCATTTTCATCTTTTTCTATATTTTGATATTAAATGAATAACAAGATTAAACAAATGTTTATGTCAAATCAATCATTCAATGCGACTAACACTTTTGTTTCACTCATACGCAAAAATCATTAGAGAGGGTATCATGTTGCCCTAAGCCGCTTTTTTTAGTAATATCGGAAAAATGGCGAATTTAGAATAGAGACATCTACGTTAAAAAATCGTTACATTCAATCAAATTTGAGTTCTACAAACCGTTCAAAAGGCTTTTTCTCCCGAAACCAAGTGCCTATGGTTTTAACTGCAAATTGCATATAAGGAACTAAGGCCGTAAGGGAAGTAACTCATACTATCTGAACCCCATCTGCGAATTATGATGAACGTTGATTGTCATAATTATGACAAGTAAGAGATTCAACAATATTATTTTATCACAAAAGACTGTCTATCATCTATGCGCAATTGGCGCAAAGATATAAACTGATAAAGATGTTAGCTTTAATCTTGTAAAAATAAACCTTTTAACATAACAAAATAACCATACCAAGACTTCTGAAACCCTTTGGTCACATATCCTCGATGATATCTAACACTGTATTCCCTTTCATACTCGTCTAGTTGAAAACATCGGCTGGCGGCCATTTTCCTGATGTTTTGCTGAAAATCGTTCTGTCAGACGGTTTACGGCAGATAAATTTGTATAGACAAGGGGCATGAAATCTGTATAGACTTTCGCTTTAACGGTTTTTCAAATGGCCTCGATCTGATAATCAAAATACCTGAGGGAGCGGCAATTTCTACAGGTAAAAATGAATCAATAAATATGCGAAATCTTGTTACAACAATACTTTTGTATTATGATTTATTATTTAGAATTGAACAAAAAGAATTATATTCACTCTACAAGGAAAAGTTTGATTTTATTTTATTTCTGCCAGATAAAGAATTAAACAACTGCTCCCATATTTCGTTTTTAGGTTGTACAACACTAAATAGTGACTTAATAGGTTTCATACAACCAGATATTCCAACCATTTTTAAAAAAAAAGAAAAAGAAAATCGAATGTCATTAACTAATTCAAGCACCATAATAGCTGTTATGCAAACGAAAATGCATTTGGTATAATATTAACAACATAGCTGGTCCTGAGGATCAAAATTAAAAAAACTCAAAACCAATCCTCATTTTTAATCCATTTCATTACAAGTAATATAATCCGTGATTTCACATTCAATACTAACTGAATGAAATTGGATTTGATATAGCATGATCTTAAAATTTTAGAAATAAGAAATATATTATTATGGGTGTGACATTTCAACACACTGCATATATGGGTCCTTCAAATAGAATAATCTAAAATAGATCCTTGATATCATTGATGATACAAATTTAAAGATATAATTATAGTTCAGAAAGTGAACTAAAATTCATGTTATATCTATATTTTTTCAATTTTATCCCAAAATTGGATCATTTCTTTGCAAATCAGCAATTACATTATTGTACTTTGATTTTGTTTAAAATACTTAAAATGTTTTTTAGTCTTAAATGTGATCAATTTTAGTTTCATAGACCATTAAAAATATCATCAGGATCATTTGATCCTTATCTGTTTTGTGTGTGTGTGTGTGTTGTTGTTTTTTTTTTAATCATTTAAATTTAATTTACAAAAAGGATATGTCCCAACTTTTTCTACATTATCATTTGTTATCTGCAAGGCATTGATCAATACTCAGTAAATTTATAATGTGCCTTCCAAGCTTCCAATTAAGTTGCTTTATTTTTTAGCACATGGCTTCTTATAGGTCATTAAGTGTTCCACATTATTTCTACAAATTATAATTATATACTGGTATAATGCATTGTCTGTAGACTTTATGGTATTTACATAATATATAGTTTCCTTTTTTAAAGACAAGTTTTTCTATGTAAACAAGTACTAATATTAAGCCTTTAGTAATACAAAGTTTGTCAATATGAAGTCCATTTTTGTATTTTCTGATCGCAAGATCAGTAAATACATAGCTAACATCCACGGTCTAACACAAAATTTCCTAACAGACCTAACAACGCAAAGTAGTTCTCACTCAAAATTGCTTAAAAAGCAGAAATTTAAAAGACAGAATAATTTTTAATGTAGGCAATTAACGAATTACAGTGCATTGAAAGTTCAGATAAGTCAATAGAAATATGAGGTTACAATCACAAATTTCGCGGATGAATATCATTTTAATCAATGAAAGTGCTATTTTTAGCTATGTCGATTACTGAATACGCCAGGGCGTAGTACACAAATAAATCTGACTGCTGAGTAGTGGAATATATACATGTCGGACTGTTTATCGTGAACAAAATACCTCGAAATTGATTAGGATTACAAACATGAAATGGAAATTTTCAATTTAGAATTACAATGTATTTGTTTTTATTCAGGCTACATATTATGTATTACTTCATCGTGGTGCAGGGGTATCGCGCTCGTTTCGCGCTCGTTTAGGGTGTGAGAGGTCTAAGGTTCAAATCCTAGTCAAGGCAACTTTTTTTTTGAAGTGTGTTTTTTAAGGAAGAAACCACGATATGCAGGGATAAAGTGTGACTGTCATAAAAAATGATTTTTGATGCAACTCTAGTCATGCTGCAAAATTCCATATGTATCAATCTCAAACTGTTATAGAAAAAAATCTTAACGCAGTCGCTGCGTAAGATGAATTATAGTATATAAAAATAAACTTATATAGGAAAATACATACAGATAGTCAGTATGATTTAGATTGCAAAGATCAGAAAATACCACAGAGCTTGCAGCCCTTTGATTGAATTATCTGGGGATATCTTTTTTTGCTATCAGGGGAGGTAACTATAATATTACTTTCAAACTTCGCACTTTGATTACTTCCCTTGATGTTTCTCTTTTTCAGAATATCAAGGGAGGTTACTAGTTACCTCTTTTGTACATTAGGGGAGGTAACTATAGTCTTTTTTTTTTGGAATATCAGGCCCCATGTTGACATACATTCCATGACCAGGATCAAAATTTGCATTTTAAAATTTCTCTTTTGTTTTTCTCATGAAATTAACTTAAATATGGCTTCAGATGATGGATTTTTAGGAAAAAAAAAAATAATTACTTAACAAAATAAGAGCATTTGATCCATTTTGATCTTGAACCTAGAATTAACACTTATTTTGATCCAAGTATTATTTTGTACTGTACATGTAATTTGTACTGTTATCACAAAATAAGTTTGTGTTATCAGGGTCTTTCGAATAATTTTATTTGAAAGACCCTGAATTTATTGAAAATCAGTGATTTTATAACATTTTTTATATAAACCATAATATATTATTTTAGGGCGATCAAAGTAGTAAAGTAGTTCAAAAACAATGTTATATTCTGTAAAAATAAAACAAAAATTACAAACCAAATTTGGGTTCACATATTTATTTATTTAATAATCTAATAGTTATAATCTAAATTTTTTCCTAAACATACATCAACAGTTCAGTCTTACAAAACTTAATAGTAATTCAAAATGCTTACTTAGAAAAAAGCAGTACTTAGAACTGGCAGACAAAAAAACAATGTGATTGAAGGTTTAGTCTTACTGTAATGCTTTCCCACCAAAAAATTCTAACATCGGCCAATATCATAATAAATCGGTCATTTCCGGGCTAGTTATATTTCACAATCTTCGGTATTCAATAATTTTTAACCGCTTATAACCAGAATTTAGTACATAGGGATAAAGAATGAGTGATTCTAAATAATATAATGCCCAAGATTTTGAAAAAATAACGTTTGGGAAATAACCGATATGCTTTGATATTGGCCGGTGTTAGAATATTTTGACTGGGAAAGCATTACAGTAAGACTACCTTAACTGTTTACCTGCTGGAACCAAAAGTACATGTAATAAAGCATACATCACAAGCATAAAGCCAGGTCAGCATGCTCATACATTGTATTTACAGCCAGAGAAAGCACTACACTGTCGACAGTTCAGTCTTTTTACAATTATTTTGATACTGAAATGCCAATTACTATGAGTAAACTATTTCAAATTCAAAACAGAACAAATTCATTACACAGCAGGTTAAGGGTTAACTTTTCATTGACTGTCCTGCAAAATATTTAAAAAAGAAAATATCAAAATTTCTATTCCTCTCAACATAGTCCCTATAATTTCGTTCACATGACTAACATTTCAAGCTGCCCATTTTCAGATATCATATATGTGAAATAAAATGTTGATATGATGCACTAATCAATGATTCCCATTTAACTAAATTCTGATCTTAAAAAATTGCAAAGCTTTACATGTAAAAAATAAGATTTTCTCATTTTTGTCTGAATAAGGACAGAATGGACTGATATATGAGATTTCAAGTCATACCAACACTTAAATAGATCACATGACAATTTTGAAATTGGTAAGACCTTGTGAGGAAAAACCCTATGTTCTGTTGCTCCTGGATGCATTATTTTCAGCGCACGCAGGCACAAAAGTAGAACCACCAATGCTTGGCCAAAATGTTGGTTGTTATCTTATAAATGTTATTTGCTATATTTTTAAAGCCGGTTTAAAAATTTTTTAAAAAAAATTTAGTATTTTGAAACATGATGCTGACGGGATGTTTTATGTCTAAAATGTTTTTTGGGCTTTGAAACTCCTGGATTAAACACTGCTTAAAATTTCCCGCATTAAAATTTACAAAAAATTACAATTTAAAAAGAATTAAAAAAAAAATTTGGGCCTTTTACATATTAGCCTTACCCCAAAAATAACTATTATAGTAAAAATTTTTTAACCCCAAAAAAGTAATCTGAAAATTTTTTTTAAAACCAAAATCAAAATTTCTAAAGGAAAAAAAGATAATTTTAAATTCTTAAATTCAAAAATGTTTTTACCCCTTTGTCTTTAAAATTTTCAAAAAATTTTTAAACGTTTTTTTTTAAAAAGTTGAATTTCAAATTTTGGCAAGTTTATAAACTCTTTTGGAAATGAATTACATAAACAGAGATTATAGTAACCTTACTGAAACTCCTTTAAAAACTGCCAACATCTCTCTGAACACATTGTTTATAATATACATATGCAACCCTTTAAAGAAATTTATTTAAAAGTTAATAATTTCACCATTCACCTTACATTATACAGGTAAATATTACAGATATTTGTTTCTTTTGAGTGAATCTTGATTATATTTTATTGAAAAAATATTCTCACATGCATATAACAATAGTGAAATATCAAATACACATGTACCTTCACCTTGAACATAAGTCATGTAATTCTTCAGAATTTTGATATTTAGCATCAAAAGGAAACAAATTTTTCATTTATTTTATGCTATTTATATGACCAAATCACTTATCACGTTGAGTAATTGACCATGCCTTCTAATATCATTTTCTTGTAAAATTCTAAACCTTTAAAAATTTTTCCTTTTTAACAACCCCTGGCGATTTGGCCCCATTATTTATTTTATTAGCCCCTTATGAAAAAACCAAAATAATGGTTTTTTCGAACCCCGCATGGGTCCAGGGCCCGCCCGCGCTTTCCCTGCAGTTGATCAGGATCCCTGCTGTTTGCGTTTTAAATCTTAAAAAGGGGGAAACTGCAGCGAAAAGAGATCCTGACGACTGCCCCGGAAAAGCCCCGGCTGGGCTGGGTCCCTGCCCGGTCGCAAAACCATTTTGTTGGGTTTTGTTTATAACGGCTCAATAAAGGAAAAAAGTTTACACAAATATTGGGACATATATGGGGTTTAAAAAAAAAAGTAAATATGGGAAATTTTTCTCTTGTTTTTGTTACAACAAAAAATTTGCAATTTTTCCCTTTTGGGATTTAGAATAGAAAATGTTATCTTTTTTTCCTGTTTTGTAGTACAGTTATGCACAATTCATTATTTACCATTTCTTTGTTATCATTCAGGCCTACTCAGGCATCGGTTAATATAATACAATGTACTGTTCATTTGAACTCAAACTATGCATTACACCGTGAAAACTCCTTGATTCTGAGCAAAATATAAAAAATGTATGTTTTGTACCCTTGAAGGCCCTTTAACTAGCATAAAATAAATGTCTTCTTCAGAATATTAGGTAAACTCACAGTTACAGTTAATTTGATCACAGAACGCTAATCCAACACTGTTTAAACTTGATAGTAATGTAGAAAATCTATGCTCAAGACAGTGTTGCATTTCAGTTTTGACATTTACACACATACATAATTATATATACATGTTTATAATTATAATATGTCTATACCTATACAATATAATAACCTTGTTGCAACTGATTCTTGTAAAATTAAATTTTGTTACTCTATCTTAGTATGTATTAGTATACCTCTGAAGGCAAACACTTTGAGTGTTGACAAGATTTTTGTTTTTAGAGGTGAACTTGCTATGTGATTCAATGTAGTGTGAAAGTATACATAGCTCTAAAACAAGGCTTGTTCCTACAGAGGTTAGCACTATTATTAACTAAATATTTATTGATATTAGTTTATTGAAACACCCAATTTTTAAAACACTATTTTTTATAACTTGTTGGCAAGAAATTCAAATTTAATGCTTGCAACTTTGACATTAACATTAAGCACAAATTTCCATGCTTATTTATATTTTAATACCCAAAATTTTGTGCCTTGACTGTTTAAATTAAATTTTGCAAACTTTTTATATGCTTTACCATTTCACTTACAATTTTATGTTGGAACTAAAGTGATAAGTCCTCACCATGGGAACAGAGCCCGGCCAGCCTGTATGGATACAAGGCTCTATTTTGAAGAAAATCCCTCTGGTACTTATGATTCGGACAAAGCTTATTACATAAATCTAATAAATGGGAATAACTCTTCAAGTAGGCAAGATAGAGTTATTGTTCTTGAACACTGCTCTTCCTCCAAGTGTGGTCTGTCAGTGAATAAAGTTTGAAGAAAATCACTCAAATAGTTTTGTAGTTATGTTCTGGACAAAATTGGGACAGATGTACAAACTAAGACTATTTCTAATATAAAACCAACATAGTGTGTTTGCGACCAGCATGGATCCAGACCAGCCTGCACATCTGCGCAGTTTGATCAGGATCCATGCTGTTCGCTATCAGTTTCTCCACTAATAACAGGGTATGAAAGCGAACAACATTGATCCTGATCAGACTGCACGGTTGCACAGGCCGGCCTGGAGCCATGTGGGTCACAAATGCACTATGTTCGTTTTGACATGGAGCAGCTCATTTATAAATCTAAGCACAACCATTAGTACATAAAAATTTGAAAATCTAAGCACAGCCAGGCAGTTGAAACTGAAGGACAGCTGTAATCTAGTACATGTACACTCTACATACAGTTAGGCAATTAAAAATTCTATCCATAGCTGGACACTAAAATCTATTGGCATGCAAAATATAAGAGTACTTTCACATAAAAAAAGAGCAGGGTTGTGAGCAAATAACTTGACAAATTAAATAAATAAACCTAAATAAGTGTTCACTTTCTCCTTTCCACCACATTATATGTAAATCTCAATAAACTTTTCTTCTTCAAATATGAATGTAACTTTCTAACATTTAAACTATATGTTACATTACTATCCACAAAAACCATTGTACACAAAATGGACAAAATTAGATCATACAAAAACATGAAGATTAGTTGAATCTATTACCATAATAATATTTGAACACTAGCATATAAAATACACAAAATAAAAGCATATTTAATACACAAAATAAAGTGAAAAATAATGAGTATATAGTTGGAAATAAAGATTTTTGCCAGGTAATATGGCTCAGTGAAAATGATTGTGACATTAAATAACCCAAGCCAATAAGGGAGGGTTTATATGGTTCACCCCAGCCATTAAGGGAGGGCATATATGGTTAACCCAAACCATTAATGGAGGGTTTATATGGTTTACCCAAGTAGGGAGGGTTTATATGGTTAACCAAAGCCATTAAGACAGGGTTTATATGGTTAACCCAAGCCATTAAAGGAGGGTTTATATGGTTAACCCAAGCCATTAAGGCAGGGTTTATATGGTTAATCCAAGCCATTAAGGCAGGGTTTATATGGTTAACCAAAACAAATAAGTGAGGATTTATATGGCTAACCCAAGCCATTAAAGAAATGTTTTTATGATTCACATGTTTATGCACAGCCATATAACCTGTTCAAAGTCTTTATGTTGAATTTATATTACTGCACAACTGTTTTCTTTGTAGAAAATCAAATTTTATTAATTGGGTCATTTTGTGCCTAAAAATAATTATTCTGGAAATAAAAAACAAACTGAGCTAACGGCCTGAAATTTTGAATACAAGTTCTTGGTCCAGACTGATATCAAACAATATAAAAATCTTGAAAAAAATTTTCTTTAGTTTTCACATGCCAAAAAACTGCAGTTGAGTCCCTTTAAAGTGCGATATATTTCAAGTTTATGGTTTTGTCTGATGTAATTTTAAGGGAAACAGTAAGATTTCCTATGAGTAGTGAATAATATAAACCATATCTCACCAACAAAGCCCCATATTTTATTGATTATCATACAACTATTTTATAGTATATGGTGCTCGAACAGTTAAAAAATAAATATTTGATATATATGGGCTGTACATTTGTACTTATACGTAATTTCATATGACAAGCATTTACACTGTGAGTCAAATATATGTGGGTTTATAATATTACACCTATATGGCTTGTACTAAGGGACTAAAATTTTAAAATTACATAAAACTTTTAGATATCAAATAAATTTAAGTTTTTTCAAAAATGTTCAAACAAAACCCTCATGAGAACCATCAACCAGCAGGTATTTTGTACAGGCTACTGAAATTCATCTAACAGATCTTTAAAAGTTAACATGTTACAAAAAAAACATGACAAATTGAACATGCTATCTTAACAATTGTAGAAAATTCTGATCCCTTTAAAACCAATAGATAGGCTAATCTCCATGTCGGGTGTTCAAGTAGTATTTGTCCACGATCGTGTGAATCTTTGGAGTAACTCCACTACACTGTCGTCGTCATTTTCTTGAGCATCTTGTAATAATGTGCGTCCGTCACTGTCAGGAATTTCTTTATTTGCCCCTGATTTTAATAATAAGTTCATCATATCCTCATCACTGTTGCTGTATGCATGCCACAGGGCCGTCCACTCATCATTATCCTGTAGGTTGATATTGCACCGATTCTGTAATAAATGAAATACATGTATAACAATAATACAGATTATATCTGCAGAAACTTATACCTTTCTTTCATTTGTACATCAATAAAATACTATTATACATGAGAATATTATTGATAATATTTTTAAAATTGCAGACTATACATGAGGTATCATTGAAATTGCAGACTACATATGTGATATTTTTGAAATTGCAGACTGCATATGTGATATTACTGATATTGCAGATGACACATGAGATATTGAAATTGCAGACTGCATATGTGATATTATTGAAATTGCAGCATGCATATGTGATATTACTGATATTGCAGACAACACATGAGATATTATTGAAATTGCAGTCTGAAGATAAGATGTCTGAAACTGCAGACTGCATATGTGATATTACTGATATTGCAGACGACACATGAGGTATCATTGACATTGCAGACGTCACATGAGATATTATTGAAATTGCAGTCTGAAGATTAGACGTCCGAAACTGCAGACTGCATATGTGATATTACTGATATTGCAGACGACACATGAGATATTATTGAAATTACAGTCTGAAGATTAGATTATGTCTGAACCTGCAGACTGCATATGTGACATTACTGATATTGCAGATGACACATGAGGTATCATTGACATTGCAGACGTCACATGGGATATCATTGAAATTGCAGAGTGCATATGTGATATTACTGATATTGCAGATGACACATGAGGTATCATTAAAATTGCAGACTACACATGTGATATTGAAATTGCAGACTGCATATGTGATATAACTGATATTGCAGACTACATATGAGATATTATTGAAATTGCGATCTGAAGATTAGATTATGTCTGAAACTGCAGACTATAAATGATATTATTAAAATTGCAGTCTACACATTAGATATTATTGAAATTGCAGACTTACAGATGTCATATAATTGAATGCAATGAATTACTAAATCTGCTGATCTGCCATAGGCACTAAAAAATTGAAAATGACGTAGAATAATAAATAATGGCATCTAAAACATGTGCCAAACTTGTATCAGCACAAAAACAAAACTTGTCCATTATCATCCAGGTTAAACAAGGCAACAGGTTTTATACTGATAACATGGTGTTGAATGCTTCAGTACAGAAAAAATAAAAATATTTTCAATCAGGGGCATTAAAATTACACTTAATTAACAAAAACAATATTCCAACACCCCCTATCTGTAAATTTGCAATTGATGTAAAGGTGGAAAATGCTCCAAATGTCATGAAATGAAAATGTGCAGTAAATGTTTTTGTAAAAAAATAACAGTTTGTCATTTAAAGCATTTACAACATTTCAATGTTCTTTGAGTATTGTGTATTTGTAAAATGAAGCAAAATCAAGTTTGTCACAGTTAACTCGCAGAACAAATAATTAATAGGGGCGAAATTTTTGATAAGGGTCACACTCATTACCACATGGCAATAGTTTGATAATACACTAAATTTTATACCAAAATTCAATCATTTAGGTCTAAGTTTAATCATTTACCCAAGGCTGATACTTTTTACAAAATGGCCCATCGTTTTCAAACCAAGTGGGCCTAGTGCCAAAACTTTCAAAATTCTCGGGAGATCTCTGCATGCGCTATTATAGATACTACAAATGTTATATTTGATATTACCAAAATTGTTGACTACACATGGAATACATGTATAACTGATGCTGAAGATGTATTATTGAAATACTTTTGTTACTGCATAGCAGTCACAATATTTTTTGTCTGCCAACAAAAAGGAAGGGATATAAATAATACAACAGACTGAACTGCTGCTAATCTTAGTTATAAAGATCTATGACAAGAGATATTGCTAACTAAAGTAGAAATGGTAGTAGCGATTAGGTTAATATAAAATAAAACAACCATTAAAACATGGTTATGTAACATGTAAAAAATCTTTCTAATGGATTTGTAAAACAGGACAATTCCATTTCTTCGAGAAAAATGAAAAATTAAATGTAAATTTATAGCAGCCATGTATATAGATAACATTAACATCAGAATTATTCAATGAAAATCAACTTGAAGTTTAAAAATCTTTAACTATAATCACCTTTAACAAGAAAGCTACAAATATTAGTAAATTACCTTTAAGAGAAGTTTGACAACATTATTCTGTTCATTTGCTGTAGCTATGATTAAAGAAGTCTGGTTCCCAGATCCCGCACACTTGAAGTCCATGTCAGCTCCCCCTTCAATTAACACCTGTACAAGCTTGAACTTCCCGTCTCGACTTGAAACAAATAGGGCTGACTCTCCTGCTTTGTTGAGTAAGTTTGGATCAGCTTTACCTAAAAGATAAAACATTGACATGTATAAATAAAAGTGAGAAGGAATGTACTGCAAAATAACCATAACTCTATCTTAAATATTTTCAAATTATCTCCCTTTATGTACTTATTTTGAATGATAAAAACTGCAAAAATATTTTTCTATTGAAACATACACCGAGTAGTTCTATAATGAATTTTGGCTGCATGCCCAGACCTAGCATTTATCAAGATTTTGCAATGAAAGTCCATCCAAATTAGTACCTCAAACTTTTGAAATAGTACAAATGTGTGTAAAACTTCTCTTAGGCAGGGTACGTTGTTTACGGTATTCTTATTTTCTTATGATAAAAGTTAATAGTAAAAGTTATAGTAAAAGAGAATTCTTTATCATTTTAGTTTGAAAGGGGCATCCAACCTATGACCTTGACAGATTTAAAACATTCAGTGTTTTCCAGCCTCTTACATTGACATAATTGAAATAATTTACTTGCTTCCTGACGTCAGACATTGACAAAGTTGCAATCATTTAGTGGCCCCCAGCGTTTGTCATTGACATAGTTGAAATCATTTTGTGGCATATATGCCAAGACTGAATTCATAAAATTTTATACTAGAATATGCGAAAATGGACCTTAACGAAAAGATTAAACAATACCAACTCCGCTAAAGGGATCATGACAATAGCTCCACCTTTTTCTTCAAAAAGTTGTGCTAATACAGTGTTTCCTTTCCTTATATAAATGATACCAGAAAAAGGCACCATTCCCAATAGAAAACAAATTTCCCAATTCATGACTGATAAATTCCCAAAATAACACTGAAAATTTCCTCAAAAATCGGCAAATTTAAAGGTAAACAAAAACAGAAATGCCATTGATAAGTGATCTGCGATAAAAACCAAGTATAACTACATGAGTGATATTTGTACCAAGTTAATTTTGTACTTTTAGCGTTTCACACCTTAACATTATTTATGTAAAATTGTTATGATTATCAATATTTTTTTCAACCTCATGTACCAAAAAGTAATCATGTTTTAAAGTGTATATTATGCATAACTTTCATGTCTCCCTGGATAAAAGAAATTCCCAAAGATTATTTGCATCCTATGTAAAATTCCAAATTTGAGTCAAACCGATGGATTTTTTTCCCAATCTGCCCGGTACCAGCACCATTCCCAAAGTAGGGGAAAAAAAACACTGTAATAATGCTACCTAAAATTGATGCTGATGAGAGGGTCATGACAGTAGCTCCAGTTTTTTCTTCTTTGAAAACTGGAGATAATAATGTATTTAATCATGATTTTCACATATCAAATGACTAACCGTCTAAAAGAATTTTCAAAATATCAGTATATTCTTTTTCTACTGCTGTAAATATTGCCGGATTTCCATCACTGAGAATTTTGTTAGGATCTGTACCTTTATCAAGCAAGACCTTCACCACCTGCAATATAAATTACACTGTATGAATACATGTTATTAAATTTTTAGTTCAGATTAACTTTGAATGGTAGGGGAACAACATACCTTGCCTGCCAGAAGATTTAAGAGAGCCAGACTAGCTGGCTTTGCTACACTTAACATCTTAAATGGACTTGCCCAACTTGCCCAGTCTTGCAAGGGAAAATCTAGAAAATATGTACATTTGTACTGATTGAATAGTACATAGTGTTAATCTAAGCACTTTGATATTTATTTCAATTTTAGAGTAGCAGGCTCAAAGTTTAAGCACTCTGATATTTAATTCAATTTTGGAGTATCAGGCTTGGACTTAAAGGGACTCCACTGAGGTTTAAAAGCCTAAAAACATAACATTTGAATTTCTTACATAAATAAGCTAGGGCACTTTAAACAGAAATATATGCAAAGATACTTTGAAATAAATTGAAAATCGTATTTGTATGCGTTTCTTAGCCCGATTTGAGTAAAAAGCGTTTAAACGCTTTTCATTTTCGGTCATTATTTTACAATTTGAATAATTATTCTGGAAAAACAAAGTGCGCGAATAATCTGAAATTTTGCACAAAGATTAGTTGTCTAAACCTACATCAAATGGTATATTTATCTGAAAAAAATATTTTCAGTCCAATCATGTCAAAAAAACCTCAGTGGAGTCCCTTTAATCTAAGGACTTTGATATTTAATTCAATTTTAGAGTAGCAGGCTCAAAGTTTAAACACTCTGATATTTAATTCAATTTTGGAGTATCAGGCTTGGATTTAATCTCAGCAATTTGATATTTAATACAATTTTAGAGTAGCAGGCTCAAAGTTTAAGCGCTCTGATATTTAATTCAATTTTGGAGTCAGTCTAACTGTAATGCTTTCTTGCCAAATAAATTCTAACATCAGAAAAAATAATGTTCCGAAAATAACTGATTTGCTACGATATTGGCCAATATTAGAATTTTTGGCAGGAAAGCATTACAGTAAGATTACCTTAATTCAATTTTAGAGTAGCAGGCTCAGAGTTAATCTAAGCACTTTGATATTTAATTTAATTTTAGATCAAACATACCTTTGGTAATCTCTTTTTAATAGCACCTTCTAAAGGACAGCCATCCGTTTTATGATGGATCTTTTCTATGTCTGCCCCTTTATCTATTAATAACAATGCCACCTGTTCCAGGCCTGAAAATATACAAATAAATAACAGGCAATTCTATCAATCAAAGAATCTAAATAAATGAACACTAACAAGAAGTAAAAAATATGTACATTTGGAATTAAAAACATTGTCAAAGAAACCTCTAAGCTTAAGTTAGTTTATGTTTGTAATGATAATAGATTCCATTTAAATGAAGACTCTACTTAGGACTTTTTTTGACAAGAGCCGGGACTGGAAATAATGCTTTAAGACCTGTGAAAAACGCCCTGCAACTTTGCATTTCATCACCATTCATGTCTCTCAGAATTAACGCAAAATAAGACATCATATCTTTTACAATGATGTAAAACTAAACCTATCTTATATTTGCTGATTTAAACAAAACTGTAAAATGAAAAACTTAATTCATGTAACTACCAACCAAAAACAGAGCTGATATTGATAATGACAAATCTATGTCACCAATTTAGTGTCATACAAGCAAATCTGTACATCTATGCAGTCATACCATATTTTACTGATGGCAGCTAAATCATTGGGTTTTTATATTCATACAACTGACACAGTACTGAGCTATTCTCTCACTAGGAAAGAAAATGTGTAAAAGGCTAGATAGCTCAGTTGATGGGGCGGTGGTATGGTGTTCTAAGAGTCTAATGTGGGTTCGAGTCCTAGTCAAGACTGCACATTTTCCTCATCCTGTGACGTACATTTGGTGCCCTATAGGGTACCGTGATGATAACTCTGAGTCCAATTTTACACTGTTCTCTGTACCCATATAAAGAAATAAATTGAGGAAGAAATTCAATAAGATGAGTGTCACAGTATTGAACTTTTCACCATTCAGGTTGGATTAAAATGTAAGCAATTGCATAGCTCAGTTGGTAAAACCACAGTAGGCTATTCCTAGGGTCCCAGGTTTGAGGCTGCTCATTTTTCTCACCCTATGACACATAAAGCTACTATAGGAGAAATTCATCAGAGAAATGGGTTAAGTTACCTTGGCTCACAGCATACTGTAGGGGAGTCCATCCATAAAACAAACAATTTATGTCAACACCAGTTTTTAACAACTCTTCAATCTTTTTAATATCTTTCTCCTTCACTGCCAAGTGAAGTTGTTGCTCTGGATTCATTCTTGTGTTTGCTGTAAGAATAATTTCACAGATCTTTACTTTAAATTCTCAATAAACATCAACTGGAAATATGCAAACAGTAAGGAAGAGTTATTATGCTTTTCTTCTTACTATCCCAAAGTATCTATGACTTTGTGGAAATGGTTATTTTTCATGAAAAAATTCAATCTTTTTCTATGGTAATCTTTAGAAGTTTATAGAAATTGTTTTCAGCTTTTATGAACAAAAGCAACTTTAACGCTCTTTCCTAGCAGGAGTGTTACAATACAAACACTAAATAACTCATTAAACATAAAATGGATCCACTATATCATATACTATCAGATTCAAAAGTCTAAAAAATCTTCCAACAAAACTTAAATGCAGCGTCCATCCATAAAACAAACAATTTATTTCAACAGCACTATGGTTGATGTGTTTTAAAAGTCTTTTTTATGTTCGGAAAAGTCATCTGTAAAAGCACTAGTTATATTTAAAGTGATTAAACTGTTTGCATATTTCCAGTTGATGCTTCCCATTTCAAGAAGGTAAAGAATTATATAAAGCAACATGTAAGGTATGTTTTGCGGGTGTGTCATGTCCAAATTTGGTACTTGGTAGGTCAACTTGCTTGATTCAACACATAAAGAAAGCACTATGGTTGATGTGTTTTAAAAGACTTAAATTTAAGTTTGGAAAAAAGTCATCTGTAAAAGCACTAGTTAGTAATATTTAATGTGATTACTTGTTTGTAAATTGTATTCCAAATAGACCATTTTTATTTTCAAGAACACTACTAGCCAAATAAGTTGAGATAATGGCTACAAAATTAAAGAAATACAAAAAAACAAACTATTTTATTGAGGGCCACTCACTTTTAGAAAAAATAAGCAGAATTCTCAACTAAAGACAGAAAAATAATCAGACACGAGTCATGACTCGAATCAAAAATAATTGTACCTGGGTACCTCAAATCAAACATTAGGTGAATTTGCAGCCCTAATTCTATACCATCTCCATTTTTTTTATATTTGAACTCCACGCTGAGCTATGTACAGTACTCGAGCTGTAGACTAACAAGGGTTTTAGCTAGCCATATGGGCATGTATTTCAAGCCAAAAGTTCTAGCTGTATTTGAGTCACTTTCGACTATTCCAGACAATCTGAAAAGTATTTTGACATTACTGGACATTTGGTCCAGCAATCTTGGAAGAATCACTGGACCGAATCAGTTTTCCCTGGACTGAAGGGTATGGACGCTTTTGACCAGGCTGAGCAACTTCAAAATAGTTCATTTCTTGTAGTCACGAAAACTACATGTACTAATTTACCAACCAGAAGTAAGTATTTGATAATACTGATAATTACTGTGTTTATTTTAATTCTAAATACTGTATTATCTTGAAGATAATTTATTTTAAAGTTGAATGTGTAAAATTATAAAAGGACAATCGAACAGGCTTGGGCGGATTTTTCTGGTTCGAACGTAGGATGGTCCCCTATGGTACCACTGTTCTTATTATTTCCAGCAAATTGTACACATAGAAAGAACTTGTATTTACTATTTTAATAAATTGTGTTTAACTATCGAATCTTGCCTTTAAAATACACCTGTCATTCATAGAATAACTCAATTATTTAAATTAGAAACCTCTATGGTCATTCAGCCATGTTTTGAATGGCAGCTTTAACGGAGAGCACTATGGTACCGTGATATGTAAATTGATGGCCCTTTTGGCGTCAATAGAATTTTTTCAATAAAATATGACGTCACTGCAGTTTCAGCAGACGACCTTCACTTGTCAGAATATGAAATTATCAGTTTAACCGGTAAATGTGGGGTAAAATAAAAAAGTTTTCCAACACACTCGGTTTGTTATGGATTTTCCTATCAATGACAGAAATTTATTTAAAATGAAAATATTTCTAACAATTTTTATCCAAATTCAAAAAAGCAGCACTTCCACCATCACTTTAATGGTGGAAACAATTGATTCAGGTCCCGTTCAGTGTGTAAAGAAACACATTTTCTGATTGCACCGGCATTGGCAAGGATGCGGTACCAGCGGGGAGCACTATAATTTTATGGGTCAGGTCCGTCAGGCACTTTTAGGAATGTCTGCTATCCTTAACATACTGTTGAAACTTTACAGCTTAGGACAACAAAGACTCCAATGATTTGTAGTCCATAATTCGTGCGTCAATAATCAAAAAACTTAAGCCACTGTCTACTCTAAATAATTATTTTAGATTTAGACTTGCTCAAAATTTTGAGTTTTGGTAAACTTATAATAGCTCTTATGGTATTCCAGTGTGTGTTTATCAAAGGTTAAAGAAGATGAAAGTTTTGTGTGACATATGCCTTTCAGTTTTCTATCTGTACTGCCTTTTAGTTTTCTATCTGTACTGCACTGTTGCCTATCTATTTATAGGTGGCGCGATAGCTCAGTTGGTTAAACCACTGACTATCTCTCCTGAGGTCCCGGGTTCGATCCTGGGTTACACCTTTGGGATTTTTCAGAGACACTTTCAGTGTTTCCCACCTACCTAGAGGTGTACTAGAGGTGTACTGGTAAGAAATCCAGGTAATCCTCGCATGTATCAGTGTTATACACAGGGCTCAAGCTAGGTTCAAAATTTTGGGAGAAGTCACTTCCCCCACCAGCTGCTTTAGGGAGAAGTGGGGAGACTTTAGGGAGAAGTGAGGAGATTCATTTATCGATGTTTGTTGTATGTTATTGCAATTATGTTGACTCACTGTACATATCTTATTAAATGAATTGGATTTGTGTTACAACAGAATATTCAATTTTAATTTAAAAGTAGTTTGAAACAAGTAATAATAAGAATGAGTATCATGTAATGCAACCATTGCATTAAATGAAGATAAAAAAGCCATAGTTGATTCCTATCATGGATCATATCATGGGTGGATTAACAGTTATTCCCTTCTGATTTACTATTAAAAAGCTTGCGCCGGACATTATATTCATATTCACTTATGTTGTAAAGAAAATGAAAGTAGATAACGAAAGAAACGATCTTTAATTTAACTACATTTGTAATAAATACAGTGTACGTAATACGCCGTCAATTTTATCAAATTTAACTTGTCGACAAAAAAGGTTATCACAACTTTCATTTAAAAGTACCGTTACAGTTATATGTCGAGCGGTCCTCTTAATTCTGACAATCATTCGATAGTGAAAATTTAATTGAGTGTGTGTGTGTATTTGCGTTTATTTATACTCGCCACCGGTTGCCCATATGGGCGAGTCCTCCAGAAGAGTATTAGTCATTTTAGATTTTTGGAGGATAGTGCAATTACAGATACAGAAAGATGCCCCAATTCCAGAAGCTTCTCCTGGTTCTTTAGCGTGCCAAGTGTTTAAGCACCCATACACGGGACCTCGATTTAAAGTCTCATCCGAAAGACTGATTAGTAATTTTAGTTGGCCAGCCCGGGAATCGAACCCACAATGTCGAGATTACAAGTCTCGCGCTCTAACCGATTGAGCTATGCGGGCTGGTAAAAAATTATTTAATTGACGTTTGATCCGTCCATCATAAATAATTGTTACTGGTAGTTGTATGTTAGCGATTTAATGATTGGTTTAATTATGTCGCCTTGATTGAAACGTGAATTACGATTGGTTTCTCACACGTATCCGTAATCTCGCCGTGGGCGGAGTCTAATTGTTCCTCGAGTGTCTGTTAATTAGACTTTTATGACATGTTGGTAAACAAACGGATTAATGACATTTCGCGTTGATTGAGATGCATGACAGTCCCTTTTTCCGGCGGCGAGGTTAAACAAAGCAAACACACACAACATGTTATTCACAGTTATTGTTGGTAATTTTCAATAATGGATCAATAAAATCGGGTGACTTCATCTTCGCTTTCATGTAGGATGTCGGCGAAGTCAGACGGAATTCGGCGACTATTTCGCCCGAATCGCCCAGTAGCTCGAGCCCTGTATACACTGGGCATGTAAAAGAACCAAGGGGTCTATTCAATAAGAGCTAGGGACTGGTTCCAGGATTCCCTTGTATCTTAAAGCTGTTTCTTAAATGTATACAATGTATACCTGCTAAGAGTGATCGAAAACGATTTTAAAGCAGTATGATGTAGAATAGAATAGAAATCTATCATTCAATTTCCACTGCATGCACTGCCTTTGTCTGAAATCACCACTGGCACTGACATTCAAAAATAGGTAAAAAAAGCGGATGGATCTTACTTAAAAAAAGTAAGTGACTATGAAAACGAAATCGGACATGTATATCAACCAAGAAATAAAATGCGTCTGGAGAAAAGGGAGAGCTTACGAATTAAAATATTTGTAATTTTTCGGCACACAGCGTCCCTAGCTACAGTTCAAAAGTTATCCGAACCATGGGTCAATATTAACCCAAAGTTCTGAAAATACAAACAATGGATGAAAAGGTGTAAAGAAAAAAATAATAAGAAAATCCGATAGAATAATTCATTAGTAACGCAAATTTAGTTTCATTTATACATTATCGGGTACATATCATAAACAATTTACGTTCCTGATAGTAAAACGTATTTTACCGGTCGGTCTATTTACCCCAAGACACCCCAAGACACCCCAAGACTACCCCAAGACTACCCCAAGACACCCCAAGACTACCCCAAGACACCCCAAGACTATACCCCAAGACTATCCCAAGACATTCTCTAAGACACCCAAAGACTACCCCAAGACACCCTAAGACACCCCCAAGGACACCACACAAGACTACCCCAAGACACCCAAGACTACCCCAAGACACCCAAAGACTATCCCAAGACACCCTAAGACTATCCCAAGACTATCCAAGACACCCTAAGACTACCCCAAGACACTTTGTTTAACTGATATGTAATTAACGATCTTATTTTACAGTGTTCACGGGAGGTAACTATGTTTTCACATGTACCTATAGAATTATCTCCCTTCTCAGGGATATCACACGTACGTGTCAACAAGTTAACCTATACCTAATGGCACTGATTATAACTCTATTTTAATGTAGTGTAAGGTTATTTCTGCGACAATGTCATTTTATGAGTGACGCATTTTTGATAAATTAATCGATCATATTCTGTTTTATAATATTGATTTGTATTTCATATGTCATTGAATTAATATAGTCTTAATGTTTTTCAGTAAACTTTTAATTTTTAATTTAAATTTTAAGTCAAAACAAAATTTTCTATAGAGAGACAATCAATAAAAATTTAATGATGAAAAAAAGCCAATTCACAATTGACACTATTTAATTTTATTTGACAATAAGTAACAAGATGACAGGTAGATAATCAGTGGTAAGTGCAGCGTTACCTACCGTTTTAATTTGCAATCACACGTCGATAGAAAAAAAGAGAAGAACAAACAGTGTTAAGTCACCTCTGCGTCAAATTGACATGTATATTCCCTGTTTTTTTACAGTGTCACAACACACCTGGGAATACCTGACAAAAAAGTGCATTATGCACAGACATGTCGTACCTGGTATCCTGTACAGCAGTAATTGACATGTGTATTGCCAACTTAGGTGCCATTTTTTTTCGCACAAATCTAAGATTCTCACCATAATATCCCTAATATATAGTTCCCAATTTAATTTAAACACCATTATTCTGTATGATTAATTGCGAATAACTATAACCGTTATTTAAGCACTAATACAGTTTTAGTTGTTTTGTTGTAAATATCAAACATGCCAGGTCGTGCACTTAAACGAGTGAAAGTGAATTATCCATGCAATATTTGTACAGCATACTTGTGATGAATCTCAATGTGAGGAACCCTCAGTTTATGTGACGCAGTGTGACAATTGGGTTCATATTTCATGTGAAACAGATTGTCTACAAAGGATTTATGCTACCGTAGAGCGGTGACCATCCATACACGTGCAGTGTTTGCATAAGGACAGCTGATGGCCCAACGAGATTGCGCCTTTGATAACGACTTAAGCAAGGTAATGTTTAAGGCAAAAACATAATAGACAATGAAGTTTCATATCTTATGATTTAACGATACAATGCTAGCATAGACTGTATATATTAGTCAGATAATTTTTGACGCCGTGTTAGCGTAGGCCATTGACTCTGATCTTTATAGCTTTAAGAAGATGTGCAGGGTATTTTTCGCCGCTTTGGATTATGAGCTCTGAACAATTTGCTGAAAATAATAAATTTGTCATCATTATAGATTGATGATGAACTATATGGTGATTGTTTTAAAAGCCTATTTGTAAGTTTTTACATTTTAAAGCTAGCATGCAGTTTTCGGTAAATTTATTATGATTGGTGTTCGATGGTTATGCTACTCATTAAAGCATAGTACGTTTATCTCACATGAATGGTGTGTCTTTTTTTCCCTGGCTGTTATTCGATAAAAACCGGTAAAATTGCTGGACAGATAATATTCGGCATCTACTGTATTTGTTATATATAGATGTGCTGACTGGATATATAAAAGAGCAATATAGCCGCGAAATGACAAAAAATATTGCCTGATTGCGCTAATTAAAGAAGATGACGTCACACGTTTAACGAGTACTCAACTAATAGCTTTTTTGAACGTTGTTCTATATAATTGACGAATAATAATATAGAGGATATTTGTTTGTTTTGCATGTAAGAGTATTGAAATATAATTTCACTAAGTGAACACCAGATGCAATATTTTTCACGAGTCGGCATAGCCACGAGTTAAAATAAGAATATCTGGTGTTCACGAATGAAATATATTTCAATCTTACATGCAAAACAAATAAATTTTCTTGTTTTATTTCATGCTTTTTAAGTGATTTTAAGTATTTTCCGGCTACAGTGAAAATTATATTACAGTAAAAACACTGGAAAGCATTTAAATAAGACATATTATATACTTAATATAGGGTAAACAGGGTTTTTTTTTTTAATTGTCTAAGGCGTAAACTATAATTCTTTTTTTGAAAATTATTTTTTTTTCTCTAGCGTTCTGAATTTTAATAATTGAAAAATGTACGTATTGGTTCACCATAAAGTCCATCATGTTTGTTGCCTTTTTTACTGAGAAAATTAGAAAGTATCATTTCTATGTTTTTTCCTTCATAATATCCAAAATCTCAGCATTATAGTGTAAAATTAACCCTACGTCTCTTCACTGATTTTATAATGCAAAGAAATCTTGTTAATGTCAAAGAAAATAAAGTGACTTTTTTTCAGTAATTTATATGGTTCAATTAATTGATAATTAAAGGCACAGTTATTGTTTAGACAGTATGGAAAACAGTGAGAAAAAAATGTTATATAATATATATATTTCTATCGCTTGTTTTTTGTGTACAAACCGGACTTACTATCAGATTATCGTCATTAAAATCAGGAACTCATAGACAGTTATCAGACAAACTCCTGACAAGTTATCATATGCACTCTATCCCCCGTGTTACTGGTTCTCCCCCGTGGGTCGTAAAATATTTCAAGATACGCGTTTGATTGATAAACTCAAATGAATTTTATTGCGTTAAACCTACAATATATGATTTTATTTTATGATCTAAATATAGCTGCAATCTCATGGGTCAACATAACTATATGTATATAAGGTTGTACTTTTTGTGGTTATTTTGATTTATTCTTTTCCTATTCATATAATAAAACAATTATTGCCTAGTCTGTCCCATTAAAAATGGAAATGAAATTTGCCTGGTATGAATTAACAAAACGACGTTGAATAAAAATTAAAACTTTTTTGCAGGATTTTTCTCTAAATTGTTCTTTTTTCTTGTAAAAGCAAAGTTTAATTTCTCTACGGCAAGTCTCTGTTGTTTATTTTCCATAGCCATTGCTGAAGTACTCTTCATTTGAAGATAAACGGGACAAAGCATAATTCAAGAACGGCCCATCAACATCACAACTCTTGAAAATCCTGACGAAAAATTTTAAGCGTTGAGATAAATTTGTTTTGATGGCATTAGACATTTATTTTGTATACCCAGATTTTGCAGTGATTGTTAAAATTACACCTTCAATTCATCTATTTACATTTAAATAATTTTAAACATACTTAATGACATGAATCTATGACAGTACAATACTTCTTCCATTAATTCACATATAACCTTCGTCCTGAATTTATATTTTTAAACTATTTGATATATTTCTCAGAAATGATCTCCCTACATATTATCTCGTTATTCCAGACTTCTGTAAATCCTACCCTTTCTTACGTCAGGTTTCTGTTGTGAAAGTTGAAACCTACGAAAAGTTTTAGCGCACGGACATCGAACCTGAAATAAGAAGGGTAACATATGTTGTATCCCATTGGATCCCTGTCAATTTAATTATTTTTAAAATAGATACATGATACGTGATACATACTAATGGATAGAATTTAGACGAAACTACAGAATTATGTAAATTAAAAATTAGCAAAGAACCATTTTTATTGTCTTCTAGCTAGTTGTTCCCGTTCCCCTACGACGCGTTTGGGTATTTAAGATTTTTAAAATACGCGTTTGATTGCAGTCTGTAAATTACGCGTGCTTTTTAAAATGTAATTGTTGCGTTTTGTCTTTTTAGAAATATTTCACGATTTAAATATCATTAATTTACTATTATCGTTTAAAGTTAGACCGCAAATAAATGAGTAATAACTGAACATGTATGCGCAGCGGTTCGCGTAGTTGTTGCATCGTACTATCAACGTGCCGTCTTTCCCTGCGCTTCAATCTGCAGATGCTAGAAAGTTTGTGAGCATGCATACCGGTTGTACTGTTTCTGTGACTTTTTGTCCCAGTGAATTCAGTCTCATATCGCTGAACGAATGATACTTTGTTCGGAAAATATGTTTGCCTCTGATTAACGTGTTTTTTAAATTACATTTATATGTATCGATACAGGCACTCATAATTAATAAGAACCGGAATGGATGTCTCGAAAGCCTCGTATCCCTTACGACGATCGTAACACTGACGTAAGACCATTGTAGCATTTTTTCTGATTGTCTCGAACAGTTCGTAAGTTACGAATCATCGTAAACATCTCGTAAAGTTACGGTAAAAAAATTGACCACATAAGAACAATAACGATAACGAATATAATTGGATTTTATCTTGTCAATTTAGCCTCATTTTCATTTTAAGAGTAAAAAAATCCATGTCAAATGAATATTGTACTCAATCAAGTCTCTTTTTCGTTTTTACAATCCAAAGAGTCTGTATCAAATGCATATTAAACTCAAGATAGCCTCGTTTTTATTTTGCAAATCCAAAAATTACATATCAAATCTATATTGTACGCCCACTAAATTGAGGATATTCAATTTTTTTCTATAAATACATGATTTTTTTCCATCGAGTGGTATGAAAAGAAATATTTTAAGAGTGGCGGTAGCCACGAGTGAAATATGGTAATTTTCATGCCACAAGATGAAAATAAATCATGTATTTATAGAAAAAAAAACTTGAATTTTCAGTTTATTATATACATTTTTCTCTTTCTGGACATTCAAATTTGAAAGTCTTCTCTTAAATTTTGAGTACCGGCAAGACACCAGTGAAAATACGGAAAATAGGTTTCACTGCAGTGAAAAATATATTTTTACAGTGAAAATATGGAAAATGAAAATACGCATTTTATTTCATCAATATTTCGCAATATTTCATTTAAAATTATATAATAAACAAAGTTCTGTCAAAACATTGATGGTGTGAAATAAAGATGTCATTGACAATACTCTGGTTTTATTTCACTCGTACACAGCTGCAAAACTTATATTTGACAAAGCGCTAGAATTCAGTATTTAACACAACAACGTAAAATAAACTCATATTATCAGTGAAATAAAATCCATATCATGCACAGTATATCACTCACACTGGGACTAGATTGTACTGATAAGGGGAGATTACGGCGTAGTAGATTGCTGAACTTGTTTTGGCGAACATTTTAATTATCATGATTCCGTTTGTTTGAAAATTTCATAATAAGTGATTGTATTGTTTTGTTCTAAATGGCACATTTCTCGATTCAAATGTCATTATTTCTTTGTTTAATAAAAAAGTTAAAAATTACGCCGCAATTGTGACTATAAATTTAAACTAACGTTTGTTTACGTAGCGTCCATGCAGCAGTTGAACGTCTGCATGACGTCACCTTGAAACGTGTGTTTGCTTCCCGCGTGTCATTTTTGCCGTTTTCAACACTTTGCAGGCATTAAATATAAAGAAAATGAGTCGTGTCACGACAAAACCAACATAGTGCGTTTGCGACCAGCATGGATCCAGACCAGCCTGCGCATCCACGCAGTCTGATCAGGATCCATGCTGTTTCGCTATCAGTTTCTCTACTTGTAATAGGGTGTGAAAGCGAACCGCATGGATCCTGATTGGACTGCGCAGATGCGCAGGCTGGTCTGGATCCATGCTGGTCGCAAACCCATTATGTTGGTTTTGTCGTGACACGGCTCAAATGTGTTAGTTTTTCGTTACCAAAATGAGAGCCTGTGTACAAAGATTGCCTAAGTTATATACAATGTCGTAAATAACGTTTGAGAAACGAGATCGTTAAGGTGTCCTTCCAGACAATGAAATAAATACATCTTAGTTATACCGTAGCAATCTCGTAAGTTTAGTCACAACTTTAAGATACGAGAATTTTTCGAGACAACCACCCCCGGTTTATATTTATAGTTGAAGAAATTTAGTGAAGTATTTGAGTTTTTACTGTAAGGAATATCTTTCCATTATCATACTGAAGAAATAATGTTTATCACGCACGATTTTGCAACTCCGTAAAAATGGTACTGCACGGTCGTGCATTAGGGATTATGCGATGATCGAGGATAATCGAAAATTCATTTATAGAACCGATTAGCGATGATCGATTACAATGTTTAATAATCGATATTCGGTAATTTATTTTCTTGCTGTTACTTAAGTGACTCACTTAATTATAAAAAAATTAAATTAAAGCCAGTTGTACATATTCACTTTGTTATTGTAAATGTTTCGATTATATAATCGATAAATAATCGAAAAGGGTTGTTCGATTATTTTCGATGATCGTTTATTATTATTGTGCGTGCATATATTTTGACTGGACGTCATTAGCGTTATAAAGACGCGCTAAATGTTAGCGTTATACTATAGGCCCGTCAGTGAAAAATGAATGTTCATTTTATGTATATAATTAATATATCGCCTTGCTGTGTTTTAAGACATCATATTTATGTGACCCGAAATTATATTCACACCACGGTGCGAACTTTAAGCTTCCGTATGATAGCGCAGGGTAAACTACAAGTTAATTATCTAAATACACTACATGCTGTGAGTTCGAGACTGCGTAGATCTATGTTTTCTTTTCTTATTTATTTTTCCAACACATTATATATTCTTTGATTATATACTTTTAAGTGAAATATTGAGAGATACTAACTCAATAAAATGCGTATTTTCATTTCCTTATTTTCACTGTATTTTCACTGTATTTTTTTATTTCACTGTAGCGAAACGTTTTTACCGTTTTTTTTCACTGATATCTTGCCGGACTACGTTCTTCTACATATACAAAATTTAAGTGAAAATCTTTCAAATTGTATGTCCAAAAGAAGAAATCTCAATTTTTACACTAAAAAATGATGCTTCATATAGTATAAATTCGTTATAAAGATTTCTGACAGGTTATATGGGCGTATATAAACGGTTATTTGCAATATAACCGTTTATATACGGCAGTTTAACCTGTCAAACCTATTATTAATTATTATCGAATATCAAATGTAACTGTAAATTCAATTCTAACCCATAATTAATATCTTATCATTGTATATTTCATAGGTTTCCCGTGCCGATGTCAAATTGACAGCATTCACAGCCAGTCGTGAAAAGCAATACATTGATAATTTTGACTACATTGGAAAGTCAACCATTTCATCAGATTTTGTGGAGATAGATAGGAACGCGCAAGAAATAATGAAAAAAGGTGGTTTAAGCAAGTATGGTGTTCCATCCTTAACGACTGGAGATGGCAACTGTCTTTTTAATTCAGCATCAATCGCACTTACTGGTAACGAACTTTTATCAAATGAGCTAAGATTACGAACAGCTATAGAAATGGCAGAGAATTCTGACAAGTATAAATCGCGCCTTGATTATGACGAAATTATGAAACACTCTCCGGACTACTCAGAATCACTTCAGTCATGTTGTACAGACGGTGGATATTCAAGTATTTGGACCGTGATGGCGCTGTCAACTGTAATTGGAAAACCCATTCAAACCCTATACCCACAAATGAACAGTGAAACAGACACAGCGCCATATGCCTTATCCAAATTATTCGTTCCGAGCGGGAGTGAAAACTCCCAACCTTTGACCATATTATGGTCACGTATGGGACCAACAAATGGTAAATTTTGGACTCCAAATCATTTTGTGCCTGTCATTAGTAATGTCCATTTTATACCAAAACACTTCAGCACGCCCGATTCGTTCAAAAAACGTGAAGACTGCCTTTCTGACACTGAAAATATTGCACTGAAAACTCCCAACACGGACATGTCATTTATTTCAGAGTCTTCAGATATGAAGCATATACACTTAAATGAGTCGCAAGATTCAGAAGTTGAAACAACGACAGACCAAATTGATTCTAACCCAGAACTCTCGGAAGTTATTGACATTCCCGATCACAAAGAAGAAAAAAGTGAAACATTAATCCTTCAAACTCCTAAAAATGTTGTACCGTCCACAAAGTGGCACGATGCTACGGAAATCTTAAACATAATTACGAACAAAGAACATTTATTTGTGCACACTGAGGTCCCACCGGGGAATAAATCAAACTGTTACATGCTAGTTGACAATTCCCGCAATATTGTGAATGTAGAAAGAAAGGGAAAATGTGAATTCTTCGATGATATTGGAGTATGGGACAGTTCCAAAGGAAATACGGTGAAATCAACATTTGTCCTTGAAGAGAATGGACACTTGAAAAGTGTAGAATATAAAAACGGGAAATACTGTGTCAAAAAAAGGTTAAAAGGAAATGTATTCTATGAGCCACTTCCAAATCAACCGTCGGACAACGAAGTTTACATTTTAAGTAGGTATTATACACAGTTAAAAAGAGAGCAAACTTTCAAAAAACGTGTTTCATACTTCACGAAGAAATCTGATCTAAATGTTGCGAGTGTCGCGTTGTACGAATACCAGGGAAATCAACCCATTGAATCTAAACCACATGGTAATGCACGGACGGGAAAAACGTTCACACGGACTAATCCAAAGACAATGGACAAGCTGAAACAGTTGAATGAACATGACAAACCTAAAAAGATTTTCCATTGTTTAAAAAAAGACGATTCTATGGATTGTCCTCGTGATTTTAAAGTTGTTAAGAATATAAAATATAAAAGTAAACAGAAAGTTCAGGACACAAACAAATGCAATCAACGTGACAATATAGCTGATGAAATACTAGAAGTTCTAAGTATGATAAATGATCACCCCTATGTCCAAACATTTATACAAAACAAAGACAAGGTCCCTTCAATAATATGCTATACAAATGAACAAATGACAGATCTTAAACATTTCCTTAGGAATGGCAAGAAACAGCCAATTGGAATAGACAGAACCTTCAATTTAGGGAAATTTTTTGTGACAGTTCTAGTTTACAAAAATCAAAGAATTTTCCGAAAGAACACCAATGAAAACCCAATTTTCTTAGGACCAGTTCTTTTACATAAAGACGCTTCATACAAAACATACAAAGTTTTTCTGCAACATATAGCTACCGAAGTAGATAGTGACATTAATACAATTGAAATGAGAATATCAGAAAATATGGAATTCGGTACAGATGATGAAAAAGCCCTTACTAAGGCAATTGAAGAAGTGTTTCCATCAGCTGATAGATATTTGTGTACCAAGCATCTAAAAGACAATGTTAAACATTACCTTCAAAACAAAATCGGCGTTGAAATTAAACAAAGAAACATATTAATGAATGATTTGTTTGGTAGCGGGGGCTTGATAGATGCAGACTCCACTTTGGATTTTGAAACTAAGGCCTCAGAGTTTGAGGAAAAAATTGACAAAGAAAACGATTCACTAAAAACGTATTTCTGTAACAATCTTAAACCAAGACTGTTAGAATTTGTCTTCAAACCGAGTCGAAAAACAAATGGATTTAAGAATTGGACAAACAACAACGCAGAATCAATGAACAATATACTTAAACTATCTTTAGACTGGAAACCGAAACGAACCCGAGAACTAGTCGAAAAAATGTATGATATAACAAATCTCCATTTCATGGATTATCGAAGTGCCCTCCATGACACGGGTAACTACGACCTGACGCCGAATGAACGTCGTGTTTACCATATCCCTGACTCAATTTGGCGCTGTAAGACAGAAGATGAAAAAAATGAAATATTTGACAAATTCTTGATGGACAAAAAGAGACTGATAAAAATGAAGTATGTTGAGGCCAAAAACGGAAAGTACACAGTTATTGACAAAGCTAGTGGTGTGGCTAAGAAACCAGGACAGCGCAAGCGTCCCCTAAATGAAAGAACTAGGAAGCGATGATTGTCCCAAATTATAAAGACAAAAATACAGTGCACATGCATTTAAATGTTCATGCTGAGAATATGAAAGTTAATGAATTTGTATGCATATTGTTTGACTTTTTGTAGCAATGCCTTTAACAAACATAAAATAAAAACTGACAAGTAAATTTTAGAAATGCCGGAAATGTGTGAATTAATAATAAATCGATCACTGGAGTATACCAGGTATATTCGGGAAGAATAGTATAAACTGTTTTCAGACCTATCTATACATGCATGTCGTCTTTGAAATGTACATATAATGTTATACACAATGCTGTATAAGTAGCAATATAATATTTGTTATTGAACATTTTATTTGTGTACTTACTTGTCTTTCTATTTGCTGCATCGTATGTGTTACATAACAGATACATTTTTTTACCAACTCATGAATTGTCTTGTTCAATAATCGACTCTCAAAACCATTGGAAGTAAAAAATAAATAATATCATTATGTTTGTTAATAAAAGTGAATTTGAGTGTCACTGTTTGTTGCCATGCCATTTTGTTGAAAAAGAAATAGACTTTGTTTACATATTTTGTTAAAAAAAAAAGATTAAATGTTCTTATATTCTGTTGAAATCATTGTTTTTTATTCCAAGTGAAATATATCTTTAAAATTATACATTTGTTAATTGACCATTGTACTTTTCCTACTTTTCAAACATTAATTGTCGCTGCAATGTAATTCAAGCTATATTTTAGTTAACACATACAAACACATACAAAGAAACATATTATTAAAATATGATTGAAGAAACACAAGAATTACATCTTATTTTTTATTCCAACCTGTTTCACAACTCCATGGACTCCATGGAGTTAATTCCAATAGTGATATCGGTTGTACCTAGTTACTCCCCTGAGATTATCTCCTACAGGGTCGTATATTTATAAAACTTTTCCAATTTATAAGTTAATTTCCATTAAGAAGATTCTTGGGATGTCTTGCGGTAGTCTTAAGGTGTCTTGGGGTAGTTTTTGGGTGTGTTGGGATAGTCTTGGGGTGTCTTAAGGTGTCTTGGGGTTGTCTTTGGGTGTCTTAACGTGTCTTGGGATAGTCTTGGGGTGTCTTGGGATAGTCTTGGGGTGTCTTGGGGTAGTCTTGGGGTAGTCTTGGGGTGTCTTGGGGTAGTCTTGGGGTAGTCTTGGGGTGTCTTGGGGTAGTCTTTGGGTGTCTTGGGGTAGTCTTAGGGAGTCTTGGGATAGTCTTGGGTGTTTATGGGTAGTCTTGGGTTGTCTTGGGGTGTCTTGGGGTAGTCTTTGGGTGTCTTGGGGTAGTCTTTGGGTGTCTTAGGGTGTCTTGGGGTAGTCTTGGGGTGTCTTGGGGTGTCTTGGGGTAGTCTTGGGGTGTCTTGGGATAGTCTTGGGGTGTCTTAGGGTGTCTTGGGGTAGTCTTTGGGTGTCTTGGGGTGTCTTAGGGTGTCTTGGGGTAGTCTTTGGGTGTCTTAGGCTGTCTTGGGATAGTCTTGGGGTAGTCTTGGGGTGTCTTGGGGTAGTCTTGGGGTGTCTTGGGGTAGTCTTGGGGTGTCTTGGGGTGTCTTGGGGTAAATAGACCGACCCGTATTTTACTGGCAATAAAACAAAGAGAGATAACCCTTGAAAAACTTTAAATATTTCCGTGTGCGCATTATACCCCTTGAAGAAAAATCTAGACTGTCCTAGAATGGTGTCGATTTTTCTGCTGTTTACTACGCAATTTAAAGGGCATATATAAATACGGCCGATTTCGTCAGACAAGTAGAAAAGCGTGGATAACTTGCAACAAGGAGTGAGATTGTTGTTAAAAACCGTAGAGAACGTTAAATATAATTCAGTTGGATTTGTTTTTGTGGGAATTATAAATTAAAGGATTTAAATAACATTATGTTACTCAGTCGCGCCGGGAAATATGTTCGGCCCCTGGTCTGCAAGATCAGTCGGAGACCAATGAGCTGGAGAAGGAATTTGCCAGTTTTATTTGAGAACAAAAGTCCTTGGTTAGATACCTGGCGTGAGGCACGGGACATTGACCGTCAATTTGAAAATATGTGGCGTGACGTTAACAGGATGCTGGGTCCAAGGCTCTTTGATGAATATTTCGACCGCACACGTGATTTAGAAGTGGGATCAGATCTGTCTAAGGTAAGGTAATCTTTAAATGTAATGTAATCTTTAAAACTTTTTAAACTTGATGCATTTTGGTTTATAACTCATTATTGTATATATCCTAGGGCCGTAAAATACAAAAAATAGATACATTACTTAATTAGGTCTGCATAGTTGAGCCATCAAATTTTTTAAAAAGTAGAACACACATAAAATGAACCAATGATTTATTGTACTTAACGTGTTTTATTCTTCTTCTTTAATATTTAACAGCTTAAATACGACAGTTCAGGTTTCGAACTTCAATTAGACGTTCAACAGTTTACCCCATCAGAATTGAATCTGAAATTGGCTGGCAACAAGTTATCAATTAGCGGAAAACACGAGCAGAAGACGGATAAATATGGCCAAATTACCAGAGAATTTCACAGGGAATTACTTATTCCAGAGGTATGTTAAAATATTTTTTTCTACAAAGAGAAAATATATCAATAATGCATGTTCACGTACATACACTTGGGGCTGTGGAGCTCCAAACCTCTTAAAATTAGAATTTAGTTGTATATTTATCAACCCCAGCACTGAAGCATAGACTTAATTAATAAAACCTAAATACAATAATGTTTTCAAGAGAAAAAAACTCAACAATATACAGCTCTACATTGACAATTGGAATGCACGACGATATTTTGTCAGAAACTTTGAACCAGACATTTTTCTTACAATAATTATGCTAAAAAAATATCTTTTTGTGTTGAGTAATTAATACCAATTTTTCAAAGTTTTTAAAAGAATTAATTATGTTAATTTCAGGATATTGATTTAGAGTCGATGACGTCGACAATAACAGAAAACGGAATGCTGACGATAAAGGCCAATGTAAAAGCATCTGAAAAACCTGCAGAAAAGGTGATTGAAATTCAAAAGGAACAAGTAGAGGCAACAAATGAAGAGAAAAAAGCCGATTGACTAGTTTGAACATTGTGTCGGAATGTCAGAGGTGGATAATTGATGTTCTGTGTTAACTGTTTGATGTACACTGATAATTAGTCGTCCCAATTCTTAAGTTGCCATATATTTCAATGAGAAAGTGTACACAAGTATATGTAGTAATGTGCGTTCATATTTTCGTTTAGAATTTCTCAATTGCCGAGGTGAGGCAAATGCATCATGTACTTTTGATTAGATATTAAAAGTATATCTGTTTGTGAATAAAGATTATGATCTTGAATAAATCTATCTGTTGAGTTTTTTTTCTTTTTTGATATATGGATACACATAGAAATTTAAGGTCTGTATTGCATCAGATCAAGCAGATCAACTCCGCCAATTTCTGTCCATAAGAGTTAAATAAAAGAAATCGGGTTTTTAACTTTTATTATGCGGACGATTATCTGTTGTTTCAAAAGTACCAATATGTGGTCAGATTTCCTTAAATTTGTAACGTTGATTTGACTGGACTGACATTGAATTTAATTACTATAAAATTATTGTCGACCTCTCCCGGAAAATAACGAATGTGCTCCATAAAGCTAACTATGTTCTACAGTGTTTTTAGAGATTAAAAAAACAACAACAAAAGACTGCATGCACAGTTAATGCATTATTCATTTTTTTTGACACCAGTACAAGTAAGTGGCGTCACGTTCAGTATAAACTCGTGTAGTTTCGATGTATTTCGGCACTTAAGTCTAACCGTGTCTGATGAAGTTAAAAAAAAAAACAACACCCAAAATCAAATAACATTGATGCAAGCTTTTTCTCGGATACGGACATTGACGAAATTGGCCGATTCTGTACGGTCTGATGTAATATAAGCCTAAGATTTCGTAATAATGTAAGACAAAGTACGTAGTGTCAGTCACAGTTTTCAAATTTAGTTACAGCACTATGCTATTGTAAATAATGGTTTTGGCACTGGAAAGAACGAACTGACCAGAGATAATACAGTAAAAAAAACCTAAACGAAAGATCATGGGTTAATTTCATAATGTAGTTCAATCAATCTCCGACTTCCCGGCAACAACAAAACAAACGGACCCCAGACTCTGTCCAAGCAACAATTTTGAGAAGATGTGTCGTGTGTGTCCTCTAATGGTGTGTCCTTCGGGAAAACAACCATAGTAATGCATGCCAAACGGGTTATCAGTTTCCGTCCTGTTACGTTCGACATATGTTACTTTAAAAATCTGATATAATTTTTGTAGGAAAGTGTCAACTTTACAGCTTTTTTTCTGTTCATTTCATGTATATAAAAGTATTATTTATTTCGTTTTCTGCAAAACATGAACGTTTCAAAAACGTTTTATTTGCGTTAGATGTGGGATATATATTTTAAACTTTGTTTGCAAATATAAACCTTGGAACTTTTTCTTTGCCAAATTACACATTAAGTTCATTAATTAAACTTTTTCTACCAAAAAAAATCGAAGACAACCGTTCAACGCGACAACAGCCGTTCTAGTATATATACATGTCAGTATAAAACATCGTAATTGACGTACGGAAAGTATTTATTTGTGTTTTAAAACATAATCCAACTGTGTCGAGTAGATTCAAAGTTAACATCTAAAGGAGCCTGCTTACAAATTTCTGGCCCTGTGCAAGCTTTATTCCCTACGTGAATCTTGATTGAAAATATCCACACTTTCCGATGAGATGCGGCATTCAAAAAAAAAAGTTAAAAAAATAAAAATAAAAAAAATATTTTAAGATATTCGTAAACATTTTGTCATAAAGTGTTCCAAACTATACCTTCAAATATGCTTTTCTTTTAAAGATATAGGCTATCTAAGTTTGAATGTCTTCAAAATTTGAGAAACCCCATCAACCGTTTGCCTCTATTTAATGGTAACATCGACATCCACTAATCGGCAGGAATGAATAACACTTTTTGAATAATAGCTTTTGTGCTATAGTAATTAGGAAAGAGTTGAAATTTTTTGTTCATTTAAAATATACATTAGTTATTGATATTTTCTAATGGCCTCATGATTACGAAATCCATCTACACTTCAATATTTTTTTAAGTTGAAAGACCCTGGTGAAATACAATGATTTTTTTTCTTGTGATCGTTTGTCACAATCTCTCTGGCTATTTTAACCTTAGAGGCTTTAAAATGTTAGATTTCTATATGTCTTGAACAGACGTAAAAGTAGAGAACAGAAAATAGTAAAATACTGGTTGGTTCCTGGTGAGGAACGGATTTGATAAGTGTGTAAACCTACTGTCGATAATCTTACAGCTTCCTACACAATCGAATTAAAATAAATTATTTATGAACCAAATAATGTCAATCTAATACTTCAGGAAAGCCAGCCCATTTTAAATGTCCATTCTCAAGTCTGTGAATGTCGATCACGCGTGGCCTCTCACTCTACACAAATGTTCAAATCTGGCATCTATAGATATAATTACTTTCCTGGACCGCGCTGAAAAAATCAAAACAGAATAAGGCGATCAATATACAGTAAATTGACAAAAACTTATTATTCGAAAGAGAAGTTTTAAAAATATTATATAATTATCTCGGGACAACCATTTAATATTCAATCAGTTAAGCTGTTTTAGCCAATAATAAATGGAAGGGGAAACTATGCTTTAAATTTATTTTAGCTATTATAAATTAATGCATCTATCAACATTTATTTATTTTAAGGTTGGTACATTTTCAACATGTCTTGATCTTTCCCACTTTATAATATTAGCAAAAGTGGAAACTTGTCTAGATCTGCAAGCTTGTACCGCTTACACAAAAATTATTCTACAATCATCACCTGAAAAATTGTTTACAATAATAATTATACTAGTATAAGATTTTATAAATAAGGGCCCTACGTAAAGTCTGATGAATATTTTTTTGGTAGATGTACAGTACATCATATAAATAATTGTTTTAAATACACCTATAAGACTGAGGTAAATGGTAAAAGTCTATAGCCAATACTTTATAAAGAATTTAACATGCTTGGAAAAAAAATTATCACTATTTTAAACAAGTGACTTCTTTGATATAGTTAAAGTTGGACAGTTTATATAGTGTCACTTAAAATAAACAGTTTCTTATTGCTTTTCTGATACCATCTGACAATTATCAAGTATGGCATTTCTGCAAGTGTTGAAGTTAATACAACCAGGTACGTTAATATACGTACCTGATACAACATGTGACTTTATGCAATTTAATCAGACAGGACATCAGCGCCACAAAATTAAGAATGTGTTTGAATTTAGGTTGGGATTGAAAATTGGTTGTTTCGGGATGTGTTTATTTTGTAAAAGATGTTGCCATTTTATAAGACATTTGGCCGTATTTAGTGGTGGCATACCAATAGACTGCTCTTATTTTTAGTGTGTTCGCGCCTAAATATCCGGAAGTACTTTATTACTGGTTCTCTTATCACTTAACGTAGAAGTATATTTAGAACGTGGAAAGCAAGAAACCAATATATGTTGCTGAAGCTGCAGGAAAAGTGAAAAAGTTGGAAAAAGTTTTAATTGTTTTGATAATTGCGATTCTCGGGCTACTTATTATCTGAACTGTGGTATTTTGTGGTCAGTTCTCAATGAAGTAACAATTATCCTAGGTAATTTGAAATGCTGAAGGCGCTAAATATTATAGTTTTGTATGGAAGTCTTTTATAGCCTAAATAACCATGGGAAGAAATTTAACTTATTTAAGTTACCGAATGCATATAAATCTGTTTCGACCATTATATAATAGTGAAATATCAATTTGACTGACTGTCATGTGATTGTTGTACAATAATGCAGCTTAAGATTACATCCTATTTTTAATTGAAAACGTTAATTAGTTTTTTATTGATTCAAATTAGTCAGATGATATATTGCCTTTATTGGGTCAATATTTTTTATTTAGACCAATTTTTTATGTAGACTATGAAATAAAAAAAAATCAATAATTTACTTATCATTCAATTTCTTTACTTATTCTTACATTGGATATCTTTTTCAACTCTGTAATGCAAAATATAAATGTAGGTGCTAGCAGTAGTAGCCCACTAGTCAATTATATCACGGAGCCCTGTAATTATGTAATTAAAGCTGCCATTATTCATGAAGATCAATTGTAAATGCATTCAAGGATAGAGCTTCAAGGAGCATCTATTTAGACAACACCTAGAACCACTTTCAACATGTATATAGAAGCATCCCCCCCAGAAGATAACAGAAAACTTACTATTTCAGGCACATATCTAGAAATTTTTGGCTGGGGGGGGGGGGGGGGCTAATGTTCCAAATAACCAAACTACCTGGGGTAGTTTGGATATTTGAACGCTGTCCTCATCATACACATTAACTGGTGGCTTAATTCTGGTGCATTTCAGGTGCACATTTTAAACGTTTTAAAGAAGATTTAAGACTCATGAACATGCAAGTTCTAGTGGATCTCTGAAATATAAAATCCTACAAATAAAAATGGAGGTTTCTGATCAATGCATTTTCATGTACACAATTTAAATTCAATTTCATGCTACGTACAATTTCATGGATTTTTTTTGGGCTTATTTTATAGCCAATTTTTGGTCGTCATATTCCAGATTGAAAATAGTATATATTATTTTCCTAATCCACAGGAAAAACTTCCCAAATGAAAGTTATAAACAGGGTTGTCATTAACATTTTTTGCAGAAGGTTTGTTTTGAAATTGAGGCGGTCATTTCTGTCTTTATCATGCATAACAAAGAGTGTTTTCTTAATTTTGAGGCGGCCCATAATGCATTTGAGACAGGCATTTTGGCCTCCTGCCGCCTCTTAATGACAACCCTGATAAAATAAGAATATTGAAAAACAAATTCTAAAAACTTTGAAAATAACCTGGGCTTACCTGTTATGGTGCTTAAATGTTTAAATGTTTCAAGATGCCATCCTAGACGGTGATTCTTTGTATTCAATCATTTAATCACTGCAAAATTTAAGTCATGCAATTTTCCCAATTTTTAACAAAACATCACTGAAATTCCCAATTCCTTGGGTATGGGTCATGTTCAAAATCCTGGAAAAAAAACCCTGAATTTCCCAGAAGCTTTCAGGCTTTAAATCATACAAGAGCATAACATGCTTGTCTTATTTTGAATTCTAAATCATAATTCTAACACGACCCGCATTTTTCCCCATTGAACATAGAAGAACTGAAAGTGTGTGTTATTATTCAATAAAATCACAGTTTGACGTTCCATATTGAGACATGTGACATAATCATTATACATGTGACGTAACCACTAAAAATGTGACGCGCTGAAAATAAGTACGGAAATTAATCAGGTGCAATATAGGTTAATATCAGGTACGGCAGCATTTATTTGTTGATGTCGTGTTAGAATCTAGAGGTGTAACGATTCATCAATGCATCGCGATCTGTCTTGTCCCCGATGTATGCATCGTAATGAAATTACAAATTCCAATATATTGGGATGCAATACATATTTCACCTCCCGATGTATCGATACAGCGGGAAGGTATCGCAATACACTGACAATATCTTCCAGGAATATAAGGACAAACGTATTTTTTGAAAGACTGAAGAAAGAAAAATAGCTCGGATGAAAACAATAAACAAGCGCGACTATTATCATACCATCGTTGTCCATGTCCGCAATCATTTAACGGTTACTAACCAAGTTTTATCAATTCCATGTAAATGGGCTGGTGTTCTTTGAACTTGTTTTTAATAAAAACATAATAAGAGATATGTGCGATTTCAAGAAAAAACAACCTACAAACATGAATTTTATTTTGTAGCACTTAAATGTCGGATTAAAATAGTGATGATGACAACATCCCCATGTGATATTCGTCACGTATTTATACTTTCATTTCCGTTGACATCATTTTCCCGTAAAAAAAACAACAAAGCAAACAAACAGAAAACATGAAGACTGCAAAATATGTATACGGGGAAATTACAGTCAATCCTCCCTGGTCATATAAGTCACGAGTTTTGGGAAAATTGTAGTTTTTGGGGAACCATGAGACAGTGTTGTATAATGTGGAAGACCGGACGTGGAGTGTTTGCAAAATCAAAATAAAATACTCTGGGGTTGAGTACAAATCTTTTGAGAAAACTAAGACTACAACTTATAAACTGTCATTTTCACAGTTGTTGACCTAATTGTAGATCACTTGTTACTATTTTTTCACAAGAAAAATCTTTAGTGGTGTATTTGTTAAACTGCCATATTTACAGTAGTGGACTTTAGTGTTAGAATAGCTAGTAGATATCAATTTGCTGTTATGGTTTAATTAAAAATACCTTTAATCCTCAAGTAATCAGAAAAGTAAATTGTTAAAAGATCAAAATCGGAAACCAAGTTATGACAACAAGTTAAAAGAGTTTATTTTTTTGTTATTGTAATAGTTTTATATTATATTCGTAATTATCCTGTAAACAAATCGCCAATTTTTTATATACTAAGTCTAAAAGTCAGTATCGTGATACGTATCGCATCGTAACATAAGAATCGCAATATGCATCGCATTTTTTCAAAGTATGCAATACATATCGTGAATCGCATCGTTTTGAAAAACAAATATCGGGATATGTATCGTGACAGAAAAAAATGGCAATGCACAGCCCTATTAGAATCGCGATAATATATCCAAAACAGTGATTTTATCGCTTGATAACATCACTATTAGTCGTTCGGATGCGCATCATTATATCACTCAGGCTATGCCCTCGTGATATAATTCCTCTCATCCGAACTCCAAACAGTGATGTTATTGGATGATAAAATCACTATTTTGGATATATTATTTCTTAAATAATAGCTTCTCTGATGCATTTTAGGTAGCACATTTTATAATACACATTTCTACATTACCCAGAAAGCCGTAGACATTTAACAGTGTTAAATACTAACCTTTTTACTGAAAATTCTCTTCATATCTAATCAAAGGCTCATTGAATTTAATTGCCAGTTGTATTTAGGCTTCATTTTATTTGATATTTAAAGATAAGTGATATTGGATATCTTAATTTTTTGAAAGCATAATAGGTCACTATTGTGAACTTAGAAAATTAAAATTCTACATTATCCAGGCTTTTGTGTTACTATCAAGCAATGAGAAAAGTCGAACAAGCCGTCCTACTTACAACTCTTGTTACATCATAAAATTTAGCTGTCATTTTTACTTCTTTTGTATATTTATTATAATAGGAATCTTGAAGAATGCCAGACTCCCCAACTTTCCGTAGACGTTCTAACAGAGTTGTAGAGCGGGAGAGATCTGGGTATATGACAATGGAAGAGGATGACTTGGAGCATAGTGGTGTAAGAGGTGGACGCAGCTGTTGTCTTTGTACCGTCATCATTATTTTATTTCTTGTAGCAGTTTTAAATGCTCTGGTATGTATATTTGTGCATTATTAGCTCACCTGTGCTTCATATAAAAATAAATATATGTTTGGTGAAACTTGAGTCAGAAATTTGATTCAGGTGAGCGAAAAAGGATCATCTTGGCTATCTTGTTATATTCAGTACACTTAATTAGTTATAAAGATTATTGACAGGTTATGTATGACCCAGTGAGCTGGTTGTAATGGTATCTTACATAACCCAAGCTGCTAGGTAGTGGTTGTATAGCTAATAACAATTTGTATATAATTATTGCCATATAACCTGTCAAAAAATGGTTGTTATGATAGCTTATATAACCCAAGCCAGGGATATTTTGGGCTTATTTTATTGCTGATATTCAGTCATATTCCCAATTGAATATGGTATTTTTTTTTTCCCAATCCATATGAAAAAAATTCCCAATTGAAAGTTACAAAATAAAAATATTGAAATACAAATTCTAAAAGCTTTGAAAATAAGGACTTCTTCACTGTTATGGTGCTTAAATGTTTGAAGATGCCATCCTAGTCAAGGGGCAGGACGTGAAGTAGTTGCACACTTGGTTCAAGCGAGTGAATTGGTTGCAAACTTGACAAAATGTCGAACACAGCGTGATTTTTTTAAACGGGCGAACGAATTTTTGCCAAGCAAGTGGGTTTCTTTGTTATTTTGAAGTTCATTAGTATGTCTATTCCATAATACAATACATAATGCCACACTCGGTTTAAGGTTTCAGCATCCCAGGTTCTGTTTTGACGAAGTTATTGAAGATATAAACTGATCATGTAGATATTTTGAAATTTGACATGTGACTGTTCTGGTCAGTTTTTCTCCTAATTTATTCGAATTTGTAAGTTTTGAACTGCATTTAACAATAACAAAATATGTTTCTGTCAATGCTGTACAAATGGTTTAGTTCGCAAGTCCGAAGATAACGTTCAATTCACAAAAATATCTTGTTCAAGCACATTTTGGTTGCAGACTTATACTTCAAGCATTTTAAGTTGCAAACTTTTGTGTCAATAATGTGGCTAGCCTAATTAATTCGGCGTGAACGGTTTGACCCATTTTACAGACTTTTTTTATTACTGTCAAACCGGAAAAAAGACAGCGCCCGTCCAAAATTATCTCGGTGTCTCTTTGACAAGTCTAATTAGTTGGACTATAATGTGGCATGCATATCTTAAGCGAGGAATTACTAATCATTTTTTTAAAAATAATTAGCAATTTTAAGGCAATTATACCCGTTCATCTAATAAAAAATATATATACAAATTGTGCATGCGTGCAGATATATCCTAACACAGGGTCTTTCAAATAGATATAAAACACAATAATATTATGCTAAATTGAAGTTCAGTTGTCTTTATCTTCATCATTTTTTCTCCTCGATATACTTCTTTATTTTAACAAAGTCTAAGGACTTTTATTATATCTTGGCATGACTTACTGTAAAGGAAAAGAAGAAGAAAATAGCAACAAACAGCTTTCATAATTGTTCTTTTTTGAGATTTGAAATAATTTTGATTTATATTCGATAAAAACTATATTAACATTGACAAAAGGGCATTATTCACATGTTTCTTTAAATTGTTCATTATTATTGACCAATAGAAACATCTTCCAAATTCCCTAACTCGAACAATGACTTTAAGTAGTTTTGTCACGTATCAGTCAATGTAAATAACCAATCGTATATCATTTATATTATGATATAATAATCAAAATCATCTTTAGAATACCAATTGACATATGTTGTACATCAAATCCGAAATATTGTAAACAAACATGTCATTTTAACTTTTGGTTTGTAAAAATATTAAGGTACATTTACATAATTTATGTTTAAAGCAACTGCTGATCATACGAAACAATCAAATTAACATTTCTTGTGGTTTTTGATAAACTTTAGAAATTTTGCCGAGTAACATCGTATGTGTTCACATGTCCTTATGTTTATGATGAAAATAATTCACTTAGGCCAGCCTTAAAAAAATGTTTGTTTGCAGTAACCCGACCCAGAATTTTCAAGGTGGGTAGGTAGGTCGATTTTTTTTTTTTTTTTTGATTGAACTGTACTCTCAAATAAACATGGAATTTCAAAATGCTGGACAAAATATGCTTTGATAATCTGGTAACAATTAATAAATTGATAACTGAATTGTTATTTAATAAGAACTACATTTTATTTCTTCTATAAACCTTTAAAAGAACAAAAACAAAGCACAAGGCATAATTTTCTGATTCAAAAAAATTTTTTTTTTTTATCCAGACCATGAAAAAAACATTTGAGAAGGGGCAAATTTTGTGAGTCGGTCGCGTTACTGCAAACAAACATTTTTTTAAGGATGGCCTTACATACAATAGTACTCTCACATACGTTTGTTTTGTATGTAGTTTTCATTTGCATTTTACATATGATGACATATTTTAGAATTGAAGTATCAATAAATATTTTTAGTCCCCTACCGGTTTACCGGAGGGGACTTTAGGTTTACCCTCCGTCCGTCTGTCTGTCCGTCCGTCCGTCAGTCCGTCCGTCCGTCCACAAAACTGGATCCCGCGATAACGCAAAAAGTACTTAAAATATTTTCATGAAACGTGGTATATGGATAGATGGCAGTATGGAGATTATGCACGTCTTTTTCTTTTCTTCCTATGTTGAAAATTCTGGTTGCTATGGCAACAAATAGACTGAAAATATGGCAAATTTTACACATAACCTGGATCCCGCGATAACGCAAAAAGTACTGAAAATATTTTTATGAAACTTGATATATGGATAGATGGCAGTATGGAGATTATGCACGTCTTTTTCTTTTCTTCCTATGTTGGAAATTCTGGTTGCTATGGCAACAAATAGACTGAAAATATGGCAAATTTTACACATAACCTGGATCCAGTGATAACACAGAAAGTACTGAAAATATTTTTTTTGAAATTTGACATATGGGTAGATGGCAGTATGGAAATTATGCACATCCTTTTCTTATCTTCCTATGTTGAAAATTCTGGTTGCTATGGCAACAAATAGACTGAATTTCAAGATTTCTGATTCTAGTTTTTAAGTTTTTTTCACTATAAGTTCTTTATTTCTTAAGGTATTTTCTTCAAACTTTAAATATAAGTTGCTTGTCATCACCACCACATCATATGTGACAAGGTTTACAACTCTAGCACAAAAGTTATCAGAATTACCTCCCTTGAACTTAAAATTTTCATGAAAAAAACATTGTTTTTTTTAATAACTTCTTTTTCTGAATGTATCTACTTCAAACTTCATATAAATGTTTCTTATTATCACTCAACATTTGTGAGTGTTCAATACTCTAGCAAGACTATTTCCAGAATTATGCCCCTTTTGAACTTAGACTTTTTTTTGAGAAATTGGTAATTTTTACTCCAACTTCTTCAATCATGATAGGATTTTAAAAATGTTATATTTTGATATTCTGTCTGTACATAAAAACTGTTTCCTGTGATCACTTCTTAAGAACTTTTTCAACAAATTTACTTAAAATAGGAACATAAGTGAATGGCCAATGGCCCTTCAGAATGTTGATTGGGCTCTTACCGGTAGGGGACTTATGGATTGCTTGCAATACTATGATAATTGCTTGTTCTATATGCTATTATTTTGTATGCAGGCTTTTACTGATGATTATAGTATTGAACCGAGAACCATGTAATTTGAAACATGAAGTGGATAACTGTTGTAAAATAACATTTATAACAAAAAACAAGTAACAGAACATAAATGTCAATAATTGCTATTGAAAATAGGTTCCTACACTCCTTCTGCAAAATTTTACTATGGATTTCAATAGAATAAGAATAAGTTTGCAACCAAAAATGCTTGAAGTATAAGTCTGCAACCAAAATGTGCTTGAACAAGATATTTTTGTGTATTGAATGTTATCTTCGGACTTGCGAACTAAACCATTTGTACAGCATTGACAGAAACATAGTTTGTTATTGTTAAATGCAGTTCAAAACTTACAAATTCGAATAAATTAGGAGAAAAACCAACCAGAACAGTCACATGTCAAATTTCAAAATATCTACAGTACATGATCAGTTTATATCTTCAATAACTTCGTCAAAACAGAATCTAGGATGCTGAAACCTTAAACCGAGTGTGGCATATATATTGCATTATGGAATAGACATACTAATGAACTTCAAAATAACAAAGAAACCCACTTGCCTGACAAAAATTCGTTCGCCCGTTTCAAAAAATCACGCCGTGTTCGACATTTTGTCAAGTTTGCAACCAATTCGCTCGCTTGAACCAAGTGTGCAACTACTTCACGTCCTGCCCCTTGCTAGTGATTCTTTGCATTCATTTAATCATTGCAAAATTTAAGTCATGCATTTTTCCTAAATTTTAACAAAACATAAGTGAAATTCCCAATTCCATGGGTATGGGTCATATTCCCAAAATCCTGGAAAAAAAAACCCTGCAAGCTGCTAGGTACAATGGGGTTATATAGCTTATAATTTGTATATTGCAATATAACCGGTCAAAAATGGTTGTTATGATAGCCCAAGCTGCTAGGTAGGGGTTATATAGCTAATAAAATGTATATTGCCATATAACCTGTCAAAAAAAAAAAGGTTGTTATGATAGTTTATGTAACCAAATCTGCTTGGAAGGGATTATATAGCTTATAACAATTTGTATATTGACATATAACCTGCTAAAAATCTTTTAAAAAAACCTCTTGTTACATGAAATTTCTCTGTTACAATTATTAATCTTGGGTGTTAAGTTTACTGTCTATGGTTATAAAATCATATGGAATAAGTAGTAGGTCACTTGCTGAGAATTTGGTAATTACTCATTAGTTATCCTGTAAAGCTAGTAAGGCTAGGTCAAATGCCAAGATATGACCAAAAAACGTGTTATAAATGGCTTAAAAACCAACTAAACAAACATAATATTGCCTGATGTTTGATTTAAGTTTTGCTACAGTAAATCCTTGAGTGACTAGCTCCAGAAGACTGGAATTTTATTCTGTAGGAAGATAGTGTGATGTAGAAATTACGCCATTAAAGGATCAATAAATACATGTAACTCATACTGTAACATGGTGTTAAGCACTACTTTACACAACACATGATATTGGCTGATAAATAAAGGTTTCTTCATATGACACCAGTACTGTTTGGTTCCAGGTTTAGCGGAATCAAAAGTGATTAATATAAGTTGCAAGAACTTGTTTCGGAATCGAGCTTAAATAAATATGTTTAAACCAAATAAAGGTTTTTACATAAATAATAATAAGTATCATGATGAAAATTTGTCTGGTAAATCCCTATTTTATCCATCAAGACATTAAGACTTGCCGGACATATTTTTCTTCAGATTCTGTAAACCTGATAGGACTTACTTATCAAGTAATTGGGAAAGTCATTTCCTGATCTGAAAATTCAATTTGTATGAAATTAAATGATGTAAGAAACAATATATTTAATAATACTGTTTTGTCAAAATGTAAGAGCCGTTGAAATTTTGGATGGATTTAGTATAAAGATTATACTAGATAACAACAGTCAAAAATCTGTTTGTACAAATATGATGTGATGCAGCCAATTTTAAAAATACATTGCTGGCAAAGTCTCATTTTCTTCCATGACAACACATATTTGGAGGCATGCGGCTTTTAAATCAGATTATCCCAGTAATCATCTTGTATCTTTGTCGTTCTTAACAGGTTACTGCAGGCCTTGTGTATTTCCTGTCAATTACACATGAGGGGATGTTGTCTTTGGAGTTTTTCCCTGGTGGAAAGTATTTAAGAGTTCTATCTGATGTTGAAGTAGAAAATCTAACCCTACATGATAAGCTACTGGGTAGAAGTAGAAAAGATGTCACCATTTCTGGACATGAGGTTATAAGTGACATGATTATATAAGATATATATTTGCTGATGGTACTGAATTTTTTTATTTCTATAAAACATGTAAAGTAACGATACATTTCGGTTTTCTGTGGCACATTTTTCCATGGCACAATTTTCTGTACATTTTAGACATTTTTTTAGTACAATCTTTCAGAAGCCCCAAAGATACACAAAGATTTATTCAAGATACAAATGTGTGTATAGTGGTTACACCACTTTGAGTGCTTGATTTGTGTAAAAATATATATTTACAGGTTACACTTGGCATACAGGATGAATCCAAAAGTGAGTACATGAAAATCTTTTTTTTCATATTCAGTACATGTACATGTATAACCTTGGGTAAGGTCAAGGTCATATTCAGTACTTATTTCTCTGTTTTACCAGTGTTCCAACTACATGTAGTGTATGAAACTGGCAGTTAAATCTCTGTTTTGTCAGGAAAGTTTTATCCTCTTAGTAAGATTTACAAAAAAAAACAAAACAATGAGTGATGTCTTTTTATATCTCACTAGTGAAAATTTGTATCTATGTAGCATAATGACATGAGTATTATTAAATCAGGTTCATACCTATCTTACAGTGACTATAGACGAGAATAACACGTATGTGACAAGTGACAAGTTTGAATTGAAAACCGAGGATGGGAGACCGCTGTTTGTCACAGGTTCTCATCTCAACCTTGATGGATACCATGTCAAAAATCTTCACGCCCCTTCTATAGACGTAGGATCGGTAAACAATTTTCTTTATAACTATTTGATACTAAACCTGCTAAAACAGGACGTGATTAGCCTTTGTCACCAGTATAGAGTCAGGCCAGCCTATCATCTGTGTAGTCTGATCAGGCTCTTTACCACCATGTATATTCATAACTCAGGAATGTGAAATAACACAGAAATATGTTTTAGCAGCTGTATGTTGTTTTTTTAGCTCACCAGAACAATTGGGTTCAGGATGAGCTATTAGTATCAAAGGGGGATGCTCCGGTGTCCGTTGTCATGTGTCAACAATCGTCTTCTTCTCTGAAACTGCTGGGCAGATTTACTTCAAATTTGGTCTGTAGCATCCTTGTGACAGTCACACTTGAATTTGCTCATGTAATTTCAGTTGGCCCCTTTTAGGGGTCAACAGAGCTTAAAAAACCTATAAACATCTTCTACTACAGAATTAATTGATGGATGATCACCAAACTTTGTTTGTAGCATTCTTGAGTAGTCTTTTAAAAAATTAATTTGATTGGCTCCTTTTAGGGGCCACTGAGGCTAAAAAAAGAAATACCTTTGAATGTCTATTTCTACAGAACTAATTGATGGATGATCACCAAACTTTGTCCATAGCATTCTTGGGTAGTCTTATATCAAGTTTGCTCATATTAATTTGATTTGCCCCTTTTAGGGGGCAGCTAAAGCTAAAAATATAAATACTTTTAAACGTCTATTTCTACAGAACTAATTGATAGATGATAACCAAACTTTGTCTGTAGTATTCTTGGATAGTGTTTTATCAAGTTTGCTCATATTTATTTGATTGGCCCCTTTTAGGGACCCGAAAGCTAAAAAAAGAATTTCCTTTAAACGTCTATTTCTACAGAATTAATAGATGGCTTATCACCAAACTTTGTCTGAAGCATTCTTAGGTACTCTTTTATCAAGTTTGCTCATATTGATTTGATTAGCCACTTTTAGGGGCCACTAAAGCTAAAAATAGAAAAACCTTTGAACATCATTTCCTACTGAAATAATTGATAAATGATCACCAACCTTTGTAGCATTCTTGGGTAGTCTTTTATCAAGTTTGCTCATTGTAATTTGATTGGTACTGTTGAGGCTAAAGCTTAAATGCCCCAGGTCATGGCATTTCTTCAAATTATTGTTTAAACATAATCTATGCTCAAATTTAATATTAGAAAATATTGACTATGGATAATTTCCAACACTGAAAAGCAGTTGTTTCTGGTGAGTGTCTCAGGGCCATCATGGCCCTCTTGTTTATTTCTTTCCATGTGATTTGTAATAAATACAATATTAATTGGTCTGTGTGCTTACTCAGTTGCTAATTTCTATCATTTATTGCACAAATTCTGCATTTCTGCATTATTTTTCACATTTTGCATTTTGGGATATACATGGTGTATACTGTTGACTCATGAAATTCAAATTTTCATCATATTAATAAACTTCCCTTCAATTGATAATCAACAGTTCTAAGAAATGGAAGCTGGTCTTGTTCATTTAAGAAATTTGGTAGGTCAGGGATCAAAGATAAATTACTAAGACTCTAGAGATTATGTGTAATTAACTTAACACTAGAATTTTTTTTTTTTTGTATGCGTTTATTTAAGGTCGCCGCCGGAAAGCCCATATGGGCGACCGTACACTCAAGTCGGGTCATCCTAGAGCATCCCGCCGAGATTTTTCGTCGATTTTTTTTCCAGCTTTATTGGTGGAGGAAGACCCCAGGTGCCCCTCCGGGCATTATTTCAGGCACGAGCGGGCACCTGGGTAGAACCACCGACCTTCCGTAAGCCAGCTGGATGGCTTCCTCACATGAAAGATTTCGACCCGAGTGAGGATCGAACCTACAGTGGTGAGGGACCTGTGATCTTAAGTCAACGACTTTAACCACTCGGCCACGGAGGCCCCTTAACACTAGAAATGTTTGGTCATCACCTTTTAAATACTGATACATTTGTAATACACTAACACTAATCTTAATTGTTATACAACAGACAAATAAACTTACCATCAGCACCTGTTTAACAATGGTGATTATCCAATTTATATTTCAAGTGTTAATCCCCATTGTCACACGATTACAGACTTGTGAAAACTACCGACAATGTATATGCACGTGGCCTGCTAATCATGTAAACAGGTAGTCAGCGTCTGTGTATTATCGAGTGTAAAGAGCGATTGCCCAATTGAGGCACCTAATGGGATTAATTGCATCTCTGATGTAATACACAGCGGTAGATATTTAAGGCACCGCGCGGGGTATTTAAGCACCGCGGTAGGTCAGATTTTTTAATTTAAGCGCCGCGGCAGCGCGGTGCCTTTTGATGCTGGGGAAAGGCCTGTGATTGATAAACAAGAATATATATATGTACAAAATCTCAGAGCCTCCGGATCCCTGTCTTATAAGTGATCTGTGTTATAGGTGAGTTGATATGGTGAAGTAATCTTTCTTAGCTATACTCACACTATCAACTTCTAGAATATTGTACACTGCCTGTGTGACAGGCGATATTATAGTTATAAAAAAACCGATTTTGTACAGTAACAACGATTTTGCATACCAGTTATAGGCAATATACTAGTAGTATATGTTTGTTCACTCCTGAATTCAGGTCTTACTTTGCATCAATAAATCCAATCCCCAAAAATGGCATCTATCTCTGCACCAGTAAATTTATTTCACAAAAAGGGAAGTTGTTTTTGCACCATTAAATTCAATCCACAAAAAGGGCAGTTGTCTTTGCAGTCCAATACATTCAGTTCCCAAAAAGGGACAGCTGTCTTTGCACCAATGAATTCAGTTTCGAAAAAAAAAGGGCAGCTGTCTTTGCCCCAGTAGGTTGAATTTCCAAAAAAAGGGCAACTGTCTTTGCACCAATACATTCAGTTTCCAAAAAGGGGCAGTTGTCTTTTCACCAGTAGATTCAGTTTCCAAAAAGGGCAACTGTCTATACAGCAATAAATTCAGTTTCCAAAATGGGCATGTCTTTGCACCAATGAATTCAGTTTCCAAAAAAATGGCATCTATCTCTGCACCAGTAAATTTAATTCACAAAAAGGGAAGTTGTTTTTGTGTCGCCTTGAAAAAGGCGACATATAGGGGTTACTTTTGTCGGCGTTGTTGTCGTTGTCGGTGTCGTCGTCGGCGTCGTTGTTGTCGGCGTCGGCATCCCCTAAAGCTTGTCCGGAGCATAAGTCAGTCATTATAAGTCGGATTGACTTCAAACTTGGTATGCATGCTTCTCATAATGACCCGAAGTGCAGTGCACAAGAACCGGTACTCTGTACTTCTTATTTTTTGAGTTATTGCCCTTTGTTTATTTTCATACTTTATTTTTGTCCGGGCCATTTCTCCTTAAGTATAAAATCTATGGACTTGAAACTTCATAGGATGATAGATCTCATTAAGAAGAAGTGCAGTGCACAAGAACTGGTACTCTGCATTTCTTATTTTTTGAGTTATTGCCCTTTGTTAATTTTCATACTTTATTTTTGTCCAGGCCATTTCTCCTAAAGTATAAAAGCTATGGACTTGAAACTTCATAGGATGATAGATCTCATTAAGAAGAAGTGCAGTGCCCAAGAACTGGTACTCTGCATTTCTTATTTTTGGAGTTATTACCCTTTGTTAATTTTCATACTTTATTTTTGTCCAGGTCATTTCTCATAAATTATAAAAGCTTTAGACTTGAAACTTAATAGGATGATAGATCTTATTGATAAGAAGTGCAGTGCACAGAAACTGCTGATCTGCATTTCTTATTTTTTGAGTTATTGCCCTTTGTTGATTTTCAAATTTCATTTTTGTCTTTGCCATTTCTCTTAAACTATATTGTTCACAAGGCGACACATCCGACTCGCGGAGTTCTAGTTGCACCATTAAATTCAATTCACAAAAAGGGTAGTTGTCTTTGCACCAATACATTCAGTTTCCAAAAAGGGCAATGTCTATACAGCAAAAAATTCAGTTTCCAAAAGGGCATCAGTAGATTCAATTTCAAAAAAGGGCAGCTGTCTTTGCACCAGTAGATTCAGTTTCCAAAAAGGGACAGCTGTCTTTGCACTAATACATTCAGTTTCCAAAAAGGGCAGCTGTCTTTTCACAAATAAGTTCAGTTCCCAAAAGGGACAGCTGTCTTTTCACAAATAAATTCAGTTCCCAAAAGGGACAGCTGTCTTTTCACAAATAAATTCAGTTCCCAAAAGGGACAGCTGTCTTTTCACAAATAAATTCAGTTCCCAAAAGGGACAGCTGTCTTTGCACCAATAAATTCAGTTCCTAAAAAGGGACAGCTGACTTTGCACCAACACAATAAAATTCAGTTCCCAAAAAGGGACAGCTGTCTTTGCACTAATGCATTCAGTTCCCAAAAAGGGACAGCTGTCTTTGCACTAATACATTCAGTTTCCAAAAAGGGACAGCTGTCTTTGCACCAGTAGATTCAGTTTCCAAAAAGGGCAGCTGACTTTGCACCAATACATTCAGTTCCCAAAAAGGGACAGCTGTCTTTGCACTAATACATTCAGTTCCCAAAAAGGGACAGCTGTCTTTGCACTAATACATTCAGTTTACAAAAAGGGACAGCTGTCTTTGCACCAGTAGATTCAGTTCCAAAAAAGGGACAGCTGTCTTTGCACTAATACATTCAGTTTCCAAAAAGGGACAGCTGTCTTTGCACCAGTAGATTCAGTTTCCAAAAAGGGCAGCTGACTTTGCACCAATACAATAACATTCAGTTCCCAAAAAGGGACAGCTGTCTTTGCACTAATGCATTCAGTTCCCAAAAAGGGACAGCTGTCTTTGCACTAATACATTCAGTTTCCAAAAAGGGACAGCTGTCTTTGCACCAGTAGATTCAGTTTCCAAAAAGGGCAGCTGACTTTGCACCAATACATTCAGTTCCCAAAAAGGGACAGCTGTCTTTGCACTAATAAATTCTGTTCCCAAAAATGTCAACTGACTATGCACCAATAAATTTTGTTCCAAAAATAACAATAAAATTAACCTATAAATTTAGTTCCCAAAAGCTGTTTTTGTACCAATACAATAAATTCAGTTCCTAAAATGAGTGGGGGGGGGCATCTGTCTTTGCACCAATAAAATTTATTTCAAAAAAGGATACTCCTGAGATCAATTCACAGGTAAGACGGACTACACATATTTTTTTTGAAGATCAACAGATTAAACATTTTGCGTTAATAGTTCTAACTGTGACAACTGTAATGCCTCCATAAAAATGTTGATTTTACTTAAATACAAATAAAAGAATATGTAAATATAATACTTTCTGTGTTCCAGATACACGGTTTAAATTCTGAAGACTTCGAGGTATTGACTATTCATTTAGTGTGCATTTCTTTCCTTGCAGTTCATTTTTAAACCCTTACCTTTGGCTTAATTTGTGCAATTGATATTTCCTGCTTCAAATTTATATCTGCCATTTTCACTTCCTATCAGCTTCATTTAAAGATTAGAACATTAAAGAAAATTAGCAGCCATTGGTTAAGAGCAGTATCAGTTATGCAAGCTAATGAGGCTGTGTACTGCTATAGGCGTGTGTTATTTTTGCTACTTCCTTTTACCATGACATTCTGAGCACTGAGAGCTGAAGAGTTTTTACGATCATTGATGGTTGCCTGTAGCCCCACATTTTGTTTGTCTGCATGATAGCAGCTTCATTTATAATCTGATTTGAACTAAAACTTTATACAGAATAATGTATCATCAGTAGATACATGTAGGCCTGAATGTAACTTTGGTTTGTTATAGTATGGCGCTTGATTCCTCAAGGCAAACTAAAAGATTTTTGTCAGTACAGGGAAGGATCAGTTTCAGCAAATTCTATTCATTCCATAAGTATTGATAGATACTTATGACCTTATTTAACAAAAGAAGTACCAATTAAAGTTCTGTTTTTAGGAATGTCCATCTGTCTGTCTGTTTGCCTGTCCATTAGCTGTATGGATGTTTCTTCAATAACTATAAGGTGTGCTGTCTTCATACTTAATAGGCAATATGGTAACATCTTATCCCCACACAGTGATCACCCCTTCATTTTTTCACTGATAATGGGAAGTAACAGCTGCGAGGAGTTTGGTTAATGTCTAGTAGATGATCCCTATTGATAATGAGGTCATTCGGTGAAAAGGTCAAAGTCACAATTACACTTTATACATGTGTAGATAATCCTTTTCTGCCCAATAACTTGGGAAGGAGGTAGTATATGTTTGTGAGGAACATTGCCTATTGAAAGTAGATGACATTCATTGATTTTGAAGTCATTAAAGCCAAAGGTCAATGTCAAAGTGACACATACTTTGGGCATAATGCTCCAATCTGTGGATCTCTTGTTTATATTTGTCTGATGCCATTTTCATTACAAGAGTTGTGGCCCCTGACAATCTTTTGATGTATTTAGAGTTTACCTTAAAATTAGGATTAGTCTTGTACAATGTATTCTATAAATATTTGCTCAGACCCTGGCTTTCTTTTTTTTCTTTTTGTAGTATTCCTGTAATAAGATATCATGGGGCTATATAACAGATTTTATGTTAAGTTTTTAGATAAAAAGATTCTTTTTACTTTCTGTTTAGAATATGAAACAATAATAGCTATGAAGTAGGGATAAACATTCAGCTGAAGTGATAATTAACGCTTGACTAAATGCATATACTTTTATTTACTGCCCTATATAATTATGTGGTAGTTTAAACATAATTGATACCTAGTTAAAATTTATATAAAGAAAACAACATTTAAGTACAAAAAAAACAAAATACTTAGTTACTTTGTTTAAACTTTTAAGAGAATTGCCCAAGGCCATTAAATGACTTTTTTGATTTTCAGGTCATAAGGTCAAGGTCACAGTGACTCAAAATCATCTATATTATATTGACTATATTTTGATGACTATAATTATTATGATGTGTATTGTAGGGTTATTGTAAGAATATCTGTGGTTGACTTGTACGAGGGTTGTTCCGGAAGTTCTGGGAATTTTGTCATATCTCCTAAATTTTTTTGTTTCTAAGACATAATATTTTGCACATACTAAGATTAGCATATCACGGAACTATTCCTAAAAATTGAATAGAATCAGACAACAATAGCGTGAAATAGCAGTAACCATAGCAACATTATAACGCCGCACCGGAGCAGTCCGACTCTAAAGAAAGGTATAACGCGCAACACTAATAATATTTCGTAATTTTGATAACATAAAAAATTCGCCAAAACGCTGGTCAGCAGCAGAACGTCATGACGTCATTTCCTGAAAAAATCATAACGTTATTTAAATTCTCAACGGATCAACATTGTTTTAAAGTTGTTGCCCATAGCCACTGAGTAAACAACATGACGTCGATAGGTGACGTTGAATTGCGAAGCATTGTGAAGCTTTGTGTTGCGCTGGAAACGTCTTCCACAGAAACAATAAAAATGATCAATTCTACAGGAAAATACAAGAAATGCAGTCCGGCTACAGTGTATAGATGGCATGCTCGTTTTAAAGAAGGAAGAAACTTAGAGCACCCTCCATACAGCCCGGACCTCGCTCCGATGGACTTCCGTGTGTTCCCGGAGCTCAAGTCACAGCTGCGTGGAAAACGCTTTGACTCAGCTGACGATCTTGTTAAGCATACACAAGCTATAGTCTCGTCCTTTACCGATAGCTGGTACGTGGAAACATACAATAAGTGGATCAGCTGACACAGGAAATGCATCGAAATGGCAGGGGACTACGTTGAAAAGGTGCAACGATCAATGGACTTTAACGTCGCATAACGTTGCAAATGACGTTGGCGTGCTCCGGGTGTTTGTTATATGGTTATTTACTATTTTTATTATGTTTTAGTTTCTGTGTGTATGATGATGATATTTTCAGATACTGTACAGTATATATTGAAATAAATGCGTATATATTTATATTTACGCTAACCCGACAACAACGTGTGCTATAAAACAATTCTCAGAACTTCCCGAACAACCCTCGTATTTGTTAAGAGTTGATTTATTTAGGTAAGGATCTCATGAGGCACAAAGGCCCAAGTATGGTATGTTCTAGAAAAAAAATCTGGACAGTCAAAGTATTAAGGTCAAGATTTTCGTGCAAAATGACCTTTTCAACATATAAATGTACATAAAAAAATGTACCTCCTCATATAAAAGATATATAACTTACCATGACTTAAATGCCATTATGTCTGCAAGAGTCATTCCTTATCACTCTTGAATACAATATGGATTTTCTGTCGCACCTCGATCCAATCAAAAGAGTGAACGACATTGTTAATGTAGTTACATGTATTTAAATTATGGGTCACTTAAAACTAAATACAGGACTTTCTTTATTTAGGTGGCAGCAAGCAGTAAATTTCCAGATCTTTTGATTGAATCTTTTCATGAGGCAGACATATTTGGAATGGAAGGTGTTAGAGTAGAAACACAAGGAAATATTAAAATTGTTGCTGCAGAACAAGATATAACTATCAACTCATTGGTTTGTAGAATTTTTATAATTCTCGATTAAAAAATTTGATTTGACCTATAATATAATTTCACAAAAATAATTATTACATAATGATGTGTTAAATCAAAGGGAGATAAATGTGTTATTTAGGATGCAGTGCAAAGAGTAAGACATACATTGCAGGAGTTAAGTGTTGTTAAACATGTCATTTTGTTTAATTTATTCCATCTTGAAAGATGTTCTCACTGTCTCTTGAATGTTACTAGTCGAGTAGGCCTTGTGAATAAAGAAAATAAGAGAATGATACTGTAAAAGAAATTTTCTTTTATCAGTATAATTCCCCCAATAACATGTATATCCGTGACAACTGAACTATATATCATCTTGGATAATTGTCCACCTGCAAAATTTGAAAATTGACCTTTGACCTTGAAAAATGTCGGTTTGACTTTAAACGAATGCTTTCAAAAATAAATCGTTTGCCTGAATGTTTAATCTTTACTTTTTCAGGAAGATTCTTTAAAGTTTAACCAGGAGGAAGGCATTTACATTGATTCCAGTCTTCCACTAGATGGTAAAGGCTCGCCAAAAACAGGCACCCACTTAAAGTTATGTGTTTGTGGCTCTAATGGCCGTGTATTTGCTGTGCCAGACAAGGGAGATAAGTCAGGCTGTCATATTGCTAACGAAGATGTAAACCCTTGTTCAGAATAGTTATTGAAACATTACTATTTTAATTGTTTTCATTAGTCAGTGGAAATGCTATGTTACTTGCGTTGAAATCTCATTGTTTAAACCGTCCAAAACTTACATTTGTTTAGTTATTTAAACTTTGTGATAGAAATGATGAAAATTTGATACGTTTTTGAAATTTTCAAGTTATTGTTGAGATCATATTTAAACCTCCTTAATCTTATTTTGAGATTAGTTTTTGAAATGCTGAGATTATTTCTGATTTAATTATTATAAGTACTATTATTATTTATTGAAACATTCTGAAATAGTGTTGAGATAAGGTATTTGTATCTTTTAATTATTGTTGAGATTAGTTATTAAGACTTTTTTTACAATGTACTCCTATGTTGTTATTAGTTATTTAAAAAATACTTTAGTGTTGAGATCATTTATCGAAACCTTACAACATACTTTAATGTAAAGGTCTGTTGTTGAAACCTTTTTGCAATGTACTCCTATGTTGTGATTTGTTATGGAAACCATCTTACTCTAGTGTTGAGATCATTTATTGAAACCTTACAAATTTAATGTTGAAGTCAGTCATTGAAACCATTTTACAATGATCTTCTATGTTGTTATTACTGTTGAAACAGTCTTACAATATACTCTTGTGTTGAGATCATTTATTGAAACTTTACAACATACTTTACTGTTGAGGTTAGTTATTGAAACCTTTTTACAATGATCTTCTATGTTGTTATTACTGTTGAAACAGTCTTACAATATACTCTTGTGTTGAGATCATTTATTGAAACTTTACAACATACTTTACTGTTGAGGTCAGTTATTGAAACCTTTTTAGCTCACCTGTCACAAAGTGACAGGGTGAGCTTTTGTGATCACTTTTCGTCCGGCCGTCCGTCCGTCATCCGTCAACTTTTTCTTTAAATGACATCTCCTCATAAACCACTTAGCCAATTTCATCCAAACTTCTCAGGAATGTTCCTTTGGTGGTCACCTTTAAAAATTGTTCAAAGAATTTAATTCCATGCAGAACTCTGGTTGCCATGGCAACCGAAAGAAAAAAACTTTAAATATCTTCTTTTAAAAAACCATAAGAGCTAGAGCTTAGATATTTGGCATGAAACATCTTCTAGTGAGTGTCTACCAAGTTTGTTCAAATAAAAGCCCTGGGGTCAAAATTGGCCCCGCCCCGGGGGGGTCATTGATTTTCCCTATATGCATATAGTAAAAACTTAAAAAATCTTCTTTTAAAGAACCCAAAGAGCTAGAGCTAAGATATTTAGTATGAAACATGTTCTAATAGGTGTCTACCAAGTTTGTTCAAATAAAAGCCCTGGGGTCAAAATTGGCACCGCCCCAGGGGGTCATTGATTTTCCCTATATGCATATAGTAAAAACTTAAAAAATCTTCTTTTAAAGAACCAAAAGAGTTAGAGCTAAGATATTTAGCATGAAACATGTTCTAATAAGTGTCTACCAAGTTTGTTTAAATAAAAGCCCTGGGGTCAAAATTGGCCCCGCCCCGGGGGGTCATTGATTTTCCCTATATGCATATAGTAAAAACTTAAAAAAATCTTCTTTTAAAGAACTCAAAGAGCTATGGCTAAGATATTTAGCATCAAACGTATTCTAATAGGTGTCTACCAAGTTTGTTCAAATAAAAGCACTGGGGTCAAAATTGGCACCGCCCCGGGGTCATTGATTTTCCTTATATGTGTATAGCAAAAACTTAAAAAATCTTCTTTAAAAAAAACCCCAAATAGCTAGAGTTAAGATATTAAGCATGAAACACCTTTAAGTGAGTGTCTACAAAGTTTGTTTAGATAAAAGACCTGGGGTCAAAATTGGCCCCGCCCCGGGGGTCATTGATTTTCTTTATATGTGTATAGCAAAAACTTAAAATCTTCTGTGAAAAAACTCAAATAGCTAGAGTTTAGATATTAAGCATGAAACATCTTCTAGTAAGTGTCTACAAAGTTTGTTCAAATAAAAGCCCTGGGTCAAAACTGGCCCGGCCCCAGGGGTGTCATTGTTTTTAAACTATATGTGTAAAGAAAAACTTAAAAAAAAAATCTTCTTTTAAAAAGCCCAATGAGCTGGAGCTTAGATGTTTAGCATGAAACATCTTCTTATGGGTGTCTACCAAGTTTGTGCAAATAAAAGCCCTTGGGTTAAATTGGCCCTGCAACATTGGGGGGTGGGGGTTGGGGGGGGGGGGCCTATATACAGGTGAGCGACCTCAGGGCCATCATGGCCCTCTTGTTACAATGATCTTCTATGTTGTTATTACTGTTGAAACAGTCTTACAATACACTCTAGTGTTGAGATCATTTATTGAAACCTTACAAGTTACTTTAATGTTGAGGTTAGAAAATGCCAAGGTATCCTACCATAAATTTGTATAGACACTTAAAGGATTAACCAGCCAACACTGTAGAGGGACTGACTGTAAACTTATGGTATAGACAAGCTAGTCATAATTATCACTAGCATTTTACCTCATTCCACACTAAATATCTTAGCCCATCTTTCAATCATGTTCTCTGAACAAAACCATTCATCATTATAGGGGAAAATTTCAATATAAATACTGATTGAATAGACTATGAAAAAAAAACAGGTACAGAAGTGCAGGCTGGTGTTAGTTTGCGCTGGTGGCATAGGTAGAATCTGTTGGCCCCAGCAGGCTTAAGTTTAAATGCTTAGATATTGTAAAGAATATCTATGATACCAAAAGATCTCCTTTACAAGATTGGTGCTATCTTTTTTACATTGTACATTAATTTCTTTGACCACACTAGAGTAATTATTTTTTTTTTATATATTTTTAGATCAACGTGGTTTGTTCATTATTATCTTGATGTTGATGTCTTATTTTTCTTTATCTCATAACGTACTTTGTACTTTTTTTTTATATATTTTTGACATCTTATACTGCTGTTGCTTTTGAAAAAAAGATTACAGCATTTTTTTTTTTTTTTAAAAAAGGGCAAGAAAACATAAAATAAAGACATGGATACCTTAAAATAAGGCTGGTTTCTGTATACATATGGTTACTTTTTGTGACCTATTTTCTAACATTTAATTGAATTTTTGTCAATTTTTGTCGAGCCTGCTTGCAGAGAGCTCAACATAACGTTAGTTGTCACAATGGCAGTTCGGTGTACGTGTGTGTTTATTCGGGTTATGCTTGTCTGGTTCTTAACTCTGTCATAAGTAGGCAGAATTTCAAAAAGCATAATAAAATGTTCCCAATATTAAGACGGGTTGTGACACACAAGAACCTTGTGGCTAGATCAAAGGTCAAATGCTCAAGGTCAGATATGACAGCTTGCCTATTCACAGTAAATGGGCACGACAATTTGCCCATGGGCATGTAGTTTTTGTTGTTCTTTTTACAACATTCTTAAGAGATTTAATTGTTGTGAGTAAATTTTACTGAATCATTTCAGTAAATGATTTTCTATTCTACTTGTTATTTACATCTAACATGATCTTAATCCATTATTAGAACTTTATTAAACACGTTTGACATTTCTAAAGAAGGAAAAAAATATGGATTTTTTAAGCATAATGTGCCATAAATTAACATAATATGAATTTCGGAAGCATTATGTACCTTTAATTAACATAATATGGATTTTGGAAGCATGTGACTTTAATTTACATGATATGGATTTTTGAAGCAGAATGTGCCTTTAATGAACATAATATGGATTTTGGAAGCAGAATGTGCCTTTAATGAACATAATATGGATTTTGGAAGCAGAATGTGCCTTTAATGAACATAATATGGATTTTGGAAGCAGAATGTGCCTTTAATGAACATAATATGGATTTTGGAAGCAGAATGTGCCTTCATTTAACATAATATGGATTTTGGAAGCAGAACGTGCCTTCAATTAGCATAATATGGATTTTGGAAGCAGAATGTGCCTTCATTTAACATAATATGGATTTTGGAAGCAGAACGTGCCTTCAATTAGCATAATATGGATTTTGAAGCAGAATGTGCCTTTAACTATTTGGAAGCAGAATGTGCATTTAATTAACAAACTATGGATTTTGGAAGCAGAACGTGCCTTTAATGAACATAATATGGATTTTGGAAGCAGAATGTGCCTATAATTAACATAATATGGATTTTGGAAGCATAATGTGCCTTAAATGAACATATCAACATTATCAGATACTAGTTGTCAGTTCTGTAGCTGTTTTAAAAAATAAGGAAATCTGCTTAACCATTTATTTTTAAACATTTTGCATGCAATTCACTTTCTTATTTTAGTATGTCAAAGACATTGTAAACTTATTTTGATGTTATTTTTGGCATTCAGGGTCCTTTTCTTTTGCTGGCAGTCCTTATTTTTATTTGTATATTATATATTTATCAATTTTACTTTGCAGGTTTTTCATTTCTTTTCTGTGTTTTCTGTGTGCCTAAATACATGCTGAAGACATAAGCATGTAAATAAAGATGTAGAAATTTTGTAAAGTGGAATGGTTGTTCTTTCTTTGACACACATATTCCTGCTTTCGAGATTTTAATATTACGGAAACGGAAAGCACTTTTTTAGTTGCCACCTAGTCTGTTCATCTGTCTGTCACAGTCACTCTTGTACAGAAATCAACTTTAAAAAGTATTGAATGAATTTGATTGCAACTTTGAGAATATTATGACAAAACAACATTTAACAATTTATTGTTTTAATTTTGATCAACAATATATAAATCACTTTTCAATAGTAGATAAAAACAATATAAATGTATAAATATTTTGATTATCTAGAACATTCATTATATATTAATATATAAAAAGTTTACACAGGACCTGATATTTAGTACAAGTATACAGTAAAACATTGAGTAAAGTTTTATTGTTTCTTTTTTATACCACTAGTTTTCCCCCCATTTTAAAATAGTAGTTCTGTCTAACCCAGCATGCTACTCACAGTCTTACTCTACTTCCTGCATTCTGCCATAGTTTAAAGTTCAGTTCATTGACTTTTACCTAACAATTAATTTAAATACTTTTAATTAGTGGATGGCCTGTAGTCAGTAAAATGGTCTAGAAAAAGTCTTTCTTGGGGCTGAAGACATAAATTTTGAGAGCATTATTGTGGTGTATTATGATTGTATAATGCTCATTTTAGTTTGAATGTGCAGGAATATAATCACAAAAGCTGGTAGGGCCGAGAAATTAATTACAAAGCATTTAAATGATAAAGTTTGCATTATTGTACTACAACATGAGAAAAATTTAATACCTATTTCCATTCTTACTTGCCAATTGAAAGAGAAATGAGGAAAGTATGTTGAACTTTATTAAGAAGAGAAGTAATTTTAATGTCCAATTTTACGGCATAGGACGTGTAAGCATTCCTATTTTATGCTGTCCTTATATCGTGTAATTATAAATTGACTGCCCAGTCTCTTTAAAAGAGGAATAATGTAAAGCATCATGATGTTATATCCTTGTTAAAAAGTCATGATCAGATCGTGAATTGGGCAGTGGGAGTGTTTGTAGTGAGTCGTAACCACTAACCCAAAGCATTTAGGTAGTTTTGTAAAAATGATTTGGATATCAACTCTTACAATCCTTTAGCACATTAATCACTTCAAAGCTAGTGAACATCAGTAATATTTTGACTTGGGGGACCAAGAAAACTTGTAAAATCTCAAACCTCACCACCTCCTGTAATTCAGGGGAGATAACTTGTGTCCAAGTTTAAGACTATCCAATCCCTTATCAGGAGGCAATCTCCTATGCAGTGATCTCCCCTTATCAGTGCAGTACAATATGCAAAGGGAGGTAATCACTGTTAGGAGTTTGTACTTCACTACAGAAAAAAAACTTTTTTGACATTATGTATTCATGGACAATATAAAAATAAGGTACTTGGCTTTCAATGTTTTACTGTATATATGATATAAACTTACTACTTTAAGTTCATGGAAAATCAAATATTGCACATATTTTATTAAATAATATTCTAAAGTTCTACTCTCCACAGCTCACATAATAATTATAATCTCTGCATAATAATGTACATGTCACAGCTATATTTTTCAGAGTTTAAAATATATATACCAAGTACATGTCATACTCGTAACTCCATCTAGCCTCATTTCTATTTTTTGGTCAAAAATGTATATGGATTCCCTATTGTTCTGTCAAGAGTTCTGTCAAAATGATTGTGAAAAATGTGAAATAAAGAGGTCATTATACATTGCTGAGGACAATATTGCTTCTTTTGGACTTGTAGGTGCAAAACCTATATCAGACTCCGGTAGCGCCTCATCCAATATAGATTTGACAAATGTGTACTCGTCCAATCAAATCCAGTACTGAACTCGACAATGTATAATAACCTTGAAGCACATGATATATAATAAAGTACAAAATTACTTGGTTTCAATCAATATTGACAATCACAATAATTCTTTTTAAGTTGAACAAAAAGTTCTATTACACATACCCAATAATAAAATTTCAGTAAACTAAAAAGAATATACAAGCATATTCATAACCTTTGAAAAAAATTAATGTAATTGAAAACAAAACTGGGATTTTTGTCTTATTAACACTGGCATCTAAAAATAGTACATGAGTGTACAAAGACTATATGTTCTTCACTCTGGACCAAATTAGACTGGTGAGGACAGTTTTTGATTTTAAAAGTTAATGAGACACAATGATGTTCAAGGTCAGGAAAGCTTAGTGTTTCTCTGTATAAATTACTTCAATTATTAAAGATCTGTCCTAGAGCTGCTGTACTGGGGCTTTAAATATTTGTTTTCAAAGTTGCTGTTATAAATTAAGCACTGTATTCAGACTACTAGTGAGATAAAACTGATATCACTCACTGTGACAACTGCCCATGATACAATAAAAAAGAATTAAATAAATTGCACTTTATGACTATGGAATATATCTTATACAAATGAGAATATTGGAAATATTTCACTTTTCATTGATGAAATATAATTCATATCCACTAAAAACAAAAACAAAATATCTCCTCTTAAATACATGTATATATATGTAAAAGTGCTTTTTAAAATATATGATAAAAAATACTGTGTAACTGCTATAAAAAATTTGGCTTCAAGATGTTATTTATAAACATGTATGAAAAAAATAGACCATAAAATAGTCATATACAAACTTTTGTGTAAAAATCAAAATATAACAAATGTGCATATACATTTTGAAAGTGGTATAACACAATTCATTGCCATAGAGCTTAACTAATGTATTCTAAGCAAATACAGGGTAATAATTTATGTACATGACATAACATTGTACTTTGGGCTTATTGCAAAAATGCTGTATCTCCCCCATTATGGGTTTTTATAAGAATTAAACCATGTTTGCAAAAAGCCAGCAAAATACAAGAAGCTGGAATGTTTCATAGTTAAGCTATTCATCAAGGAATGTTTCAGTAAAAATCAAATTGCACAACTTTAATCACTCAAATTGCACAACTTTAATTAAAAAAAAATCAAATTTGGTGAATCAAATTGCACATCTTTTGTGAATCAAATTGCACGATTTCCAATTTGTTAATTATAAGAGACACTATTCCTCACTCTGTTTTAGAACTGTCATTGTCTTAGCCAGTAAAGTGTATGTGTCTCGAGCAGTCTTTATTTGCGACTCACAGAATGCTACGAGGCCGTCTTGATATGCTAACATTCGGGCTTGAAGAAACATCTTCAGCTGAAAGTAAACAAAGATAAATCAAGTCACAACCTCTATAAATATTTTGATTCTGTTTTTTGGTACGATGGGTTTTATGTCGCATCACCACTGTAAAGGACATTTAAGCAACATTTACGGTTAACTGCTAAATTTAGAACTCCTGGAGTCCACCTTCATCATTATTTCAGGCACAAGCTGGCACCAGAGTAGAACCACCAACCATCCATAAATTATCTGGCTAGCATGATAACACAAGTAATAACCCACTCATTTCAAGATTCACAATCAAAATGGCAATGGACACCATAAGTCAGCAACCTTAACAAATCGACCATATGGTGCATTGACAAACTTAGCTTTATACATGAACTTATAGCTCTAATCAATTGTAAAAAACATGAACTGTTAGCTCTAATTAAATGTCATATACATGAATGTATAGCTCTTATTAAAATGTAATATACATGAACTTATATATAGCTCTAATTATTTGTAATATACATGAACTTATATAGAGCCCTAATTATTTGTAATATACATGAACTTATAGCTCTTATAAATTGTAAAAGTATTACATTACCTCTCTCCTGGCATTATCACAACACATTTCATATTTTGTCTCTGCAGCATGCTTCGCATCTTCTGCCTGAAAAAAAAAAATTACAGCAACTTACAACATTTAAATAATAAATGATACCTTTAGAGCGACTAAAACAAACATAAATATGTGAGAATTCGCAGACTTGGTTTGATTTTGTCAGTTCGTAAGAAACTTCAAATATTTTTGCTCCATCCTGTCAGTTACAAAAATTAATTACTGGTTAGTTATCCACCAGTTAGGTGGCTTGCCTGCTGCAATATGACCAAAAAGCCATGTGTTAAGATTGTAGTCGAAAAACACCCCAGAATAACAAACCACATACGCTTCGGGGTCAGATCCTGCCCCCCAAATGTGATACGCCCCTGTAAACACTCTATATATTTAAACATGAATGGGACATCTGCTACAACATTAAAACTGGGTTTCAAACAATTTTACATATCTGAAAAAGTACTTTATTGAGACTTGATGGTAAAAGGTATTTTTTAGGTATAAATTCATGTTTAAAAATATAAATATTTTTGATAGAGTGTTTACAGGGGTGTATCACTTTGGGGGGCAGGATCTGATCCCCAAGCATCTGTGTAACAAACAAACACCATCGCCTTGATTAAAATAACATAATATACCAACTTACAGCCTTTCTCTTCGCAGGTTTGGCCTTATCTAGTGCCCTATTAGCATCCTCATAATCAACCAATAGAATTGTCCTCCTGAACAACATGTCCTATAAATAGAAAAAGAAAGTAATAAACAATATTCATGTATGAAATCTAAAACAATCAGACATCAAATTGACCAATCAAACAACAAAATATAATGAACTTGCTTCATTAATATTAAAAGTTTGTATCCTTCGTCAGTTTCAAAATAATCAAATTCTGAATATGTGCATCTCTACCATTGGTCAATTTCACAAACATTGATAGGGTTCAACCAATCAGAACACAGAAAAATGTTGACTTGTTTAATAACTTAATTTTAAAAGATAATTAATACCAAACCTTTATAGAGTCTGCATATCTGGCGTAAAGATCAAGTTGAAACCCCAGAGTTTTTTCATCATTTCTACATAGCACCTCAAGCCCATGCTAAAAATTAGTAGATATTGATACATATAGCAATATAATGTACATGTATGTGTACTCAATTTGACAACTCTTTGTTAAATAAGGAGTGATAATAACAAGTGAAGCTTTCCTTCGTTAAAAATGAAGCTTAGCACTTAATCTGCTAGTGGCAACAGATTGTAACCATGCGGCCAGTGTGGACCATAGTCACACGGCACATCTGTGTCATCTGATCAATGACCATGCACTGTTCACTATTTAATCAGAACTTATTTCAAAATTTTTCCTTACATGATGAATGCTTCAATCAAAATTTCAAGATGGACACATCCATTTAAGAAGTGTGGTAATGCTGAATTCAAAACTAGCATAGCTAATATGCAAAGTAAACAAGCTTGCATCTGGTGCTTCCATAACCCTCATTTCAGTTTTGGCAAAGAAAAGTACCAAGATTATTCAAATATATTGTCAAGAACAATTATTTATTTTCACAACAAAAAATATATATATATATAAATGACTCACCTTTGTATTTCCTGTTGCATCTGATAATGTTGTTAGATATCTACCAATATAAAAAATTTGTTAGAATAATTAAATACATCTTGATTCTTCATCTTAAAGATAAAAGTTGTTATGTTTACTTTCACCTGCTACACAAACCCTCCAAGCAAAAGCCATCTCTCTACAACAGCCAGTTTTGGAATGTCCAGCTGGTGGTCATTGTTTGGAGGTTATACTGTACAGTTTTGTTGTTTATATGTTGTTTATAGTAAATATTTCTCATACAACATGACTATTCATTTTACTTAAATTGTATCTATAGTAAAAACAACAACAACAAAAAACAACATCAATAACTACATCATGAAGAATTATAAGCCTACAGTGATTTTCCCCCACATTTTGGGGAAAGTAGGTGGTGCCCATCAGTTGAGGGGGGAGGGGGTGAATTATTATTGGCATTTTGGGGAAATTAAAAATCAGTAAGGTTTGAAACAACCTCAGTTTTAATATAATGAAAACCACAACAGCCCTTCTAAAATCCATACTGCTGTCCTCAATTAAATTCATTCCAAAATGTTTAGTGATTATCTTTATTTAAAAAAAATTGAGAGGAAAATTGTTCTTTAAGTAGGAAAAATATAATCTTTTTCAGCAAACGAGAATAGGACCCAGTTTTGGCCCAATATTTACTTTAAAAAAGTTACTGGGTTACCTGTTTATAGTAAGGCTTGTGAGATCTCTATTAACACCTCCAAGTTGTAATGCTGTTGATGTATGTCCATAACTGGTGGCCAGTCCTAGAAAAAAAAAACCCATAACTTTCACTTTATCTGTTAGAATATTCCCTTCTGAATAAATATGATTTATGAACATTAATGTGTGTAATAAACAGTCTAAAAAATGCAAATATTTTCATGGAATTTAAAACAATGTCATAATCAGGATTACTTATCAATATTTTTTATGACAGCAAGCTCTTATACCACTGATTATTTAGGTATACCACTATCCATTTATTAAGGTACACGCTTTTCTGTTTATTTTTAGATATGCTTATTTAGGTATGCCACTATCTCTTTATTTAGGTATACATCTATCTGTTTATTCCAGTATACCACTGCATGTTTATTTCGGTATATCAATATCTGTTTATCTAGATATACCACTTTATGTTTATTTTGGTTTACCACAGTGAGCAAATTTCAGTATCATTTTTACCAAAATATACCAATTTGAGTTTATTTAGGTATACCACACTTTTACTACAGACATAAATGAGAAAACTAACTTAAACAAAAGTGATATGAAGCACAAAATTTAAGGTAAAGATAAATTAAAATAAACTTACTATGTTGAGCGTTTACCATTCTGTTAAAGTCCTACAATAAGGCAAAGAGAACATTCTAGAGCTATAGAAGAACAATGCACAGAAAAAAAACATAAACCTTTAACAATAGATTTTTCATCCTTTGAATTTGGTAAATAAGTTCTTTTTACAGGGATTTCAGCATGAAAAACTTTAAACTGACCAGCTGGTGTAGTCTGATCAAAATTGTAAAAATGTGTAGACTGGCCTGATTCTATGCTGGTGATATAGGTTTGTTTACATATTGTTGGTCCTCACTGGTCAAACCTTTTTTTGGGTTTGGTTTTACACCGCACCAACACAGTCTAGGTCATTATGTTGACTTTCTAGCTTTACTGGTGGAGGAAGACCTTAAGTGCCCCTCTGTATATTATTTCAGGAACAAACGGGCACCTGTGTAGAACCAACAACATTCCATAAGCTAGCTGGATAGATTTTTCACATATAGAATCCAACGACGCTTGCGTGGCTCAAGCCTACACCAGTTAGAGGAAAGTGGTTTGAAGTCCACAGCTTTAATCACTTAATACTGGTCTTATAGACAGGGCCTTGATAAATTTAGCACTCATTTTATGTATAATCTTTTCATCTGACATGTCACCTAGATAAATAAATCAATACAGTCTTCAAATTATAAGATTTGAAATCAAAATTTAAGTAAGGGGAATTATAAGATATGACCTCAAAATTTAAGTAGGGGATTTTAAGTCTAAACTTCATGCTTTAGGCACACTTAATTGTCAACTGATATAACCCTTTCTTTTTGACCACTAGGATTCATCTATTGAAACACAAAATTATTCCTTAGCCCAATGCACCCCAAATTGATTAGTCTTCGTACCCAGTATAGAGCTGGACCAGCCATCTGACATGGCTCTATACCATTGGCTGAATACTTTATGCAATTGGCTCTGACTAAATTTAAAGATTCCTCTTGATAATGGAAAGTTCCATAACTGAAAGCTGGACAAGTTCATTTTAAAATATTTAGAGGTAAAGGGTTAACACCTTCACCCATATACACCCGGTTGAAGTGAAGCAACAGAAAGCCAGTTTCTTGTTAAAGACAAAACAATGTCCTTGATATGACTTGAAAATATAACCTCCTAAAGGAAATACCCTACCACTGGACAACACTGCTCTCTTAATGAAAGTTAGTCAAACCAAATTTATGTATAAAATAGTCAAATTGAAAACTTAAAAGAAGACAAATATGGAAAATAAAAACAATTAATAAAATTTTGCATGTTCATGGAGGACAGTGGCAAGTGCAATCAATGGTCCACACAATCCATAAACTATTTATTTTTAATGAACTGGTCTTATCTTAATATTGTTCATATTTTAAGTGATATACTGACAACAGACTTCTTTTCACCTGATATTTCACACATGCTCATGATAAACCAATAAATACTTTATTCACTTACACCTGACATATCTTTGATAGCTTTCGAGAAAGTTGTACACCACTCCCGCTTCTTCGAGAAAAAATCATCAATATCCTGAAAAGATTTGAAAAGATAAAACAAATAGTCTTAAGAGATAAGGTGACTGGATTCTAAAATTACATATAGCTTAATCTATCTATTTCATTCCATTAAAATATATATGTGAAAACAAAAAACAATTTTAAAGAGGTAAAAAGAATTTCAGGGGAGTCAACTAGATTTTCAGGGGAGGAAATTGGAATTTCAGGGGAGTAACATAGAATTTCAGGGGAGTCAACTAGAATTTCAGGGTAGGGTTACTGGAATTTTAGGGGAGGTTACTATCTAGAAGGTAACTTATTCAGATACATACTCTGTGGTGTTCTTTTCTAGCTGTTTCTACAGCAGAAGACATTCGGCTGAAGAATCCTTGATTAACTTTTGTTTTCACAGGTGCCTGGAAAATAAAGTTTTCATGTAAGAAACATACCAGTTAACTATGGTCTGTAAATGAAATAAAAGAATAAATATGGTATAACTTGTCCATTATACCATGACAGAATAGAATCTTGAAAAGAGTGCATTTTTATAAAATCTTGTTATGCACATACATATATGTAAGTGTAGGACTGAAAAGAAAAGTCATGTAATGAAGTAACTACAGCATTCATGAATATTTGCCACCAATTACATGTATGTCAATAATATGTAACAGTGGTAAATCATGTTTGTGTCACATCATGATGTGGATTCAAATTCCAACATGGAAAAATCTATTCATCAGGAAAAGCTATTCTGCCATTAGGCCAGAGGTTCAACTCCATTAGAAGCTTATATTACAAACAATAATATATCTGAATATCAGGTCTTCTTAAAACAGCTAAAAAATTTAAAACAAAATCCCCCCCTTCCCCCAAAAAAAAAAAATGAATGAACTCCGAAATGACAAAAATATGTCTCAAGGGTTTTATACACATACATGTACTTTGAAAAACTGACCCTTTAAAAATTTAAATCTTTATAACAACTTACCTCTTGCTCACAGAGAAATTTTTCAAGACTTTTATCCTTCCCAAATGTTTCATGGTTAAGCATTAATCTTAAATATCTGAAAACAAAAACATACATTTAACATTTTGTTTAACTGTTATTTACTATGCAATCTTTTTTCACTTTACAATTATCCCCTGTCTCCACATATCAAATACATGTATGTGTTTTTCCCAAATTAAAAAAAAAAGCAAAAACTAATTGGTTGCATATTTAAATAAAAGTAAGTTGGTTCCAACACTCTGCAAATATTAAATCATTAAAACCCCTATTTGGATGCTTTGTTTAAAATTTGTTTAAAATTTCTCGACCAAGGACTGACTTGTAATCCAAAATTTCGGAATCAGCCTATCTGTCTCTGAAGGCTGATTCCGAAATTTTGGTTGTATATTTAAATAAAAATAAGTTGGTTCCAACACTCTACAAATATTAAATCATTAAAACCCCTATTTGGATGCTTTGTTTAAAATTTGTTTAAAATTTCTCGACCAAGGACTGACTTGTAATCCAAAATTTCGGAATCAGCCTTCAGAGACAGATGACCATTAGAATAATTGTCTGAGATCAACTTTCACGGACAATTTTCACGTCACAATAGGATAGAACCAGTGGCACCTGGAAAAGCAAATTCTATGCTTTCCTTATTATAAATATATAAAGCTGGCAGACCTTGTGGAGACCTGTCCTGTGAGGATATTCAGTCAGTAAAATGCCTGATGAATTTCTGTCTCTCTCTCTATACTTGGACACTAATTTCTAAAGGACTCTAGCTTGGAAACTATTTAACCACGGACTGGGCCACCATTATGATAATAGACTGTATGTAAAAAATTTGGCTAATTCCACCACTAACCAACACATTTCCCTGTGGTGTATATGTCACAGTAACAATTGATTAGTGTACTTTATTACATTTTACTGATTTGATTCATGAAAATTTTGGCCAAAGAGCCTTTGACTAGTGAAATTCTAATTCTACTGAGAGCCCAGAGTGTAAATGAATACAACTGAAAATCTGAATCATAATAACTCTTACTTTTCTAAATGTCTACAATCTCTGGAAAACTCATCTGGGATGACAATTCTAGAATCACTACCAAGCTGTTTCTTTGATTTTGACTCAGCTGATTTCGCATCAACTTCTGGCCGTTGTGGAAGAGGTGGGACCTATAGATAATTAGCAAAATATACAATATTTTGTAATGGAAGGTGGTTAGAGTGATAAGTCTGACATAATTCTAGCACAGACATTTTATCAATATATTAAATTCAATCAAGTACAATTACAAATTAAATTACCCCAGTCTCTAAATACAATGTAATCCCAAAAATCCAATTACTTTCACAACCCTATACCCATTAAAAAGACACAATTACTGGTATATATAGGTATGGGATTTTACAGTTCAAATTGCCACAACTATGCTTATAGAATACACATTTGATATCAACTTAAATGTAAAAGATTTAAGCTTGAAAAAAGAAAATGATAATCTGTAACAATGTACATGTATGAACCAAAGTGATAAACTGAACTTAAAACATTTTGACTTACCTTTTTAGGCAATTAATGAACAAGAATTTTTCGAAAGTTTTTTTTTTGAAAATGTATTAACTGATCTGAGTGGGAGCAATATCAAATACATTTGAGCCGTGCCACGACAAAACCAACATAATGGGTTTGCGACCAGCATGGATCCAGACCAGCCTGCGCATCCGCTCAGTCTGATCAGGATCCATGCTGTTCGCTATCAGTTTCTCTACTTGTTATAGGGTCTGTAAACGAACAGCATGGATCCTGATCAGACTACGCGGATGCGCAGGCTTGTCTGGATCCATGCTGGTCGCAAACCCATTATGTTGGTTTTGTCATGACCTGGCTCATTTGTATGCACCATCACTTACAATAAGACCATCAATGTTGTTTTGTGTTATGATGTTGTGATGTAACCATTCTATGTCTCCAAATACTCTCAAAATTTCACTCACTTCCACATCCTCGTCCCACTGTAATGATAAACTGCATCGAATTAAAAGAACTAAACGGAACAAATGGCAGATGATTTTTGAATTATAAAGAATTGTTCATTCTCAATAAAAGTTCTACATTCACCAATCTTGCCACACCCCTCACAGATACTATGTTAAGGGTTGACCACAAAACTGTTGCAAGTCCTTCTTTATTTTATAGAAGTTTCTGCAAATTTGCTATTAATCCTCCATGTCATGCTTTGTGCTGATCAGGAGTGCTGAGACAGATTATATTTTGAATAGACAAAGGAATGTACACACTAATGAAACAATTATAATGAGTGTTCCAGTATTTTACCATAAAACTATGATAAATTTATTAACGTTCTGTTAGCTAGCTGGATAGCTTCTTCACATGAAAGAATCAAAAGTCCCTGTTGGGTTTCGAACCCGCAGTGGTGAAGGGGAAGTGGTCTGAAGTCAACGACTTTAATCACTCGACCACGGACTCCCCTTTATAAAACAGCATTCAAGAATTTTTTTTATTTTATATATTTTTGAAAGTTTTTTTGTCACAATTCACTTAAACAGTATCAAACTTAATTGTTAGATGTTAACATGGATATTGTAGTGGTAAGGTCTATGCTATTGGAAACATGATGACATTATTTAATGCAGGTGATAGAGCTTTTCAAAAACTACAACTCAATTGTCTACAGTACACATTGATGCATGCATTAGGCTTAAATGAATGAATGAATCAAGATGAACAAGTATTCCAAGTTTCATGTTGATATGCCTTCTACTTAATAGGCAATTTCCATAACCGTCCGTGAACAAGCTCAATCAAACCAAGCCTGCAACATTTTGAATGTTGCCGAGTCAGGCTTTCTTTAGGGATTCTTATTTTTCTCTATTTTAACATAAACTGATTACTATTTGTTAATTTCTTCATGTTTAGCATTCTATTTAATAACATCAGCCTGGCACATTAACTCCTGTTGTAAATACAGTGTTTTCTGGGATATTATTAGTTATAAAGATTTTTGACAGGTTATTTGGCCCTATATAAATGGTTGTTTGGAAATATAACCCAAGCCACTAGGCGAGGGTTATATTGCAAACAACCGTTTACATATGACCATATAACCTGTCAGAAATATTTATAACAAATTTATAATACACTGCTAGCATCATTTTTAGTGAGAAAAGTGAGATTACTTCATAAATCGACAGCAGCCGTGTATATAAAGCTATATAAACGTCATGATTATCCAATGAAAAGCGACGTTACAAACCTGCAGTCTTATAAAAAGCATAATAAATACAATATATGAAAGAAGACTATGATATCTAATCAACGCATCATTGAAATTCAACAATATAAATGAAAGTATGCAGTATGACGAAAATACATGTCTTGAAAAGGCAGAGACTTAGAATATATGGTACAAATAATGTTACTCCAATATTAATACAATGCTATAGCCAGCTAGCCATTTAAATATCCACTGAATAAGCAAAGGGATAATTTCCCTTGATCAGCAATTTTTAGAAGCAAAGCGTGGAGAGTTGATGATTAGTAAATTTGTAAAAGTAGGCCTCACTTAATTCAATGGTACTATCTGCAAATGTCTATGTCAACATGATTGATCCAGCAGGTTGCCTAATAGAATAGTTCTCAAAAAAAAAATCCAACTAATATCGCCAGCTTCCCAATTAAATGTAATTTTTATGACGAATATAAATTGTTATCTTTAATAGGAATGCAAATTGTAATGTTTTAATGAAACATTCAACCATGAAACAAATATTTGCTTAAAATATTTCCTAATTTTCCTCAGAAATTGTCTTTTCTTTATATTACTTTTTTTCTTTTTTATCATGAGGCTGAATATTTAAGTATATAACCATATGCATGTTACCATTAACCTTGCTGTTTTATAATGTTTATGTCCAGTACATATGAGCCGCGTCACGACAAAACCAACGTAATGCGTTTGCGACCAGCATGGATCCAGACCTGAGCATGCGCATCCGCGCAGTCTGATCAGGATCCATGCTGTTCACTTAAAAACCCTATAACAAGTAGGGAAACTGATAGCGAACATGGATCCTGATCAGACTGCGCGGATGTGCAAGCTGGTCTGGATCCACGCTGGTCGCAAACCCATTATGTTGGTTTTGTCATGTCGCAGCTCATATGTACTGGACAAGTAAAACTTCTTCACTACTAACCTTGTACACCTTTATTGTAAACTGTAATACATCTCCATTTTTCACAGCATCAGGGACGGTAACTCTGTACAGAGGGTGAAATGGTACAGCAGAAAGTCTTGATGGCGAGGATTCTGGGGAACTTAGGTCAACATCATCATCAGGTGACTCCTTCCCATTGGATTCAGGATCATCCTTAAAAAAAATGAAAGAAGGAATACAAGTCATTTTTTCGTCAGACAATAGGTTTGTTCTGGTACAAGTAGGTTCTAGTGGACACAGATTGAAGGTTGACTGGTGGTTTTAAGGACACTTCACCCCCAACATTTTGCCCATCTTTTTGTGAAATTTGATTGAGACATTTAATCAACCACTTTTTCTTATAATTTAGTACATTGTGATCTTGAAATTGGCTAGCCACTGCTGTGGATAGAGTAGACGTATGGCATTTTTTCAATAACAAGTAAACGCAATGGCGAAGTTATTTGTTATTGGAATATTTTCTTTGCAAAAAAAAACATGAGGGGTGAAAACTCTTACTGATTTGAGGGGGAGGGGGGAGGTTAAGGTCCAGAGGGGTGATGTGTCTTCAAAATTTAAGGAGTTAATTGTCTGGGGAAAATGTTTCTTGATCAAAGGTCCGGGTACCCGTATCATCTTTTACAAACCGCCTGGCCTATAGTTTTGAAATAATTTGATACTCAATGGATAAGAGGGGGCGTTACCCAGTGCCACCCTTGTTATATATAAATAGCGAAGCATTTACTGTGACAGGAAATGATAATTTTTGGCATACACCATGTAATCAAAGGTTATAACACTTAGAGAAACAAAATTAACTTCTTGTAAATGTTGTGACACTACCATTTTCAATGTTTTTGGACAGTTTCTTAAGATATTTTCCTCAAAAACCAAACGCTCGCATCAGCTGACGGAAAGCGTCTTATAACATGGATCGAACACCACTAAATATATTTCGGACCACGGTCTTTTCGGACCAGACACTTCGGACCAGATTTTTTGGTCAATTCGGACCATCTCTTGGGGCATTTCGGACCATGATAAGGACAAAGAACTTTTTCTGACCAGCACATATTACAGTTGTTTTAATAATCCATAGAGGATATTCAAGTTTTGTCTATAAATACATGATTTATTTTCATCGAGTGGTATGAAAATAAATATTTCATGAGTGGCGGTAGCCAAAAATACGGAAAATGAAAATACGCATTTTATTTCATCAATATTTCTCAATATTTCATTTGTAAGTATATAATAAATTAAAATATTTTTTAATATAAAAGTATATATGAACTTCTATATACATATGTTAATAAATGTACTTTGGATATAAGTGTGCCGAAAATGATTATGAAATGCTATATTATTTAAAGTTATGAATGAAAAAAAATGAAATTGATTTACTTATTCAATGCATTTGTTTGATATCATATAAAATACGAACATATGTACTCAATTAAATTGCTGAATATTTGATTATAAAAATTATGCAAAAGATCACAAACATATATCTACTGTATTCATTTGAATAAATAACGAGTAAACCGTGACTTTAACAAGGTCTATTCAACAATTAAAACGCGTTGAAAATGCATATCGACCAAGATGTCGTTGTACTTTAACTTCAATCAGAACAAAATTTGATTAAATATAAATTCAGATAATTCAGTTTAATTCATTTATTCTCATTTTTGTTTAATGCATATTGTTATTTTTAAGTCCTAAATATATATATATTGTAAATGTATGTTCTTATTGAGACCAATATGTTGAAAATAACAGGTCTTTTTTGTCATGCACACTATAGTGTATACCTTATCCGAAGAGAATGTTGCACCCTTGTTTAATTACATAAAATGACTAACTATATGTAATGACTATAAGAATACATTTGATACTTGTATTTGTGATGCATGTAGCTCTGACTTGTCGCTATATTTGTATTATTATAATTATGTTTTCTTGCCGTATGTTTTCTTGGGTATAAAACCTTCTTGATGAGTAATAAATGAACTTGTCATTACTTATTTTTATTGTTTATATTCTTCATTTTGAGAAGTCATAATATGTAGAAGTTATAGGTTATACAGAAAACAAATGCACCAAATGGGATGCATACATATACATGTGAACTCCCCCACTTTTAGCGGGAGACTCCCTCTTTCTGCAGTCATATTTTCAAAGATTTTTTCGTAAAATAAGGGGTATTTTCACAAATTAAAGAAAACCCTTTTTTTTGATGTCAGAACTTCGATCCTTCTTTGTTTATTGCAGATTCTAAAATCTCCTTTATTTGAAGAAAAATCTCCCACTTTATCATCAAAAAAGTTCACATGTATGGGGATGCATGTTTAAAACCTCTTAGAGTATTTCATATACATTATAACGTTCGGAGTTACTCTCCTAAACGTCCTTTATGTACAGTTCGTGGTCAGAATTGTCCAAGGTATGGTCCGAAATGCACAACGCACGGTCCAAAATGTCCAAATATCTGGTCCGAAATATGTTCCGAAGTTTCTCAAAATTCTGGTCCGAAATGTCCCTGATTCGAAATGTCCCATTACCTAAATGTTTTCCATGTGGACAAATAGCATTAAATGTTTTCAAATGCAAACACAATTTAATTATAATTTTGTTACCTTAAAAAGCATTGTCAAGTTTGTTATATTTGTTAAATTCAGTAACCCATTTGATACAAACAAGTTCTATCTAATAAGACGATTTTTGAAAGAGAAAAAGTAAAACTTTTGAAAAAAAGAGAAAAAAAGAAAGAAATTCTCTTTTTTTCAGAGCGAAGAAACATAAGTATAATGCGAATTGTCGTTTCTGTTTTTAGCGACATTGAGGGTGCAACATCTCTCACGCCCCTAACTTTAGACGGCATTCAATCCTAAGCACAAACGAATTCCGTAGGATAAAACATTTTTGCAACTAGTACAGGTGCAAGCATCTCGTTTTATAAACTTCAGTTTATTCAGGTATGTATCATTAAAACACGATGTCGACCGTAACTACCACCCAGATAAAACATAGCCTAATCTGTGATGACAACGTTTTTTTCATTTTCCTCAGTTAAAGCCATGATCAAGCACGTCGTTTTCACTAAACCTATGAACACGTCACTTTTTTCCAGAGTTTGGCTTGTAGAATTTTTGCTATTTCTCTGTTGACAGTGCCTAGACCACACATTAGCTGCCAGTGATCTCTGGTGGGAAGATTCCCCAACGTAATCATATTCCGGATTTTATGTACGACGTCAGCAGTAGCTGATGTGTGACGTTTGCTGAAAGAACCACTTGTACCTGTTTTGTGTATGTTATTTCGAATAGCACACTACTTTTACCATGTTGAATGCGATGCACAGTAACACCAGAAACATTATGTCCCGCCTGTTTTACTTGATTTACAATGTTTCTGTAGGACATTTTTTTTTGGCTTCAAAAGTTCTAAAATAATGCCCGCAACAAAATCATTTATTTTTGGTCTAACCATGCAGGGTCTTTCAAATAGATTGTTTGAAAGACCCCGGTCTAACCATATTGAATTTGCATAATTATGTGTATATAATGAAAAGCAACATTCCAAACATGCAGTATTATGATACCATTTTGTATGCCATAAAAGTAATATGGGACAGAATGTTTAAAATACCTATCACGTTAGGGATCCTACACTTCTGATAAAAACTTCTCTTCATCTGAATGATGTCATTCCTGTCTGTTGGAAACCTGGAAAAAAAAAACACACAAAAAAGAAGAAAAAAGCAACATTTATTCAGTATTCATATGGAAGCTTAACTCTTGTGCTGATGAACAGCACAAACTTTTAAATGAAATAAGTTGTGATAAAATAGGTGGATTGTCTGTTGAAATCCCACTAAGGAATATCCTTTTATTATACAGACAAAAATATTTGACAGGTTATATGTTATTAGCTATTACGATTGTGACAGGTTATATGACTCTATATAAACAGTTGCTTGAATAAAAAACCCAAGCCGCAAGGGTTATATTTTAATCAATTGTATATATTTGACCATTCAACATGCAAAGAATTTAAAAATCGTATGACCGTTGATAAGACGGCGCCCGGTTGTTTATCATAAAAGACAAACGACTTAAGCGTACATGCCGTGTCTTGCTGGTCATTCGATCCTCATTCGGGTCGAAATCTTTCATGTGAGGAAGCCATCCAGCTGGCTTACGGAAGGTCGGTGGTTTTATCCAGGTGCCCGCTCGTGCCTGAAATAATACTGAAGGGGCACCTGGGGTCTTCCTCCACCAGTAAAGCTGGAAAAAAATCGACGAAAAAAATCTCGGCGGGACGCTCTAGGATGGCCCGACTTGAGTGTACGGTCGCCCATATGGGCTTTCCGGCGGCGACCTTAAATAAACGCATTAAAAAAATTGCTGGTCATCAAATTTCATCAAAATATTATGCCTGTACTCAGTGTGACTAATTTTCGTTAAAATCACTGAAAATAGTAGTTTATAATTTATGCAAAAACTAGTTCTTCATATATTTTGATACCTTTTATGATAAATTCGGAAAACAAGTAGTTCAAATTGCATTGTATGGACTTGCAAATCAATACATGTCTGTCTCATTATCGATTGAGAGATAAAACTGTTAAACTGTATTGAAAACTTAGTGCATGCATTATGCTTCTATATCATAAGTAAACATAGATAAGGCTGTTTATGAATTATAGTATAGTGTATATAAATTTGTATAGTACAATTAATTTCTTTCAGTTACTTTGTGATAATTCATGATAAATCCATTGAACATAGTATAAGTACTAGTTTTATTTCCGTTTTATCACATTATTAAATTTGTGTGTTGCTTGCTATGTGCAATTTCCAATAAGGGTTAGGAATTGCTATTGGAAGAAATCGCAAAAAAAAAATAATAATCGCTTAATGTACTATAATTATAAATGTAACATAGCAATTACGATACACTTGCCAAACAATAATAAGAATAAAATAAATAATGAGTTTGTTTTCGAGAGAGAATGGACTGCAGGAAACAGTTTTACAGGCAACACTGAACAATAACGCGTATTTTTGCAGAAGTTTTTGGTCCTGATATCAGTTAAATCAGATAATGAACGACAATCACGTAAAAGAGATGATTTGATTTTATTGGATATTAAAGAAAATGCTACTTAAATTGTGACAAAATGTATATTTTCGGATGCGAAATGTAATTCGTATTGAAAATTTATTTTCGATATCTAAATTTTGCCCTTAACTTGGATTGAATCCCGCCTGAGGTTCATTTAAGTGAGGAAGCTTTCCAACCGTTTATGCCTGAAATAATGTATCTTAGGACTTTCACCGACAGCAAAAACTGGAAAGTCACCATATGCCCTTTACAACCTCAATGTGGCTTAAAGTCTGATACATCAATCAACCAATCAAATCAAATCAATCAAGTCAACCAAGTCAATCAATCAATCAATCAATCAATCAATCAATATTGTTAAACTGGATTTCAGTTCCCAGCATTTAATATCAGTCGTCAAATTAAATAGGTAAAGAAATAGTGTTCGTCTTTTAAAAATCATTCATGGTGAATTCTTACCCAAACCTTTATGAGTAATTTTTTGTTTCTGCCTGTTTAAAAGAAATCAGAAAAACAATACAAGTAAATAAACCCCGTCATGTACGACGGAATCAGCGTCAGTGAACAACCTAGCTTTGTATATCATCCCTCGTGTTCCATAATTAAACATATTTTCATTTTTAAATTTAAATCAAACTATTTACTTCCGTTTTATACACTGTTACAAATATATAGTTTTAAGAAATATGAGACTTCTAAAACCTATTTATATACTTTATATATCTGTATGACAAAATATTACTAAAAGTCATTTTATAACCCTTAAAAGTTTGTCCTAAGGTTATACGCAAACTTGTGAGGATTTATTTTGGCTAATTGTAAGAAGCGATAAAACCATATCGAAACAATATGCATGTATAGCATTCAGTGTAGGTTAACAAAGATAAGGTTATAGAGTTATATATGTTATCTTAGAGTCAATAAATTTCCACCATAAAGTTTAATTTCTTTATGTAAGCTACTTTGTGTTAGGTCCTAGTTAAGTTTTATTTCCATACTGTTAAAGCACATCATGTTGTTATTGATTCATGACAAAACTGAGTTAGACATAGAGAATAGAAATAACTATCAACTATGTTCATCTTACGTTTTTTTTTGACGGTACATTGTTAAATTATGAGGTTATTATACATTGCAAAACTGAATTCTGTTGGACAGGTACATGGCTGTCAAATGTATGTTGTAGCAGGCACAGGCCAAGTTTGATATAGGTTTTGCCACTGTGCACTAGTCCATTAGAATGAATATTGTTATCAACAATGTATAGAAACCTCTTTATTTCACACCATGATATTTTGACATTTTGTCAGAACTTCGTTCTTCAAGTATAAAAGGATTTGATATGCATTTTTAGACATGAAAACAAGGCTAGATGGAGTACGATATGCATTTTATACCGATATTTTGGACATTGAAAATGAAAACGAGACTACATAGGTTGATAAAAATAAGCCTGACTTGAAACGAGACCAAAATGATAGGATTAGATGTGTTGATGATTGCTATTGATACAGTACGTGGTTCAAATGCTGAAGGCCCTTTACTTATAAATTTAATTTATAAAGTGTAGAATATATATCTATACTTTTGGTTGAGTTTAAAGTCGCACCAACATAGTAGAGGTCATATGGCGACTTTGCATCATTTAAGGCAAGGTAGGGTACTTATGAAAGTGTTTTAAAAGATTACGTACATTGTTATAATTTGTGTCCTCGCCCAAATGATATGTTTCCAAAACTCGTAAGGAAAATATACATAACTAGACGGGAAGTTAAGTGTCCTCTCGAAATGGAAAAATGTGTGGTTGAAAAAATTAATCATTATCAAATTAAACAAACCAACATAGATAGCTACATTTGGTTTAAAGGAGCTACACTAAGATTACAAAACCTAGAAACATATAGTTTGAAACATTTTAACAAAAATCAAGTGAAGGACTTAAAATTGGAAAATGTGCAAAGGATAATAAGAAAGGTACTCAGAATTAAATTGAAAATTGAAAGGATGTGGGATTTTCAGTCCGATTTGATTAAAGAGCATTTTCAAAAGCTTTCATTTTTGGGTCATTTCGCACATTAAAAATTCTAAGTCCGAAAAAAGGGTGAGAGAATGCTCTGAAAATTTGCACACAAGTTATTGGTTTAGACTTAAATTAAATCTCAGAAAGATATTACTAGCTCGTTATACAAAAAATCGTCAGTGGAGTGGGGCTTTAATAGAGACCTATAACTTATTATACAATAAGTTGAGCTTCTTTTTTTAACATCAGATAATTCGTAACTAGAAAAATGCTTTCAGTGTAATTCGTTATCTTTTTCATTTCAGATTTTAGTTTAACCATGTTGCGGTCAGTATGTTTCAAGAACTTTGTGAAATTTAAAGAGTATCAAGTGATGGATTTTTTTCGGGGAAAGGACCTTTCATATTTATAGGTGAAAATTGTACAGGTAAAAGCTCAGTTTTTGAAGGCATTAGACGGTGTTTAAAGTTAGAGTACAGTACATCAATTTCTTCAGTTTTTGATGAAAACTTTCCGTCTTATTTCATTTGCAATTTTGAAACAGTATTGTCAGGAAGTAATGAAAATATTATTTCTGGGATTGTAAGACTTCCATTGACAAATCGATGCAAGAACGAAAGTGATGAAATTATGCTCACAGTGCAAAGCTCTGACGAAAAGTTGGAAAATGAAGATGTCCAAGATGATCAAAAAAGAAAACAAACTGAACCTGATTTAAGTACTGACATGGAATCAACTAGTCAGCAATTAAAACGACAAAGAACTTCAAGTGGAGATAATCCTCTAAATATTCCAGGACCCGCAGCAAAGAGAGATGTTGAGCTGCAAAAGACATCATTTGGGGAAGATGTGAAGGGAAGAAATGATTTAGAAAGTGCAAATTACTATAAATTTGCCATGAAGTGTTCCGATGAACAGTCAATATTTATCAACTCAGTTGAAGAATCCGAAGATAAGAAGAGACTAGAAGTTTTACAATGTTATATTGAACAGGACACTGACAGTCTAAAAAAGCTTTTCGTCGACTCGATTTTAAAACAAAAGTCGGACAGCAAAGATGTAGACAAGTACATATACACAGAATTTAGAAGTATGGAAGATCGACCAGTAGAAAGTATCAATGAATTAGAGTCAATATTGAATATTTTAACGGAAGAAATTGTGTTTACATTCCCTTTACGTTCAATTGGGCCTTTACAATGGTCTAAAAGTAAACGCATCGCTGGCGAATTTCGAGACGACAATTACAGAGAAGCAGAGACTAGATGTGAAATTATGAAATATTTCTTAGAAGACAAAGGCGAAATTTTCAACAAGGAAAAAGAGGAACACATTTTTAAACAATTAACTCAGATTAAAGATTACGACTTTAAACTGGGCAAGGATGGCAAGATCGATTTACCAAAAGGTAAATTTGCTCTTCTTAAAACGCCAGAAGGAATCTTAGAGGCGAAGACATTTTCTATCCTGTTATCAAGCAAGCAATACAAGACTATTTTGCTTGAGGAGCCTGACCGAGGAATGCATCCACAGCTCGTGGCCAGAATGATACAGATAATGAATCAAGAAAAGGGCAACAAACGTGTTATACTTACTACACACCAGAAAGAGTTTATATCACCTTGGACTGTTTCAGACACATTCATCTTTAGACGTTCTGAAACAAAGCATCGTATCATATCTGGCAAGCAGCTTTTAGGTGAAAAAAAGGATGCCAGTATGAAGGATATGAGATTAGCAACATCACAGCATATATCGGATATTTTCTTTGCAAGGAAAGTTTTATTTTATGAAGGTGAATCGGAGAAACTTTTTCTCGGAGAACTTAAACGTCAGATTCTGACTAGTGAATGTAGTATCACTTCAAAGTTGTTCAATGGAGATGAAGAAGAATGCAAAAAGTTGAAGAGCTGTATGATGGAATATACTTTTATCAAATTGAATGGTGAAGGTCTAAGTGAATTTTATCATGCAATATCTGACAAGCTTCAGTTAAATCATCTGTTCCTTTTGGACAAGGATAAAAGTGAACAAGTGAAACATGGACAAATCTTTTATTGGAAAGATGGCGACCTTGAGAAAATGGTGATTGAAATGTGTAAAGCCGACGATAAACTTGCAAAAGATCTTGTTCAACAGAATGTGATTACTTTTGATAGTACTAAGCCTAAGGGAACTTTTGACATCAAAAAACGCAAGGGCAAGGGCAAACTTTTCCTTGATGAACGTATTACATGTAGTAATATTACAATGAGCGTTAGACTTTTACTCGAACACTGCAAGCCAAATGACGACCTTGCTGCATTTATCAAAATGTAAATGTAGTTACCTTTCTCAATTGGACTGTTCATAAGCCTATAAAATGTGATTCCTGACCAAAAAATGAAACCAAAAAGTAGAAGATTAACCTTGTAGAATTGAATGGTTTAAAAAAGATAACGAAAGGTGCAACCATTCTTAAGCATAACGAATAGATTGAATAAATCAAATTGAGCTTGGAACAAATTGTTGCAGTGTTATACTGCACTATTCGTACACGTACACACCAGAAAATAACCTTGTAGAATTGAATGGTTTAAAAAAGATAACGAAAGGTGCAACCATTCTTAAGCATAACGAATAGATTGAATAAATCAAATTGAGCTTGGAACAAATTGTTGCAGTGTTATACTGCACTATTCGTACACGTACACACCAGAAATAGTTTATTTAAAAGTATTAGCCGATCTCTAAAGTATTCTGTTTTGAGTATATTTACCATTGTTATTTCTGTCTTGGTTTAAACATATGTATTTTAGCGCGATTGTGAAACAAGTTCTTGCAACTTATACCAATCACTTTCCAATCCGCTTCCTGGATCCAACCAAACTGGTGTCATATGAAGAAACATGGTCGTGCCCGAATAGGACTCGAACCCATGATCTCTGGGTAGAAAGGCAGACACATTAACCACTAGGCCACCGCTCCCCTTATTTTTGTCTTTATTCCGGCTGTCTAAAGACTCCATGTAGATTCAATCAAAGATGTTATATTTCCTGTCCCTGAAGATCGTTTTATCACGACATTAATTCTTGTTGTATTTGTGATATTTACGTTACATTAATTTATTGTTTTTCTACTTTATTGGACTGTGACAGCTAAAATTAAACCAAAAATGTTTGGTTAAAGTAAACAAATCAAACAGAATGATAGACTGGCTAACTACCTTTCTGTATTTGCTCCTTAATTGTAAAAAGCATAAAAACCAATGAATAAATACATGTAAATACAAAATAAATAAATAAATAAAGGGAAGATAATTTAAAAACGAAATAGATCATTATATACGCATAAAATGTTTCTTTTATCATATTTTTCAGAACATGCAAAGTTTTAAATGAATGCTTTTGACAAGTTTTCAACCAGCCATTGTCTATTATAAAAATTATATTAGTAACATATGCAAGTGATGTATTGTTACTGATAAAAAGATCTGATATTCATAACCTATTTAAAATAATTACTTACTAGCTGCACTGTATCATCATCAATTTTTTTTTGAGTATTGGTCCAAAATTACTTAATCGGTGAGGTCGAGAGGTTGACTCTTCGGAATAGTTATCTTAAAGATAACTGGCTGCGTGGGTTCAATCCACGTCAGCAGGTTGTTTCCTTGAGCAAGAAACTTTAAACTTATTGCATAGTACTGGTTAGTTCCAGGAACGGATTTGAAAGTGTTTCTATAAGCTGATAGCTTCCGAAACAAATCGAACTAAAATAAATTCTGCAATCCGAACGTCCTCGGCTGTTATCTATAATAACCTCGGAAATAATACGGAGTGAACGTGGTTTCAGGAGAGAGTGTAATAACGAATGTACATAATTGACATCCAAAAAAAAAGTTAGTCTGTTTCGGTACAATTATGATTGAAAATATGTCTGACAACCATTTTTAGTTTAAATATGCCAAGTGATGTACAATTTAAAACAAATCCGACTAATTGTCAACAGGTTGACATTTTGTACTTTCGCTTTCTACAACCATTATAATACATATACACATAATGTATTTGTTTGCTTCTGTATCTATAAATTCACTTATTTAGGTGGGCAATTACTTAATATATTGGAAATAAACTTGTCAACATCTCCCAGCATTAAATTATTATTTGTTTACATGTCTAGTTTCTTAGCGTAGGTTAGACCGAAATACCGTATCCGTTCTGTGTAATTCATACTATATTGAAAGGGCCGAAAAGTTGCGATTGCAAGTTCTGTATAAACTAAGTTAAATCAAAAGTAATGGATATATTTGCTTGTAACATAGAATAGTATATACAATAGAATATTTTGTATAGAATGTTTATAACATTATAATAATTTTTTTCCGCAATTTTACAATATGACCTGGCATACAAAAATGCATGAATCTTCGAATATCTTAATACTAGGAAAAGCGCATTCTCGTGTGTTACATAAATTATACATACATTTAGGCACAGCTATTAAGACCACACAATTATCACTTTAGTTCATCAGTTTCTGTCAAAAGCTTCGAATTTTGTCTTCAAATCTTAAAAAGTTAAAAAGACTGCACAGTTTGTTTAATTTGCTGGATTTTAAGTCAGACAGACTTTGTAAAGACAATTAATATGGCAACCTTCCAGCTTAATTTGTGGAGAAATGTATAATTCGTTTTTTATTTTGTACCATTACAAATTATGATATTTAACATGAAAAGATAAATAAATCTTCGTCGCAGCTGAATAGCAAAATCTTATCTAAAGAAAGGGCAAAAAGCAGGTATTGACAGGAATTAAACAAGCACTATAAATACGTGTCCTTCAATCTTATCTCTTCATTTATTTGATAACACTGTTTATTTAGTTATATTTCTACATTGACTTAAGAGCTGTTCAAATAGGTAAATATATAAAAATATTGTACCTTGATCCGTTTTGCTTGTGAAGTGAAGTGTACTAAAGTAAACAAAGACTTTATGGTAACTCATTGAACAGAGTAAAATTTATTGAACATTTTAATACCGATTTTTTTTTGTATGTGTGTGCGTATTATTTTAGGAGAGTGCATTGTTATTAATGGCGTACTGAAAGATAGTCTTGATTAATCCAGAACGATAAGTATAAGTATACAAGCTCTATTAATAATTTACTATGATAGCTTCATAAATGCTATGTACATGTTTTGCTATCAGTTGATACATGAAATTCAATATGATACAAGGTAAATAAGCAAAATAAAAACTTAAAACAAGATCTAACATAAATATTCTGATTTGGTATTACTGAATATTACTTTTGTACTTTAATTGACTTAGCCTCCTGAATGTTTATTAGAATCTACCTGGAATATTGGCTAAAGTGTAGTGTGTTTCCAAGGTAACAACGAATCGATTATATCAGATATTTATCAGAACATTATGGATTTGGTATGCGCCGTGGAAAACATCTATAAACCTTTCGTACAAGCGCTTTGGGTAAAAACCAATATTGCCTTGCATTTGGCGTACCATTATACTGAAACAAATGCTAAAATACATTCAAGGCAGTGCTGCTCTTTTATTATTCAAAACACATCGGGATTTTAGATTCGTAAGTATTACTCATCAATTTATTCATATTGATTTAGATTTGTTTATTGAATATCGGATTTGCATTTAATTCAATATTGTAGGTAATGTAAGATATTTTAAAGCTGCTTTATATTGACAGGTTTGTTTTACAAGTAGATTAATGAATTTTAATTGACGTGACGCATTCAATATCGATTCTATTGTTGTCATCATATTTAAGATCATATTCCAACGTTAACCCGTTTTAGACCAGCGGCAAGTCATGAACTGCTTACTATGGTTTACAGTATAATACAAGTAAAATGGTTTCCTGCGGGGAACATTTTTAATGATATAAAGATATTTCATTTAACTATTTTCAACATTGTTTGGAGGATTAATAAACGTTTGTACCAGGAATAAAGTTGACAATAATCGATCAATACAGAAGAAGGTCTTTGGAAACTGGTGACCGTTGAAGACCTGAGACCGGAGAAGGTCGAACATAAAACAATTATGTCTTTTTAAGAAAATGATTAAATACCATTTTCTGAATAATTCCGAGCAAAAAAATAAAGTAAACACACAAGTTTACGCAGAAAATATCTCTATTTAGTATGGCAGATGCCACTACGAATATTTTAATTTTGTAGATTTTCAGTATAAACAATTTATTGTTTGTAACATTTGAGATAGATATTAAAGAAACATTGATAATTTTCAAACACATCATTCAAGTTTTTCCGCTTTAAACGGTAAAATAATTATAGAAAATTTGAAATATCACGTAATAGTTTTTTGTTGTTGTTAATTAGGTGTTCTCTAGAGGTAAATCCGTAACGTACCGGCAAACGGTATTTAGCTAGGTTTTCGAAAAGGTCAATTAACCAATCATGTACGTTTACAGATCACATGCTCCTCCATGTACCGAAAACAGGTCACGCGCTCCTCCATGCTCAAAAGTTAAACGCGTACCAAATACCTGTGGTCTCCAGACCGCAGGGAATAATCGACTGTGCATTCATATCTATGAGGGAAAGAATATGAAATATTTCTAAAAATACTTGGGAAAGATTAGGCTAAAGCTCAAAGGTAATTGCATTTCATTAATGTAATAAAAAGATTTGATGGTACTTGAACAATTAAGCTTAAACAGGAAAATTTATCAAAGAAATTTAATAAAGTTCCGTCTTTTTTATAGTTGTCGTAACATTATTTATTTTCCGGTGTTTTCACGGAAACTTTGTCTTAAAGTTTCTCTTAATATTGTCTGAATATTGTCTAAATTTGATAAAAAAAAAAAAAAACAAAAACAAACAAACAAACTAGATTTAGTATCGAATCATCACATTAAAATTGTTTTACTAAGACAATACACAGTAATACTTCAATATACGTCATTCGTAAAATAAATGAATGTGCAAGTAAGTAAACTATGCCTCCGAGATGCTGTATTGGATCAAAATAAAAAACTCTATAAAATATGCACCGATATTCATAACCGAAGTTATTATAACTGTTTCACGGATAAAAGACATACATGTATATATTAACATACACTTTTTATCTTTATGGCACAGTATTCTTAATCTTCAAAGAGGACAAATCTTTGTTAAATTACATTTAGATAATTGATTTGATATATATTAGATTCTCGTAACGGGGAATAAGTGTCACTGAATGTGACATAGCTTGTCAGTAGTATAGCAAATCTTAAACAAATCGGTATTTTGACTTTCGTAGATAATAACTACTGTACTTATCGCCATATAGTAAAAGAAGTTAAAGGTGGCACAGGGTCAATAAGTACTTTTCCTGAAAGGTTTTCAATATAAAAAGTATTTGATAAGTGGTATTTATATATCATTTTTGGCTTAATAGGCCTTTAAAAGCTTGGCCTCCCTAGAACTAAGACACTCGTTCCACCAGACCCATCATAGTCAGGACAAATCACTTATCACTTATTTTAAGTATATAATTCTTACCAGGCTTTGACGCCACATGTTTCAATATACATTTTAAATTTTGTGTAAATCTTGACTTTATCTTGACAGTAAATTGTTTGTATTCTAAACGTTCTTCGTGTGTTTCTCTTTGTGATTTGCCGTGAGCAATGATAAAACAATAGATTCTATTGCTAAGTATAGAAGAAATCCGATAGAGTAACAAAATATACATTCCGTACATTATATTTTAAATAGGAAACTTCTTTTACACGGATTATATTCAAAAATTCAAAATGTGTCTCCTATATTTATATCAAATACAAAGATTGATCTATTTTGACTTCTTGACATATTCAGACTTCCTTTTTGATGTTGATCTTTTCCTAGAAGAAAAATTGCATAAAAATAGAAAATAAAATAGAATTCAAACAAAATTTACCTGTAATTATCAGTATTATTCATGTTAATCTATCTTGTCACTTCAGAACTTCAACTAAGTATGCTTCGGTCTGTCTGTTTTAAGAACTTCGTGAAGTTTAAAGAACATCAGAGGATGGACTTTTCAAGTGATGGGCCTTTTATCCTTATCGGGGAAAATGGTTCAGGCAAAAGTTCCGTTTTAGAAGGTATCAGGCGGTGTTTGGAATTGAACCTGAGTACATCATTTTCCTCAGTGTATAATCCAAATGAGATTTCTTATTTCATTTGCAATGTTGAAGCTGTTATTTCAAAAAATAAGAAAAATGTAATATTCGGTATCGTGTCTATACCTGGAGATACGGAGCAAAGTACAGAAATGCAAAGACGTAATACCGAAGAAATGATGGAAGCTGAACATTATTCAGACGAATCTGAAATAGAAGGAAAGCACATTGGACATAGGAAGATGAGTGTTGACGAAGACAAAAGAAGTCCAACTGGACGCAGAAAACTAAATGTTGAGGAAGAATTGGCAATCCAACAAGTAAAACGACAAAGAGTTCCAAGCATAGAAACGCGTAAGTCTGAAAACATGGCAGAAAAAATGAAGAGCAATGATTTTATTCCGTCTTTAGAATCTCAAAGACTTTTACCTAGAAAGAATGCAACAGGAAGTAGCAGATGTCGGTATTATAAGTTTGCCTCATTAAAAGATAATACAATATTGATTAATTTAATTGATCAATCAATAAATTCTAATGGGGAAGCAGACCTGCTCGCCGTTTCTGAAAGTTACATGCCATCCAACGATCATCAATTCAACAAAACTTTGTCAAAACAAAATCCCAACGAAAACGATATAGATACTTCCATCAAGTCGATATTTGGAAACCTTCACAATGTCCCAAAAACAGCTCCAGAAGAATTAGAAACATTATTGTGCTCATTAACAGAGCAGTTTGTATTTACATTTCCCCTGCGTTCAATTGGTCCTTTACAGTGGTCTAAAAGTAATCGTATCGATATACGGAAACGGGAGATAAATTACAAAGAAGCTGAACAGAGATGTGAAATAATAAAATATTTCTTAAAAAACGGCGAAGAGTTTGACAAGGACAAGGAACAAAAGTATTTCAGACAGTTACTATTGAAAGAGTCTGATGACTACAATTTCAAGTTAGACAATGATGACAAGATCCATTTATCAGAGGGTGAGTTTGCTTTGCTAAAAACACCAGAAGGAATTTTAGAAGCAAAGGCATTCTCTATCCTTATTTCAAGTAGGAAATTCAAGACCATATTGCTTGAGGAGCCAGACAGAGGAATGCACCCACAATTTATGCAAAGAATGATTCAAATAATGAAAGAAGAGAAAAACAACAAAAGAGTAATACTAACAACACACCAGAAAGGGTTTGTTACACCATGGACAGTACCTGACATATTCGTTTTTAGGCACAGCGGAAAAGAAAATCAAATAATATCCTGCAAGTCTATACTTGGGGACGAAAAAGATGTTAATATGAAGACAATGAGATTATTAACATCGCATCATGTGCCAGACATTTTATTTGCAAAGAAAGCTTTGTTTTATGAAGGTGACTCTGAACAACTTTTTCTCGAAGAACTTAAGAGTCAAATTCTGGCTGGGGAAAGTAGTATCACCTCAAAACTGTTAAATGCAGATAATGTTGTCGCAGCAAACAATCAGCTGAAGGAGTGTCTGATGGATTATACGTTAATTAAAATGAACAGTAAGGACAATCGTGAGTTTTATACAATAGTAGCTGACAATCTTAAGCTGGATTATTTAGTTGTTGTAGATCGGGATGCTGTTCCGGGTATACTTGGAAAAAATAAACCAAAAGACATTAGGATACATGAAAGGGAAGCAGCAAAGTCAAGATCACAGGCCGAATGGAAAGTTATCAGAAACTCACTAATGCAATCAAACCATATCATTTTTTGGTTAGATGGCAGCATTGAAGATATGGTAACAGTGATGTGTGATGGAAACAGTGATCTTAAAGCGTCCCTTATAAAGCAAAAAGTGATAGATAAACAAGACAAGACTTCCCATGACGGTGTTCGGCGTAGTCAAATTTATGGAAAAAAACTTTTTCTACATGACTGCATTGACATTGGGAATGTTATAGAGAGTGTAAGATCCATTTTGGCTCACTGCAACCCAGACAACGATCTTGCTGATTTTATTAATATTCTCGCGAAACAAACCCTATAAAAGAGTTTACTAATCATTCCTAGGTAGCTTGAAATATATAGATAGTATTTGCGATTTATTAAAATCACAGCATCAAAATGATATTGCTGTAAAGACAATGATTACATAACATATGAAAACATTTCTTCAGTCACAGCGACACTGATGTAAAATGTTGCACTTTTTCGTTTCTCTCATTGTTGTTATATTGTTATATTTTTTCTGGTTCGACGTGATGTTTCAAATACATTGAGGATTGAATACGCCGGTGCTAGGGATATGAGAGTTGTTGTATAATAACATTGTATGTTGTACTGTATATATGAACATTAATGATAGAATACAATTATAGTGAAATGAATAATACTTAAATCTTTTTTAAGATATTAGATAAATTGTTCATGTCAAGTTGTTTCCTCAATAAAGAAGGTTAGTGAAGAGATCACAATGATTCGAGTGTTTACAAAGCTTAAATGATTTTGAAAAACAATTTAAACTTTTTAATACAGTTTAAATAAAAGAAGTAATTCAATATTAACTAAGCTGATTAAAAAACAAAATTGCTGACAAAGAGTCCAGCTCTATGTTCGATGAATTATTTATCTTTCTATTACTAATATACATTGTATTTATTTCGTTCATGTTTTTATATTTTATGTTGATGTCTGAGTTATTAAAATATACACTGAGAAAATACAACGACAATTATTATAACTAATTTATATAGTAACGTTTTATTTTTAACTAGTATATCATGCATATTGATCAGTAGATTTCTATTCACTTCTCTCTTCCCTTGGTACGTGCACGTCTTTGAGAAGGCACAGGGCATTGGCAGAAGATTTGAAGAACTAGAGATTGCAGAATAAATAAAGACCAGAACATGTACCAAAGAGTCAGCTGCCAATGTCATCACTGAATCCGAGGGGAGTGACCCTACAAGCTAGGTAGGAACGAAAAGGAAGAGAGAGCCCCAAACAGGAGGTGTCGGCTTGAAAGGCAGACCCAGTGCTTGACACAGCGGTGTATATATGATCAGTCACTGCTATGTCTTACACTTTTGCAACCACCTTGGCATACGTTGCTAGTTTTGACCAACGGTCACGTGTTACTTCTTCTTGTAACACTTACCAACTTTTTAAATAGATCTACATACACAAATTAATTACTGATGAAATCTATATCATTATACCTATAATAACAACACAATTTCCTCGAAAATATCCGTTGTATAGAATACATACTCATATTATAAGTTGATAACAAACAGCATATTCTCATCTACTATGTACTTAGAGTTTTATAATAGTTTACACGAATATTATCTAATTAGAGACAACTATTAGGACCGATGACATAATACTAGTCTAATGAAGACCAAATAAAGCGTTCGGCTTGATTAATCAGCCGAAGATCTAAATGTCTATGCAGAACAAAACACCAAGTGAGAACAAATTTATCTCTTCCTTTGTGTTTACCAACGTACATTAATCCAAGGATTTCCTGTCTTAAGGCAAGATAACCTTTAAGAGAAATGTTACAAAATCACAATATCAAAGATATCACAGTAAATTGCATCAGACAACTAGTACAAAATGCATAAATACAAATATTTGAATTCTTTTGTTTACTAACACAGTGTCTTTGATTATTTTGAAAAATAATCGTTATTTTGTCAGTTAGTGTAAATTTCAAGTATGATTACATTTTCTACACAAGACATTTATCTTACTTTTAAGGTCAACAGTTTTGAGGCCGACAATTTACCTTTTAATTTAGTGTTTATTATCAATTTAAATAAGCCAAATACAAATAATATTAATACAAATAATTGATTCTTTAAAATCCTGATTTCCTATCGTGTACAGCAGTATCATATTAACAAGAACTCTAGGAAGGACAGCAACGCTCGACTATTCTTAGTGCTTGATAGTAAAAAAGCCTTGACAATGTAAAATTGTCTAAGTTAATAAAAAGGGCATTTTTTTCTTTAAATCTATGTTACAGTTATAGGCATTGAAGAGAGTCCTAGAATAATGCTCTCAAAGAAGAGTATAAAATTTCAACTTGTTTCAAAGACAGATGTCAATAGAATATGAAAATATCGGAGGTGGTATGCAAACTTAAACGTAAATTCTAAGTTGAAAACTGGCATTATTCTGCCAAATGCTTAATAGAGTTACCTCCTCCTGTCTTCAAGTTGGGGTCATGATGGTGAACATGTGTGCAAAGTTTCAAAGCCATATGTCAATGAACTTTGAAAATATGTGAGGTATTACAAAAACTTTAACGTAAATTCTCAGTTGAAAAAGAGCCATAATTCTGTCAAAATGCTTGATACAGTTACCTCCTTCTATCTACAGGTTGGGGTTATGATAGTGAATTTCAATGGACTTTGAAATATTTGAGGTATTACAAAAACTTTAGCATAAGTGGTTACGCCGACCCCGACGCTGACTTCAATAGCTTACTTATTTTTATCGAATAGACGAGCTAAAATGAGTGAGGGGTACAAAACACAAATATTTTGAAGGATGTTATAAAGTTCAAAAGATAATATTGCAACTCCATCACATATTATGTATTCACAAACAAAACGTCTCTCTATCTTTAACTACAATTTTAAATTTTAAATGTTCACTTAACATATGCACCCCTAATGCATTACCTCCACTTTGGTAAGTAAACAAATAGGCTAGAATTAATGTCAACTGCAATGAAAGTAAGGAGCGTGTGTTCAAACCCCAGCAGGGTAAACGTTTTGTTTTATTTCTTCTTTTTTTCTTTTATCATTATCTATGTGTCTGTCAGACTCGCTCTTTGAAAAGTAAATATTTAATTCTTTAATTATTTTAGCTATTCATTGGCAAAATGATGTCAATTTAATATGGTCTTATAAAAACAGAAGAAATATGGTCTTATAAAACAGAACAAATATGGTCTTATAAAAACAGAAGTAGACGGTAAAAGATTTTTTGTTTGACAAGATCAACCATTAAACTTTTAAGAAAATTTAGAGTGAACACATTATTATTGACTTTTAGTCCTGTTATAATGACTAACATAAAAAATTCAATGACAAACACCGAGTGATCATAAAAATACAAATATTAGCTGAGAAAATATAAAGATTACATGGCAGAACGAAGACAGAAAGATCAAAATAACCAACAAGGTAAAGTTATATCAGAAAAAAGTTATATCAGAAAAAGATAGAAAGAAATTTCAAGAAACCATACATGGAATTTAAGAGTTATTGTCACCATATAGAAAAAAAATAAAGAAAAGGAGAGACAAAAAACTAAGAAACAGCAAAATGCATTTATCAACATACAAAGGTAATTTTTGCGGAAAAAGAAATTACAAATGAAGCATTGAAACCGAGGCAGCAAAACAAATGTATTGCTGCAGGTGCCGCATTTAGAACAGAAAATGTTGGATGTTTTTTTCGATTCTTTGTGATTTCGAATGAAGAACCCTTAGTGTTCAACACGTTTGGTCACAGTTGAGGAATGATCGGCTGAAGACTCTGACAAAACTGTAAGTTCTTTCACCTGCATCGGAAACCTTGCTATTACTTGACAACATCGATCATGAGACAGTATTAAAAAAAACATATTCCGGACTAGAATCATTTATTTTAAATTTAGTTCCCTTTGTTGAAAAAGTATCCCTAATGCGCCAAGAAAAAAATCCATTTCTCCGGTATATAATCTTTCAAAACATTAAAAAATGAGGTGTAAAACAAACTTTCATTATGATACTTTATATTCAATTTATATAATAAATTATATTTTGTTAAATAATTGTAATTTTTAACCATTCATTGTGTCTTTTTTCAAATATTTTCAAATTAAACAAATCTTCTACAGCAGCAAAAATACCTCTCGCATGGTTCTTTTTAAAGAAGCAAACTTTTATTTAAATCTCTTATAAAGTAGGAATGCGAGTTTATTGATCAAGGGAAGTAACCGCTGCGAGAAGTGTAGGGTATCAGTAACAGTTATTCCCCTGGTCAATACAGGAAAGTGAATAGCAAGGTGCGAAGACGTTGATGTAGCAGACGTAAAATATTTACTGGCATGAGATAAGACGCCGTTGACTGTGTACATGAATTTAGGGTTAAATAGAAATGTTGAGTAGGACAAGAAAACAAGTCATAAATTAAAGTGCACAACTTTTATGACCAAATGCATACCTTATTTGAGTACATAGTAATGTATAACTATCGGTTTTAGGCACGGGAAGATATTAATATACCTATGGGTATACAGTAGATCATTTTATTTATACACACAATATGAAATATATTATCGTTCTAAACACAATGTTAAGAGAATATTTCTTTAAACCACGGCTAGCTACAAACATTCTTATGAATTTCAACAGTTGAGTATACCATTAGTAAATTGACCATTATCATTGGTCAAAAAGCCTGTGAGGAAGTCTCGATGGGCATGTCGGACTCATACAACATAGACCTATCAGCTGGAAATCATTGTCTTAATCTTTTGTATCGAACATACATATTATCTTGCCTTTCTCGCCGAAGCAGTAGGAATAGGCCTTGACTCGGCTAAGTTATGTTTGTGAAATCATTTTTATGACACATATGTGAGAGATTCTGTTTCTTCTAAGCGTTTCTCGACTACAAACAGACGTTTGATAAAATTTAAATTACCGTAAAAATAACCCTTATCTGATCAAAATTTAACGAATGATCAGTTCTCAAAGACTTTTTAATCAAAATTAAATTGTTGGCAGGATCAATTCTTAAAGTTGAAAAATGACCCTGGTTCAGTTTTCAATATTGAAAAAAAACCCATAGGGTATAATTTAAACGTGCTCAAAAATTTAATGTTACACCGGACAAGAATCCGTGTTTTGTTTACACATTCAAATTGTTTCACATACCATTTCCATGGACATACCTATTAATGGTTAATTATCAAAGCCTTTTAAAAAATAAACATAATTATAATTTTGAAGGGACCAACTGCTTCACAGGATAAGCAGCTGTGATATGTCAGTTTTGTATATTTTACAAGTTGTAGACAGGTTTTGGGGACAGATCTCTGAAATTTTCTTGTAGATAAGAAGTGAGTTAGGTAACAGATAATTAAATCTATAATTGATTTTTCATTTTTATTTTGAGACATTCCTTTCACTTATTCTTATTATGCAAATGGACGAGAGTGTATAAATTATTTAAAACCTTAATTCGTTGGTGTACGAACAAGGTGTTCGTTTTGCTACTTTTGTCTTGCAGGAAACGAAACATGAAGGCCAACTGCAAACTGAAGATGAAGCACATAGAGTGCAATCTGTTACAGTGCAATTTACTCTAACGCCAGAGAAATGTATACAAATGAAACGGAAGTCTTAAATATAAAACGCAGACAGCAAAATCATTTTATAAATGATCTTTATAACGTTTCGTCAACTTCTTAATCTTTGCTTTGTGATTACAGTTGCCCATAACTTAAATTGATGATTAGATGTTATTTTTCTTGGTTCATCACCTTTCCTGTAAGCATCCTAAAAAAAACAAGAGCTGGTGTTTTTGATTTGTTTTAGACTGAAAACCATAATGTACTGAAATCTACAGTCGTATAAACATTCCTAGAGAATAACGCGTGTGTACTTATTGTTTAAATAACAAACATGTGTCATTTACTGTGAATATCATGCTTTTTTCC